ACACGTTCGTTAGCGCCGAGCTTGTATCACCGTTGAGGTGGTGCAAGGCCACACACAACGAATAGTCCGAAGCTCGGCAGTGCAAAATACATCGTGTGTTAAGAGTTGTCTGTCCTTCCTAGGCTGGATTTGCAGGCCTGCCCGTTCTGTCGGTCTTCTGCGATGTTTCGGACAGGCTAGGAGAGGCTGCCAGGCCTCTTGCCTCTTTCATCGCAGGCTTGCAGAGCCCACGGCCACGGCCGCAGCAGCCGAGGCCGCAGCAATGGGGGTGGGACAGTCTTCCGAGGTCGTCATCCTATACAGGGCCTGCAAATGTTCCTGTGCTTGATCACTGATGAGCTGATTAGCAAAAGTGGCTCGTGCTAACTTTTCTGAGCCGCCTGTTCTTTGGTTTATTTCGTCAGGTTGATCAGCAGCCCGCCGCAAAGCTGCGCTCCCAATGATTGCTCTTGGCCAAAGGCAGCCACGCCCGTTTTCGAAAGGTCCAGCCCGAGCAACCTCGTCCATTTCTGCACTGGTTGGGTGCAGTGGCCCTGACCGGAAAGCGCGCGCTTCCGGTCCGGGCCAGGGGCAGACCCTGCCTTAGCTGACTTGGTCTTTCTTTTGCATCTACACTTCCGACTTGCTGGGCAACAGGTCCACTTCGCGTTCTGGTGCTGCACAGCCCATGGGCTCTGCAGTTGCTGACGACTCGTCTGATCAGACCCTTGCGAGGAGTGAGAGCTGAGGGAGTGCTGAGGAGAGGCGAAGCAGTGAAGCCGGCGAAGCCGAGGAGAGCTTTGGCACTTGCATGTGCCATCATGCGCCTGAACTCCGTCTCACCCAAGTAAGAGCAGTTGAGGCTCAAGCGCCCCAGCGCCTCCAAGGCTTTAGTGAACACACATCCTTATGTGACTTGTGTGCTCATGGCCTCCAAGCCTTATGGCCTCTTTGTGGCTGGGTACGACTTGGCCAACCTTGCAGGCACCGATTTTTTTCATACCTCTGTCGTCCTCTGTCCGGCTGCAGCGCATTTGAGCCGAGAATCCGTTCAAGACAGTCAGAAATTGCACGAGTCTCTTGAGAGAGAAGGTTGTGAAGAGATGATATTTGACCGAAAAGAACGTGGAATTTGGTTAAACAGAAATCTTGGCCGCTGGAGCCTTGAAGACAACGAGCGCATGATGGTGCACTGGAGGCATGCTGGAGAAGTGCAGCTGCCTGGTACGACGACTAAGAAGGCCACCGAGACATTGAAGAAATGGGCAGCCGATTCCGAAAACTTCTCGGCTGGAACCTACAACTTGTTCAACCACAACTGCAACAGTTTCACGTCCTCCGTGCTGTGCAAGACCGGCTTTGATCCAGAGCAAGTGCTCGCCTGCGGTCGCTTTAGGAATGCCTCCAAGAAGATCCCTTGCCTCGCACCCGAACAGGCCACGCTAAGCCCAGAGACCCACAGGCGCTTTCTTACTTTCTTGTGATCGCTGGAGTTTCCGTTCATCTTCATCAACGAGCTTGGCCAGCGTTCCTAGCCCAGTTCGCATTACAGCAGCGGGCTGGGTTCGAGATGAGCTCTAGGTGAACTGTGAACCATGAGTGTGTCGTGTTGGGGCTCCTGGCTTTGATCTGGTCTAGGCTAGGCCCGGTGCAGTACCTAGAAGATCCGACAAGACCATGGAGGTGGATGAAAGCAAGGCACTGCTCGAAAAACTGCTCCTGAACCTACGCTGCTGCGTTGCTTCATTCATGCAGTTCCTATCGCGTTTAATGGTCCAGGACAACCCCGAGTTCAGCATCCCCAGTACAGATCTTGACGGATTGCTCCGGTGCTCTTGCTAGTGCTGCATGCTGCGGGGCGGCTGTCACAGCAACCAAGCTCGTCGGCATGGACATGACATGTACTGGACGGTGTCAGGTACCTTCAGGGGCTATGCCATCGAGGGCTTCGCATTACGGAGGTTGCCAGATCTCTGGAAAAGACTCGAGGAGCTCAGTGCATGTCGACTCTGCAGGTTACGTATTGCGTGAATTCGTGGAATTTGCCAGAGTCCCAAAAGAACAAATTTTCTCTGCAATTTCTCCTGCAGAAGGTTGGCCTTGCTTGAGGTACGGGCTCATCCCGCTCAAGCATCACGGTTTTATCCTCTTTACCAAGGCTTTGCGGAATGGGGCTGGGGCTTGAGTCACTCTTCGTTCTTGTCACGTCCATGCCATACTTGTCTTCGGAAGATAGCTGTTTCGGCTATGATCGCTGATCCATCCTTTTTTGTTCTGACCATTGTTGTAACAATGTGACTCGCAGGAAGCATCCTGCTCTACAGCCACAGAGCTCGCATGCTTATCTGCAGCATTAAGACCATGCAGAGGGGACACGACAGGGACCCCCGGTAGCAGCAAGCTATGCATGTGGGGAGCGATGGCACGTTGGCCAAGCGACTTAGCCGCACAGCTTGATTCCTGCAGTTTGGCACAGGTGAAGCACTTCAGCGGCGTGCTTCAACTTAGGCGGCACACCCCTGGAATGTCGAATGCTTTTGCCCGGGCTTCTCGCACGAAGCCACTCCCAGAAGCTTAGTCGCAAGCGAGAAGCGCAGCCAGCAACGCCGGCAGCCACGGGGTTACAGTAGTTCGGCACGTCACAACAGGTGTCTGAGTCTGTTGAACACGAGCTCTAGAGTTTTACGAGGTTGCAGTGCCAAGAAGGAAAGTAATTAGGCAAGATGTCGTTTTGCGCAACACGTTCTGGTAGTATCTGGTAGTCAGTATGTAGATGGGCAACATCAGCTTGCCTGATGGTGCGTTGATGCCGCAACGTCCGCTTTGTGTCTGTGCTGGATGCTCTTGAGCCAGGAAGGCGACGATGCGCATGGCTTGCCGAAATGTCTCAAGTCACCTGGCAACTGTGGAATGTGAGGCAGACTTCACATCTGATTGTGCAGGTCGTGCTGGCACGACTATCTGATAAGAAATTTTTAGGTGAAGACGCATGAATGTCCAGCTTGAAAGGACAAGAGATGTGGTCGGCTTTGGCCTTGGCGTCACAGTGGGGGCTGGAGTTTTCATGGCGACTGGGAAGGCGGCACAAGAAGCCGGACCAGCACTTCAGCTGCCAGACGATGTCACGGAATGTTACAGAAAAACATTAGGAATATTGTAAGTAGCGTCATCTATGCGAGGCCGTCTGAGCCACGCGGGGTGCGAGAGCGGCAGCTGGCTGTTGAGGGTGCATAGGGGTGGCGGGAAGTGTAGCCGCAAGAAGTGCCAGTACACTCGGTACTTGAAAACCAATGAATCCAGAGGTTAAATGAACCCAAATCTTGCTTTAATGGTTCGGTGTTGAGCTACCGTGGACCTTGCAAAGACAACATCAATTCTGGCTTCAATTGCTTGTCTATGCATTTGTCCAAAAACAGTTCCATCAAGAGTTTACTGTCTCGCTGCATACCGGTATAATCTGCTTATAGACCCGTGCCAGTTCGCTACCGGGATATTCCCATTAAATTAGGATATGTTTGCGTAATCCAGCGGTAATGTGGTTGGTTCCTATCAGGTTCGAAGGAAAGCTTCTCTGAATAAGTAGATCGCCACAGTGACCGGTGGCAGATTTGATTGGCCTTAGGGATTGCAATCTCCTAACCTTCTGTGGGGATCTTCTTAGAACTAGGGTGTTCGGTTCTATTCAGCTACGACTAGTTTGCGTTTAAGTTCAGGACTTGCAAGGCCAACAGTAAAATCAGCATTTCGTTGGGAATCTTGGGAGCCATGTCCGAAAAAATCGTGGGTATCTTGTGAGATTCAGGTATAGGTAGAGCAAGCAAACGACAAAAATACATCATGATTCAACTGGTGATGTTGGGAATCTCCCAACATGTAATGACGATCTCTTGACTGATTCAGCTCGTCTCGCCTAGTCTAGGGTGCTATATCATCGTGAAGCCTAGCTTAGCCTATTATAGAAGCCCAGAAAGTTGGAACATGACTACCCTCATGCCCTCAAGTTAGAGTACGAATGAATCATCCTTAATCAACCTGCTGGGGTTCGCTGTAGTGTGGTCTAGTCTAGTCCAGCCCAATCCAGCCCAGTCCAGCCCAGTCCAGTCTGGCTTTGTCTATAGTCTAGCGGCCTAGAGGCCTATAGACACACCTGCACACAATGCAGTAGACAAGCAAGCATGCGGAACTTGCATCCGTAGCCCACCTTAAAAATTGAATCTGAAACAGTGAATGGTCTTCGGAGGCAATTAAATGATGATGATTTAATCGTTTCGTTCTTGCCAACTCTTCGAGACAATTAACATCCAGTCTAAGTGTATTCAAGTTTGGTCATAGATTGAGATCCATCAAGTCTTGATTTAATTGTCGTCCAGGGTTGGATAGTGTAGGAGAAATCATTAAATCGTGGTTTAGTTGGGCCGTTTGGGTAGCAGGACATGCGTGAAATGGGGCGTCGCGCAACGTTTAAGAGCCAATTAAATCATAACTAAATTGTCTGGGCCTAAGGGGTCGAAGACGGCCCGATGCCCTGGGCAATAAACTCCGGAGTTAGTTTTTTCTCTTTAACTCTTGGATTCACTGCCTTCCCTCTCGGTATATTCCAAGGCAGTGACTCTGGCGTTTCTGGTCGCGGCCGTTGGCTGCAGCTGCACAGGACCCGAGCATGTGCTGCAGATGTGTATGAGGGTCGATTGGCCAGCTTTCAACTTCACAGCGTCTAGGTTGAGTCGAGCCTCCAAGGCTGCTCAGGCTTGTAGCTCGGAATTTCGAGGGAGAAGTAAGACTGCTTGAAGCTCGAAGTTGTTTCAGAACAGCCCCTCCGCGGTGCATGCGCGACCCATTGTGCACGGAGCCTGTGACGAGGCCTTTGCTATGCAGAGCTTGCGGCCCTGGCGCCTTCAACGGGGAGTTCCTACACCTTCGTATACCACGCCGCCGGTGTCTTGGCAGCTCGAGGTTGGTGCTGAAGCGGCGCTCTGGCTTTCTGGGCTTGTCCGAAGAGTGCTCTAATTGAGGCGAACTTCCAGCCTGCCTGGTCGGACTGACGAACATTGTGAATGCAGTCTTATCCAGTGCGGCTGTGGCTCGTGGTTGGGAAGGCTACCTGCGCCTATTCCTGGTGTCAGTGGGGCTTTCTCCACCAAGCTTTATGGAGGGGTTTGCGTGGGGGCCTCTGCAAGTATCTGTTCTAGCACCACTTCTCATCGTCGTGGTGGTAGCCATCAACCTTTGTGGAACATTGGCCATCTCAAGCTTCAACAATGTCGTTACGTTTCTGTCTGTTTCGCTACTTATAGGCTATGTTTGCGGAGGCGCAGCTCAAGTTAACCCGGACTTGTGGGCTCCATATGCTCCTAATGGCGCTGAAGGAATTGCCAAGGGTGCTGGTTCAGTCTTCTTCGCATACATTGGGTTTGACGTGCTGGCAACTCTGGGTGCCGAGTCCGTCAATGAAAGAGTTGTGCCGTGTGGCATTGTGATGACGCTGCTGGTCACTACCTCTCTTTACTGCGGCGTCGGGGCGGTCTTCACCGGGCTTGTCGAAACCAGCGACATCGATATGACAGCCCCTTTGGCCCGTGCGGCAGAGCAGAATGGGCTTCCTTTCCTGGCGCTGGTCGTTTCGATAGGAGCACTTGGCAACACCCTGACCACAGTCATCGGCTCGATTGTTGCAATCCCCCGTTACTGCTTATCCATGGCACAAGACGGGCTCCTGCCAACAACTCTGGTCCGCATAAACCGCTTTGGAGCTCCGGCCCGTTCTCTCATCGATCCGTGGCTTGCATTGGCTCATGCTCGCACCCAACCTACCCACACTTTGTACAAAAGCACCGCCATCATGCCATGGGCGCAGGTGATGGCGGGTCCTGCAGTGGTCATCGCTGCTCTTTTCGACTTCTCCGCCATAGCTGACGTCGTGTCTGTAGGAGCTCTTGGATCCTCGTGGCCATGTTATGCAAGAGTTTCCCTGTGGTGTCTCTTGACTCGCTCATCCAAGCCCCAGTTTCGTTCTGTTCGCCCAGACCTCTCAGGAACCTTCGCCTTGGTCTGTGCCTCGCTGGTCCTGCTGAGATGTCCCCGCGCTTGGGACGCAGGTGCAGCTCTCCGGAGTTTATCGGAGTGCCGACTTGCAAAGATTTAGAAGGCAAAGCGGTAGCCAGCAAACCTTGCCTGGAGGAGCATCGCGAAGAGAGGAGTCTGGGAACTCAGAAGAGGAAGATGGCGACTGCGGGCCTTGGAAGGTGCAGCCGGCCGCACCGCGGACGGATCCTCGCTTGCATTTCTGGTTGATTTAGATTTAGTTTTGGGTCGCGTTTTGTGTTTGGGACCTGGCGCTAACACTCTGCCCCAACATGTCCGCGCAGCCAAGGTGGTTCTAGGCCGGCCGGTTCGAGCGTTCTCACAGCCATGTAGACTTAGTGTCGAACAAACACAGGCAATCAATGCAATGCAAACAAGGCTTCATTTGCAGGATCCGGGGCGTTCATCCTTTTCCTTTGCCCCGAGTGCCAGGCATGGCAAGTTTTGTCGTGCTTACCTTCATCTTGGGTGTTCTCTTGAGAGTTCCGGCGGGAGGCCCTGTGCCTCTGCTGCAGGGGTATTCAAGTGGCCATGGCAGACCTAAAGCTGCACTGGGCTTAATCGGATCTGCGATGCCAAGGCGTGGTTGAACAAAGTGCTTGTGGCCACGTGGATGCAGATCCTTTTCTCATGTGCAGCAGTGCAGCACATCCATCCTGTTCTTCCCAAAGCTGTTTCCAGACTTGTCAGCCCACAATTCCAGGCGAGGGTTAGCATTGCAGCTTCTCCAAGGCTTTTGTTGGCTTTTGTGCCGCCATTGCAGCTTGCGTGGTGGCTTTGCCCTTTCTATGTCGCGACGCCGGAGCTCATGCATCTTGCCGCCGTAAATTTTCACCTGTATCGAATGTATTGACTTCCTGCACGCACCAATCCTCCTCCTGAAAGACGAGCTTTCAAGTTCCAGCAGCAGCTTTCGTCAGTTGGGTTATAGCAGATGCCATACTGTCAACAAGTCTCGATTTCCATCGCATGGTCTTGAATCGTCTCGACAAGCTCCGATGCCATGCCTGATTGGAGGTCCGTGCTGAAACTACTCACCGCGCTGGGCACTTTCAGCTGCCTCTGATGCCTCTGCTTCCTCTGCTCCCCGTCGAGATTTTGGCTGCTGCAAAGCATCCACTGCCAGCTTCCTGGTCTGAGCTGTTAAAGCAAGGTTGGGGATGTTCATGAACGTGGCTTGGCCGCACGGGATGGAGTGTTTGCTGCCGCCAGGAACGAGATGTAGAGCCATGACATCGGCGTGACTTTGCAGGTTCTGTTGGCCTCACAAATGGACTGGCTCACGCTGATCGAGGCTACAGTTGTGCAATCAATTGGGGCAGTACCTTGGATTGCTTATCTGCAGTTGCAGCTTTTGCAGATTCACTCATGCTGTTTGGCCCGATGTGGGTTGTTCCGAGGCATTCTACTTCGGTTACTCCGCACAGCGCAGTCATCTTAACAAGCAGAGCAAGAAGGACGTGGTGCTTCGTAGGGCAATGGAGAAACTCTGGGGTCTTGGATGCGACTTTGGGATGCCCCTGCAGGTTTGGAAGCCCGTCTTCGATTGCACAGTTCCTCCGGAGGAGGTGAACCAGTCCTGAAGGCTAAGCAGAAGCATAGACAGACGAGGTCCTTTGGTTCCCGTTTTCAGAGCCGCTCGTGCTCAGAGCATGTTGCACCTTGTCCGAATGAATTTGAAGTGCAAGAGCGCCCAAGGCTAGATCTTGCTCTCCGGGAGAATGCATGAAGGTGTGAGGATGTGTGAGGCCTATCCGTAATGTCTGCCAACCCGAATCGCGCTTGCCACCGGTTTCTTGTAGAAGCATCATGATTTTGCCATCTCATACTCGAAGAACGCGCACGAACCCCTCAGCCACCCAAGCGCGTGCAAGGAGCACGACGAACAGGGTTCCCACTCTCCGGCTGTAATCCGATCCCAGCAACTAGTAACTAAAATATTTCAAAAACCTGTCAGCAATCTGTGCCGTAACACATTCTCCCAAAGCAGTGCAAACTTGCCAACGGCAATATGCCTCAGGACCGTTCTTGTAAAGTGTGAAGCGAGGCAATCACCTCATTTAGTTACATTTCAGAGATCATGTGCGGATGATAAAAAGGCTGATTCGTGAGCTGTTCTTTGCCTTGCCATGCACTGAGCAAAACTCTGGGCCGTGTTGCGTAATGTGATACGCTGCTGCACGCAGCGTATATTGTAAACAGCATATCCTGTTGGTCGCGAGTTTTAGTGGTGAGTGCCGCAGAATGTCGCCGCAGGTTTTTGCATCTGCTGCAGGCAGCGACAAACTGAACCAAGCAATTCTGCTTAGGTCGCCTAAAGAACTTGGGAGCAGCACTCAGAACCCAAACGACCTTCGTGCATAGTTCATAATAGTTCTGGCAGCACCATCTTGGTGTAAGGGCGTGCCCGAAGGAAGAGCAATCAGCCTTCTTTTCAAATCTCTGTGGCAGGGTTGCCGCCTGGACTCATACCTGACTTTGGATTTCAGTTCGAGGCCGCGGGACTGCGATGACTCAGCGAGAGAGTCTGCTACATGTCCCTAGCGCTGAAGATGTCGATCCGTCGTTCGTGCGCCAGAGCCGGTTCATGTTGGCACACGCTCGTTGCAGGGGCATTCTCTGGGACACCTTCGACACGTATCCTGATGTGCCCGAAGGCACGTTCTTTGCCAAGACGAGCTTGCCTCAGAAGTTGTACCGTCTCATATGCATATGCCTTCAGGGACAAGAGCTCACGCCGACGCAGTGTCTAGGTGTAGGCTTCTAGATACTTAATATGCAGTGCCCTCCATAATCGGTGAAGATATTCGGCCTCAGAGATGCTGAGTGCGACAGGAAACTCCTCAGACCCGCCATTCTCTTGAAAGCAGAAGGTGCTGTCGTCGCCGGACTGCGCATACCCAGCCAGAGGTCACTTCGATCTGGCAATTTAGTAACTGGAAGGAGAAAGGAAGGAAAGTCCAAGGTGATCAACAAAGGGGATGCAGACACTCCACTTGAGAATGAACCCTCTCTTCTTTGTCAGGCAATCCGCAACTCTGCCAAGCGCCTTCTCCCGCCGCAGCTTCTACCGTTGCTAGCACGGCATGAAAACGGCGGAAACGCACAAGGTACCTCGTTTGTTTTCATGAAAGCCGTGTTCCAGGAAGCATTTGCAGGCTTACTCGGCTTGAAGAACGGTGTGCGGGCAGTTGGAACATGAATGTGTGATTTCTTGGCATTCGCCCCCACCTCCTTCGTGATCAAAAGTTCCCCAACAAGTGCCCTCTGCGGAACACCCACGAACTGAACAGCTTGAAAGTGGAAATGGGCATGCTCGGCAGAACTCTGGCGGCATCGAAGGGTCGGAAAACCGCCAGGAAATTCGACAGAAACATGCGGCGACTCATGCTGCTGCTGCTGCTGCTGCTGCTGCTGCTGTCACTGCTGCTGTTGTTGCTTGCCAGAGCCTCCAATGCATCCAAGGTACAAGATCAATTTGGATCCGCTGGCTCTCAGGGAGTACTGCAAGGACTAGATTTGGCATCTGGGTGGCCCCCCAACGTGGCTCTTGATTGCCGCTGCGAGTGACTGAGACTTGAAGCTGCCTTGTTGCTTCAGAGGACACAGAGCCGTTCTCGTGGCCTCACAACGACTGCAAGAAGTGGGCCAAAGGCATGTTGCGGGCACCGCACTTGGCGATTCCCACCACGTGGCCCACAACCGATGGCGATTTGTGCATCGTGTGCAGCAAGAGACCAGCGCATGTTTGCTGAGTTGATGGGCATCAAAGAGGATCCCGTGGATGGCCAGGGACACCAAGTTGTGGTTGGCAAATTTGTCGAAGCAACGCTTTTCGTGTTGAAGCTTTTGAGGTGCCATCGACAAGCTCACGAGGCCGAGAGCAGCAGCCGAGTTGTGTGTGGATCGTGCTTTGTCCCTGTGCATGGCAACTTTCGGCAGTGAGTGCGATCTCAAGAATGGGCAGAGTCCAAGTGCTAGCGCATTAAGCGCCCAGGGCCATGACTGCTCTCATTCTTTGTCCCGCTGGAGCCCAGGGGAAACGTTCGGCTGAGAGACATCATCACATGCGGTGGCAGCACGACTCCGAGCGCAACGCGTTGGGAGCTCAGCCGAAAGGCTGCACGTGGACAATGAAGGACAGCGAAGCAGAAGTGTCTTTGCATGATCTGCAGCCATTCGGTAGCATCTTTTGGCCCTTGAGGTCTCATCGGCTGCATGCAGTAGCAGGTGGTCGGCACAGGACTCTTTGAAAGCGATTTCTGACGTGGCAAGTTGGATTTGTTGGCTAGTCACATGTTGTGTGCTGCCGCCGTTTGCGACATATCAAGCACGATGACGCGGGGCATCTTCGCGTCACGGCCCACCCTCTTAGCAGGTGGGTGCAGCTGCAAAGTGCACAAACGGAACCCAGAGCTGTTGAATATAAAATGGCGACGGCTCAGCTCCAGTCGAAGTGCCGTCTCGTCAGGCCATTCCCGCAGAGCGCGGTTTTGACGTGTGCGAAAAAGCTGGGCCACGTCTGAAGCGAGCGAGGTTCTCGGATTCTTGGATTTCATGCTGTACGTTGAAGCATGTGAACACTTTCGGAGGTGATATGCTGAGCATCAATTATGCACCGGCGGTGCCAGGGCTGCTGCAGTGTGCTCAGCTGCTGCTGCTGCTGCTGCTGCTGCTGCTGCATCCGCCACGTTCACATTGCCACACCCCGAGCTATGTGGATCTCATGTAAAGTCGGTGAAGGCTCATCGCTTGCAGCATCCACCTCGCTGCATCCAGCCGCGGTGAGGTTGGGTCATGGCCGGTTGAAGAGGTTATCATTGCTCTTATTTTCATTCTTGGATGACCGCAATTGAAGTGGTGGTGGTGGTGGTGGTGGTCGTGGCAGCCGTCGTCGTCGTCGTGGTAGTTGTGGTTGGTTTAACCAGAAACTGTCTACTCAGGTAAAATTTGTTGCCACCCTCTCCAACAAAACTGCCTCGAAGCCCGCCTGCGCACACAAAGCGCTCACTTGGAGACAGTAAGCCAATAATCGGCGGCGCAGCGGGTCTACAAATTGACGGTTTTACCGCGCAACCAATGCTGGCAGGAGTATCCAGTATAAGGTTCAACCAGGGGTTGAAACTTGTACTTGTACGTGTTCTCGTTCTTCTTGTTGTTATTGCTGCTGTGTACGCCACTCGCCGCCCCGAAAGGTATGCACAACTCGGGCCGGCGAGTAAGGTACATGGAGGGTCCTTCAGGTTTGGCGTGATGACGGTGCTGCTTGATGCCCGTGCTAGTATGATGTGATGCTACTGGGGTATACGGGGCACGGGGCATGATACCGTGCCGTCTGACTTCTGCCCAGTGCTCTGTTTCCGCATGTCATGACGCACATGAAGCCCCTCTGTGCAGTGACACTTCTGCACAGAGGTTCCGTCTGTCAACAACACTGCTCGATCCACATGGATCCCCGGGTTAACAACATTCCCACTGCCCTCTAGCATGATCTCAAGACAGATGGTGCCTGCATATATCCAGCTTTGGTCAAGAAGGTTTCCGCGGCATCAAGCTGCATCAGGCCAGCCACCGGGCCACACAGTTCACTGCCAAGGCCACAGGACCCAAATCGAACAACATCAAGTTGGCAGGAACTCAGGCTCTCGATGGTACTTGGGCACATTTAAGGGGGTGGTCCCTTTCTTTGCTAGCAAGGATCAGCGCACCAAGACCGGTCATCCGGATATCTTGAACAATGCTTTCAGTTCTGTCTGGAGGCACAATTTCCCGTGCCTGAACAGGCCCTTAGAAACGGCTTTGGTGAAGGTTCTCCACACGCAGTGAAAAACATTCGTGTTGCATTGCTGTGGGGATTGAGAGATGAACGTGTATGTATGTGTGTATGCATGCATGCATGTGTGAAACTGTGTAAGATGTGTATGTGCAACTTTGATGTGTACATATGTGCATACATATATGCTACATGTACACACAAACACATTCACATACAAATGCATCTATGATGTCTTAAAACTTGCTTTCAAGTGTAGGCATACTGCAGTTCGAGGCTTTCCGCTGCTTCTAGAGGCATTTGGGGTGTGATTCAGGCTTCTGGTACTTCGCATTTGAGGTTGGGGCGTTTAGGGCTGCGGGCTGCATGTGGGCGGTTTGACTTGTCTGACGACGAAGGTCCTACTGGTGTGTTGAAACTATTTGAGACCCACGCCTACGTGGCAGACTTTCCGGGATGAATGTCACAGATTCAGGCTCTAGGATTGGTACGCAGCTTCACGGAGCCAGAGTCACCTGTAGCTGAGACATGCGTGAACTTAAACCCAACAGTTGAAATCTTGAAGCCATATCCAAACCCTATAAGACCTAAGCCCCACTTGGTCTTAGATGTCACCAAGAACAGCAGTCTCTTTTAAGCCCCTTAATGCCACCCAAGAATATCCAACAGTGCGAAAGTGTCAGCATGAGGTTGCGCCAGGCACACGGTCAGCAAACAACTTGCGGCTTGAATGTTGTATTGTGGTGATGCGGCCGAATCTGGTAGCAGCACGCATTGCAGGACTCCTTGTGTGCTGTTGATAGCAGGCATCTCTCAGTGATTCGGATGCCGTGAAGGGCGTGCTGCCCAGAGCGTGATCTTCTCGCTGAACATCTCCGCAGAGTTTTTTGCCTTCGCTGCTGCTACTGTATCTTACAGATGCAGGTCCGGAGGCGGATGTGCCAAAGCATTGCGAAGAGGCCGAAAATAAATCACACTGCTTCATTGTGGGGTGGCAGGTGGGCTGACGTTCGCAGCAGGCTGTTCAGCATAGCCACTCCGCGAGTGAAACGATCAAGGCGCGTCCGCAGCTGGTTCGTGCGGCTTGCGATTGTTCCGTCGAATCTGTGCATTTTGTACTGGTACATTAGCGCCATACCGGCTCCAAATTTTATGGGCGTTCGTGGGCTCAAGATGAGGTTTGCTTGCCGATGGCACAGGCATGGTGTAAGATATCCTGAATACTACGAAGCCACAGAATGCCACAGATACAGACAGACCTTCTTTCGCACCCACACGCGAGAGTGAGGACTTGCCACATGAAACACCGACGTGCCAGCACGATCCGGCATGCCCTCACGACGCACAGAGATGGAGACAGACACAGAAAGACACAGACAGACACGGACAGACACGGACAGATACGGACAGACACAGACACACAGACAGACGCAGAGACAGAGATAGACGGAGATAGAGGCGAGGCAAATGTGTAGGCACAAGCCTGGACATAGTCCAAGGGTTCATTCTCAACAGTCGTTCTGCCGGAAGTTCTCCAATGTCAGCCCATGGCAGTGCTGGTTGCAAGGCGCCCTTGTCAAGAGATCTCTTGTAGTGACATAGTGCCGATTCAAGAGTCTCAGCACAGGCAGGCGATGCATTTACAAAGCCGGCGGGGGGCGCAGCTACAGGACCTTAGCATCCAGTTTCCACTAGATGCGACAGGAGATGACTCCTTCACTAGCCGGTGAGGACTCTCTGCGATGCTGCTTGCGCTAAGAGGGACGCAGCGAGGCCCCGCTGCGCCTTGGCTAAACCCAGCTGAGAGTCATCGTTCAAGATATTGATCATATTGATGCGCGATCATGCTAGCTTTCCGTTTTTCTGCAGAATACTGAATCCAGTTGGTGTACCCAGGCCCATACGGAAATGCGACGTGAGGCCCAGTGGCACAACAAGAAGTTGGAATTGCAATGTGTCGGAACGACTTGTCAGGTCTCCTCGTCAGACGAAAGATGCGAGAGCGAGGATGAAGCGGACGCAGATTACGTGGCGGCCGAAGCGATCGGCGTGTCTGAGGCTGTCATTATGAGAGACAGCCGGGCTTTCTCAAAAATGGGATGGAACATCCGTAGAGCCTGCGACAGGAGGAAACGTATCTGGAAGACTCCGAGGCCGGAGTGGCTGCAACATCTGCCGTCAAGATACCGTTGCAAGAAGTGTAGTGCGACAAGCCGGCTTCGCAACGGTTGATACAGGAGTCTTCCTTCGACGAGGATACGGAGGTCGAGTGGCTTGGGCCCATTTTTTCTGCTCCTCACTTCCGGGTCTGATGGGCCCAACCCCCCAGGCACGACGAACATGTCAAGTCATCGAAGGTCCGAATCCTCGACACGAAGGTCAGCACGCGAAGGAGGCCCGCAATGCGCTACTGTCCTTGGGCACCCGAGCTTTCGATTGCGAAAGCTGCAGGTTTGCAGGCGAGATCGACGGGAGCGATGCGATCCAGGCCGGCCCTCCAGGGGGTGCATCCGAGAAAAAGAGAGAGTTGCCGGCGCATGGCACCTTCAAGGCGAAGCTCCGCTACTCGGGGCGAAACCGAGGCCAGGCCTCGGCCTCGCTGGGTTCTTAGCACTCGGGCTGATCCGAAAGTTTGTGGCCAGAACATCTTGGATCCGGAGGAGGAGCGCAAGCAGCTATACTGTAGCCAGACTATGCACTCGCGGTGTCCTATTGTGACGCGATGCAGGAATTGGACAAGGATGCATTCCAGAGCTTCATGCCCTTGGATCTGCGTTTTGATGGCGAAGAGGCCTTCCGCAGGTCGAGCCATATCAAAGCAACTGGGATTTGCTTGGAGGCCCTGCGGCTGGCGGAATCGGAGTGTGCTGAGAAGGAGAAGCTTGCACCACCACCCGAGGCGCGAGCCGTGCGCCAGAATGAGCCAGATGTGGCAAGCCGGAAGTGTAATGTCTTTGTTAAATCGGCAGGATGACAGCTGGCGAGATTGGGGAAACCTCGCCAGTGCGCCAAGGTACTTTTCGTCAGCATCGGTTGTCCCAGTAGTGCTGTGCGGCGGGCGGCATGCGCCGGAGAGAAAGCGTCGTCGTACTTGCCAGGCCTGGCAACGAAGGCTTCAACAGCTTCGCAGCAGCACGTCTGCAGACACATCAAGCACGGGTGCTTCAAGCAGGACGCCAAGCCAAGACGAAGACGAAGGGCTTAAGCGGGTGTTTTGCTACTTTTTGGATCTTTTGGAAAGGTAGTCTTAGAATTAGGAACTCCAGCTTTGGAGAAAGGAGCTGGACGTTGAGAACAAAACTTTTTTGGCCGATGGGGTTCACTGGGAAGGGTTTACTGTGCGTCAAGGACCGCAATCCTGCCCGCTGCAACCTCACCAGGCCGATGGGTCGGGCTGCCTTTGCTCAAGCAACAAAATTCGAAAGTACGGGTGCGGCAGCTGCGACATGTGAAGAACGACTGTTCCGACACAACTACCCAAACGAGCAGTAGTAGGCGCGGGTACGACGGAATGCCTGCCCAGCTGTGGCCAGCTTGTCAGATGAAACTGATCTGTGTCATCTGGTCCTGCCAGGCTGCTGTGGCCTTTTTTTTGTCACCAAGTTCTCCCATCCGGAGGTGCACCGTGAGCAGCTCTTGAGTATTTCAGGGTTAGCCTGTCCGTGTCGAGGCTTCTGGTTGATCACCCGACAGGCTCTGGGAAGACTCGGGAAATGATTTGCGCTGCATGTCTGAATGGTTCGGTAGCTTCATGCCTTGTTATAGCACGCAGTAGCCAGTAGCCGGCAGGCAGGCCCGCGCCCAAAATCCAATCAACAAACCCCATATCTAGCACCCCTGTGCCATAAACCTCCCTGTGTATTGCCCGTTTAAGTTTACCCATCGCCACACTCCTGTTCTATACCTTTGCGTGAGGCGAGGTGCTTCTCTAATCGAAAGAAAGTCGATCCATTGCAGAATCAGAAACTGGGCCTTGAATCAGAGACTGCGCATCAGAAACTGCGCATCAGAAACTGCGCATCAGAAACCGCACATCAGAAACTGTGCATCAGCAACCAGCACGCACGAGAAACTGCGCATCAGCAACCAGCACGCACCAGGAATTTCGCATCAGCAACCAGCTCGCTTGAGAAACTGCGCATCAGAAACCAGCGCGTATCAGAAACTGGAGGCGCGTATCATGAACTGGACTTTGAAAAGTGGCACGGGACCATGGGGGGTTGGGGGTGGCATGGTAACGTCCATGGCCTTCTGAGCACAAAGCATCCGGGGCCCGACAGAGTATCCATGGCCCAACCATGATACCATGGTCTGATGCATCCTGACTTCATATGGGGGGGGGGGCATGGTCACGTCCATGGTCTGATGCATGCTGAGCACAAAGCATCCAGGGCCCAACAGAGCATTCTTTTGGCAAGGAGCGTGGCCTCAGTTCGTATGGCCGAACCAACTTCAGCTTGTACAATCTAATGAAGCCTTGAGAGTTTAGCCCTGCCCGGCCCTTGGGTCCGCAATGTTCCTGGCAACCGTTCCCGAATCAGGGCTTTTGGTTTCCGAAGGATGCGTCTGGTTTCTGATTCAGCCGCGCTGGTTTCCGAATCAGTCGTTCTGGTTTCCGGATCAGTCGGTCTGGTTTCTGAATCAGCCGTTTTGGTTTCCGAATCAGCCGCTCGCTGATTTCTAAATCATGGCTGGTTTCTGATTCAGCCGTTCTGGTTACTGATTCAGTCGTTCTGGTTACCGATCTTTCCGCCGACCAATGACACGACAGGCAGCAGTTTTTCTATGTTCTAAATACGTACGTTGACAGGTGTCTGTTGACATATAATGGGCTCGGTGCTGCGTGCTTCGGCCATGTCAAGATCGATTTTGGCCAGTCTCTCCGCCAAATACATACCGTGTTCTGCTTTCCCTGACAATGCAAAATGTTCTCATACGTCTTTAAGTCATACAAAGCCTCAGTGCTAAACTTTACACTGGCCCCCGGACGAAACCACAGCAGCCCTTATGTCCAAGCCCACGTACCCGAAGCCGAAACCCAAGAAACTGGAGGCCCTAAACCTACCAGCTCAAAGACCCAGACACCGTGGTCTAGTAAGTTGAACCCTCGACACACCCAGCTCTCAGCCCCGAACCCTGCCCTTAAGTTTTTAACCTTCACACTTTACACACTCTAATCCACAACCCAAAAGTGTGTGGCTTCTGTACGGGCTCAGGTAGGGTTGGTGGGGTATCGCCGTGAGTGCTTAGCATGAAAGCCTTGCATTTTTTGCTTTGGATTACTACGCTGTGCGGGTTCAGGTTTCGGATGTTAGGCATCGTCTTCACTAGGCTTTCAGAGGTTAGGGTTTTAGGGCCGAGGCTTTATAGATGTATAGTCGACACTTTGCTTGGATTAGATTTAGAGGCTAAACTTTTCGGGTTAGGGTTGAGGACTTTTAGATTTTCAAACTTGGAGTTTAGGGGCAGGATTTAGGGCCGAGGGTGCCTCCCAAGTGCCACGGTCGACATTGTTTGGTTAGGGACTAGGCTTGGTTCAGGTTGCAGCTTCGATGTTTTTTTGGGTTGGGCTTTGCGGCTTCTACGCGTGGAGTCGCGGACACTTGTGTGCGTGTGTGTGTGTGTGTAACATATCAGTGATGCTGCCAGCGGCTTTTGCAGGATGAGGCCTCTCAGCATTGAGCAACCTTCAAACAAACGTTTTGGTCGGGGGAGATGTCTTCAGTTGCAGGCTTTGTCGGACATGCTACGGGGACACCATGGTCTGGCGGGCAGCAAAACGCTTTCCCTCTTGGTGTGTCCGTGCTTGGAACGACTACCCCACCGCCAGCCCTGTCAGCGAGCTAGCTGTTGTGTCAGAAGTGTAGCACCATGAAGAAACAAATTGTAGGGATTGAAGAGCTTCCGATCCCGAAAAGGGCCGTCTTGCCCAATGGCGCCTTTGAATCGGAGAGCATTGAACTCTTGCCAGATTTTCCCGATGATGCAAGTGGAAGGGAGGGAAGAGATGCGTTTATGTTGGCCCCAGTGCACTGCAGGTCGTGCACTCACTCGCTCGGCCACTGGCTCGTTACGTCGTTTGTTTAAAAAGTCAGTATATTTGACTGTATTAGCCGAAGATCTCACATTCTTCGTGTTGGGGAAAAACGTGCTGTAAATGGTTTATCCCTGTCTGCCCTTGAGGGTGCTATTCTTTTGGCTCAGGGCTTCTTTGCCTAACAGGGGTTTGTGCCCAGTGTTTTGGGCTCAGTCTTCAGGTTCAGATCCTACGACTCCCAGGATGCCTAAATTGAGTTTTCGATGTCCTGAACTCGAAGCACGGAGCTTCCACCTTCAACGCCAAGCACCCACGCAGACCAACGGGACGGGAGCAGAAATCGCTGGGTCCTCGGGAGCCACCGGACGCAACAAACGAAACAGTTCATTGAGTCGACCTGTTTTTCTCGACCCCATGATTAATTGAAAGATAGCTTTGTCGGTACTGGGCTTATGGGTACCAGGATATCGACCATTTGTGGGTGGGAATTTTGGGCAGGACGTGAGTTGAGAATGATACTTTTGGTTAGCCGAGTGAGCACAGGGCTTAATACGGGGATATCTAGATATGGGACTTTATGGATTGAGTTTTGGGTGCAGGCCTGCCCTGCACATCCAAGGTCTTGAATGGCTTTTTCAGCGACAGCCGGCCGAAGGTTCTGATCTTTCCAACGCAGGCGGTCTGCAGGCACATGCTTGGAACATCGTGGTATGATGTGCAGACCCAGGCTTTTGTTAACTGGGCGAGTTCGAACCGCATCGATTGTCAGGAACTTCTATGCTGAGCTGCTTGCTTGGCCATCCCGGTACCGCGACTACTATTGCAGCATTTGTCCAGGCATGCTCTATTTACAGAATAATTGAGGTGGTTTGAACCGCGGCGCAGTGTGGCAACAAATAGATTGCCGCACAGGTGGAGCTTTGCTGGCGTGTGGGACGGCAGTTTGGCAGAGCAGACGACTCCAGCACTGGAATCTGGCCCAGCTGGCTCGGGTTTGACCAAGAATCCGTAGCGGAGCACATAGCGGAGCATTTAGCGGGGGCTTCGCAAAAGAAACTGGTCTCTCTCTCTCTCCCTCCCTCCGCCAGGGTCGGCTTCCAGAAGCACGGCTCCGGGAACTCGCGCGCTCCTGCCGGGAGGTCCTCGAAATGAGGCCCTGAAACACAGCCACAGCCACTTTTGCTGAACTGGTTGCCCTTGCTCTGTTCTGCAGGGGAGCATGCTTTGATGGACGCTTGTGCCCAGGACGCAATAGTGGCAAGAGAGACATCCTAGGTCTCAGGCTTTGCATCAGCATGTTCGTTCAGCAAGCCCAGTCGTGTGCATGGAGGCGCCCGGGCATCGAAGAGGCTTTCCTTGCGCAGCACCCTGGAGAGCACTTCCCAGGACGGGCCTTCCCACTCTGCTTCTGCGGGCTTAATCGTGTCACCAATGACATGAGATAGTTTGTTGCGTCTAGCTCTTTAGGACAGCATATAGTGGAATCACGGACAGTATAGCCGCTTGGTCGACGGCGAGCTGGATCTCAGGAGCGCCTTTGAGGGCTCTGAGCTTTGCAAGCGCAGGCGGAGGCCATGCCAGGCCAGTGCTGAGCAAAAATCACACCGGCTGAAGCATGCAAGTTGATTCGAACACTTTGTTGTGCAGTGTCCGATCTCAGACAGATTGGCGCACGAAACCTGATTTGCGAAAGCCGATTGCCCGCAGCATCAGAGATCATATGATTTTCCAGCCATCCGGGCTGCGAGGATGTCCTTCAAATCCGGGATGTTGACGTGGTTGGCAGCTCTGTGCCTTGCGACAGCAGAGCCCGTGACTCCACAGAGCTTCACGGTGTATTCGGAGCCAATCAAGTTGCGGTATGGTGAAGTATACAACAAGAAGCAGGGCCCGATGGCTCTGCCACAAAATATCGTGGAGCGATATTTCGACCAGGGAAAGGCAATGGCAATTACCGGTTTCGATGTCGACATGGTCCGAAAGGATGCAGCAGGTACGGAGACAAGAGTCAAGCTGAGTGACCACTATTTGCATCATTACATCCTGGCGATGGGCGATAACAGCACGATGAACAAGATTGAGGAGGAGGCTGCCAAAGACAAGATGTTTGCCCGGATGCTTCATGGCTGCCATGGCATGACAGGCTCGCATGTGCATTCTTTCCTGACGGGCTTGTCAGATTCCCCCGATCTGGTCTACTTCGGCAGTGCAGCTGGCGCTGAGTATCGACACAACCCGCAAAGATATCAAGCACCCTTCCGCAGATTGATCCGAAAGCCCCACGTTTGGGCACCAACTTTCCACGTGATCAACACTAACAGGCCTTTGCGAAACACATCTCTGCCGTACTCGCCGCTGCTAGAATGCCCATGTACTCCCCAGCGGAAGATTGATGTGAAGCAAGGGAAGATTGACGGCAAAGATCCTGACCCTGCTATCGAGCGTTTCAGCAGCAATTGTTGTCTAGGCTTCTGGAGCGTTGTGTCCCCGTAACTCTGCGTGGCATAGCACACTGTTTGTTTTTGCCGACAGCCATAATTTTCCCGCAGTCCAAGGTGCAGCCCGGAGTTTGAAAAGACCGGAAATCCCTCTTGCCACCTGGCCACCTATGCTGGCGGATGGCGCTGCTGCGAGCACGGTGTGTTTCTAATCGACACCGACAAAGAGTGCACCGATCCGCAGTGTTCGGAGGAACAAACGGATGAGATCTTCATGAAGTACCTGAAGCATTTAATTTGGCATGCCCTGATTTCTGGTTTTGACTGCTGCTACTGGCATTTTTGTACGCTTACTCTGTGCGTCAGAGGTACACCTTCTACTACGAGGATGCCAGCCCAGAGACGCGCAAGATGGAGATGGCTGCCTGCTGCGATGTCACCAGCGATAAGCAGGGGTTTGAAAACATAGAGTACGACGTTCCCGCTTGTGTGCCGGGCACCCCTTCGGAGAAATGCTTGCACGTAGTTGAATCAGTGCAGCCTGTGGCCTATTTCCACAGACATCCGAAGTCTCCCAACGACCGGCACAGAGCAGACGAATTAGTGGACCTCGTCTTTGCAGCACCCCACCTTCATGTTGCGGGCTTGTCCATCGAACTCATCGACGACATTACGAACAAAACCCTTTGCTCCGTTATCGCCAGCGTGGACAACCAAGGTGGAGTAATGTATGGGAACGGGACTGAAGCTGGAAACGAAGACGGATACTTAGTTGGACTGCGTCCCTGTACTTGGGGCAGTGATGCTCCTCGCTTCCAGAGAAATCATCCCCTCAGAACCCGGGCGACCTACAATGCATCCCGTGTTCATACCGGTGTCATGTCACTCTGGTTGATGGATGTTTCAGCCGCTCCAGATGGTGACTTTGTAGTGTGACCGCGAATGTCGCTCGTTTCCTCGCGTCTGTGTGATTGGCACAGACCGAAGTCCACGAGACTCCGTGAACCTCCGGAGTGCAGCTAGGCGTCCATGGGGGCACAGAGCGTGGAAAATGTGCTGAAAGCAGCAGAAGACGGTTCAAAGGGTCATGCCATGCAGCAGCCCTTGTACACACAGCCCAATCCATCACCCCTGCTGTGACTGCAGGCTGGACGACCGTGGGTGACCCATGTCTGCCTTCTTGAAGGCAGAGCGGTATTACTTGTCGGCCCTGTGTCTGGTTGGGTAGCTTTCGCACAGGGTACACTTCAATGTCGTTTATAAGATTCGGCAAGGTGGGACATCCGCATCCATCCAGAAATGTCTACGACCGGAAAGTGATACTCATGGATGAGTCCTTCGGCACCAGCAATGGGACCCAACAGCAGGTTGTTTCTGTCTTGGCAGTAACTATTCTGAGACTTGCCGGGAGCTAAGAATTCAAATGTATGACTCCCAACTCGTGAGCCTCGATACTATCGAGTTCGACAGCGGGCTGGGTTTGATGACGTTTTAGGACTGTGCTTCCCGTTGTGTTTGGACGGTGGTAGGCCGGTAGGCCATGTTGGAGATGGGTGTCCAAGCTCTGAGAATCAAGCTCCCAAGCTTAACTCTGGTGACGGCGTCGTCAACACCGTAAATGCATTGTAGCGCATTTAGATCTGGAGCCTTCCGGTGCCCCCGCGATTTGTCGAATTCCGGATTACCCCACAGAACGGCACCCAGACACATGCTTTAAAAGCATGCAGGGCCGCCTTGCATACCCTCCGTCCCCCGACGGCACAGAAAGTCATCTTTCCGCCAAGGGTTCATCACCTGGTTCGCACCGACTCGCAGTACTCGGAGCAGCTGGCAATCCTTCGAGATCGGTTATCAGCCGCCGACGGATCTGTTTTGGTCGGGTTTACCGGCACTCCCCTTCTCATTGGTCCCGCTGACGGCCGAAGGCTCTTAGATATTATCAAAGGTGGGCCCGCTCCGCACGCCTGTGACGAAGGATTCCTGAGCTCCTTGAGCTGCAAGCCGACGTCGCTCTTTCCGCTCTGTGTACCAGCAGGTGTTGACAGGGCCGACCTGGTAAGTGCAACGAAGCTTTGCTGCAGGGTTATCCTTCGAGGCGAGGCATTGCAATCCTACGTTTTACGCAGCAACATGGAGCCCAGCCGACGCAGACTGCAGGCATATTGCAACTTACACGTCTTCTCCGGATCCTATCACGGCGGACGGCACGGGTGCCAGGAGTTTGTCCTGAAGCATCCGCAACATTGTGCCCCCAAATTCTGGAAAATGGCACGAAGTATTGGCAACACACGACAGAAGGCGCTCGTCTTGATCTCCAGAGGCACGGGCTATCGAGCAGCTGTCGACATATTGCGCCAAGAAGCCTCTCGTGCAGAACCACCGTTCCAGGTGGCCTGCATTGATAACTTGGCAGAGTTCAACTCTCCAGAAAACCTCAGAGGCGAACTGTTCCTTTGTATGGTTGCAGATTCCAACCAATGCGGCGAAGGCGTCTCGTTTCGCTCAGTCCGGCAGCTGTTTTTGCTTGACGTGCCCTCGACACCAACCACCCTGGTCCAGATTTGTGGCCGGGCCAGTCGAATGTTGGGACACCAAGCACTGCCCGAGCAAGATCGGGTTGTGCGAGTGCAGATCTTCATCGCGACGGTGCCAGACTGGGCAAGGCAGCCCCTGGGACGTTGGTGTTTGATCGCTGCGGCTCGAAAGGGCCAGTCGGGGCGGAAATTTGAAAAGCGGGCCCAAGGGTTGTTCGCACAACTTCTGGACAAATTCGGGGACCTCAGAAAGCTCAAAGGGAAGCTGATGGGTATTTGCAAGAAGAAGGCTTCCATGCTGCAGAACTCTTTCAACAACCTCGAGGAGCATTGTCAGGGCAGCGCACACTAATCACAGATTGATCCGGATTTGAAAGAGCTCCCAGGCTCTTGCGCTGAAAGGCTCTAGAGCAAGAGAGCAGGTAGGAAGCACTAATGCAATCTTACCTGAGGAGCCACATCCACGGGTGCTTATCCACGAGGGCCACTTGGCTTGATGGTGGCATCGCATACCCAGGAGTCTCAGAGCACTGCCCAGGCTTGCCACGGCTCCGGCAGGTTGAGAAGGAAGACGTGGAAGACATCATGCGGAAGATTGGGTGCTCCAAGGACGCACTGCGTTTGAGTGGTGGCTATCAGCAGTGGAGCAGTGGAACAATCTGTAGCCGACTGTAGACAGGAACATCGCCTCGGCTCAGGAAGTGAGCTGTGTAAGGCGACAACTGCTTTGATTTCATCATGCTCCCAGCGTCCTACAGCGCAGCGTGCCTGTTTTTCTGGCAGGCATTGAACTGGCTGTACCAGTCAGAGACGCTCTTACATGATGAATTCCGCACAGCTGATGAGCTGGCTATGGAAGAGCTGCAAGAGAAGCCTGGCTGAAAACGGAGAGAATGTTTGGCTTGGTGAATTCCTGCTTGCACCTGTGCCAAGGGCATCAACTTCGTATGCAGGCCAGGGCCGGGAGTCAAGCGTGTGGAATTTCGCAAAGGGCCACGAGCCACGGAATGGCTTGTCACGCATGCAGGTGCTCAGACAGAGTTCCGTGGGAAGGCGATGGACCGCGAGGCCGTTGATACAGTAGGGGAGACGGCGACGGACCTCTTGCTATCTCTTGAACTCTGTGTGTGTGTGTCTGTTTGTGTGCAGGTCTTGGCTGACCAGTTCAACGGGCAACAGGCTTCATTGATGCATTGCATCAGACCTGCCGAGCAGTGTCGGCAGGGGTCCTGGAAGACTCTTGCGCTGTGCGTCCCAGTCTGAGGCCGCAAAGCGACAAGCTTCCTTTGTGTCGAAGGTCGGAGCGCGCTCTGCTGAAATCCTACCACCCGAATTAAGAATTGTCAATCCACGTCCGCATAAGCCTTTGCATACCGTGCGAAGGATGCCGGCGACCTGACATCCACCTCTCCGAAGCGATTCCGCCTGACATTCAAACAGCCAGGACCCGGAAATGCAAGGATCCGTCGAAGGACTCGAGAAAGCTTGATTGGGCCAGGAGAGGCCACAGCAGTGAGTCTCAGGCCTTTGTCTGCTGCTGCGGCTGCTTGAGTTTTTGGTGCCAGACCTAGACTTCCGAAGCTGCATGCGGGCTTCGCATGGCTTCTCGCAAGCCGGCGGATCATAGCTTCGCGGACATTGACTTTTCGGTGGACAGGCGGCAGATGCGATCTGGAACCGCTGCCAACCTCAATGCCTGGGGATGACGGCCATCGTTACGTCGTTGGAGAGTTTCCGGCCTCCTGTCGAAGACCCGGCACTGAAAGATTTGAAAGTGACAGGCACATGCAGCAGAACTACGCCGTGCCAGAGGGCACTGTACCAGTAAGAGACGCATCTAGTGCATCCCAATGTGATGCCAGACCGCACCAGTCGCAGAGGGCATAATGTCAAAAGCAACGCACGGCTTGAGTAGGGGCACAAGCACGTGGCAGTTGATCGTGCTCGAGATGTGAATCTTTCAGGCGCTCCAGGCCTGCATCGAGGACCTGGAGAGGCACAGCCTGGAACGAACTCGTTGAGAGTGTGTGTGTGTGTGTGGACGATGCTGCGAGGCACTCAAGCCAAAGCAAGGCAGCGCATTCGCAAGCGAAGCAGACGAGCCAAACGTGCCCTGCGCTTTCTGGCTGGGTAGGAACACCTTGAAGCATGAGTCTGCTATGATGCGGCTCTGCTGTGGCCCGCGATGTGATGAATTGAACCCTCTTTTCAAGTGGTGTGTGCACGTATCTCGTTCGATCTGGCGGCCCATGCTTCAGGCATCATCACCAGGTACTCATATAAGACTCATATATTGATATGGAAACCCGGCGATGCTGATGATGGAATCCTGTCTGGAGTCCTCAGTCCTTCACTCTCAACGATCCTGCGTAATGTATATACAAATTCACCCACCATTTGTCTCGCCTTTCGCGACGTGCTGCCCTAGCCCCGCTCCTGCTATGTAATATTCTCTAGCTAACCGCCCGCGCCTTCTCATTGCAGTAGTTCACGAGGTATGCCAACGACGTCAACATGTTGGGCTCCTTCCTGCAGTGCGCTTCCTAATGCGGTGCGAAACAGTGCCATAAACTCCAGTAGAAGAACAGCTCGGTGTCGGTATGGGACAAGAATCTACCTTTCGGCTGCGAAGCCTGCAGCTCCCAAGTTGTCATTGGGTGTGTTTCTGCAAGAGCCCAGCATCGGCATCGTTTCAGTCTCTGCATATGCGAATTCGCACATGATCCGCCATATGGTGCACTGCAGCACCGATTCAGGTCCTTGAAAGCCACGCTCAACAAGACCTACGAGTGATCTGGCCGCAGTGAATGGTTCACAGCAGGAGAGCAGCTTCGGAGCGGAGATCAGATTCGTGGGAGGTTGGGAAGGAGAACAAGTTGCGCCAAACCTGCAGCTAGAAAAAAGTTTTGTGACGCCGTTTTTCTGACATGTCCTGAACATCTTTGCATGGAGTATGCTAGGTTCCTAGATGATCTAGATGGAGGACAGGCTACATAGGCCTTTGTTGTATGAAGTACAGTAGAAATTGCTGTAGGCAGTGTCCGTTTCCTGAGCCTCTTGGGCCTTGGTTCTGGTAGTACTCGTGTGCGGCATGGGTCGCATACTCTCTGTGTTTGGAATTGGGCTGAACCTATCCTTTCATCGCCTACGAGAGCTCGTCGGAAGATTATAATGCACAATGCTGCTTGACAGAGAGACTGCGACTGCATGAATACTCCGGCATCAGGAAGCACAAGCTGCAATACACCAGTCTTCGTGAAGATCATCAGCAGGCTTGTGCCGCGGGCAGGAAGCTAGGAAGCATGTGCTTGTGATTCTGACTACATCCATGGTCTTGCTGGATTCCAGCACTAACGCCCAGGGCATGCTCTCGGTGTGCAGGTTGTTTCTGGATTGATCCAAAAGCTGGCCACTTTGGAGGCACCCGGCCTTCAAGTTGAAAGGAGTGATCAATGCAAGAATGTCCAGGCTCTGGAAGGCAAGGAGCGAGCCCATCAGCATGCCAGGGTCCGAGCGGCTCAAGCGCCCGCATCGGAGCCAAGCGCCTGCGCTTGCACCAGGTCTCGCGGACTTCACATGGCAACAGCAACCGGAAACTGCACAGGAAAGGGTTGCGGAATCGTGCTGCTGCAATCCGGCCAAGAGCTTTGATGAGAGAGGATGCCCCAGACGAAGAGTTCGCTCCACCAGGCCTATACCCAAATTGCTGTCTCAAAGATCTCTCAGAGCCTCATGTCCCAGGCGAGGCAGACCTCTGTGAAGAAGTCCAAGAAGCTTGAAGAGGCTCTGCGCAAGGCAGGCTGCCTATCTGCCATCTCCACCATTCTCACCGTGTTCGTTACCCGTTACACTACATAAAGATGAGAAATGAGAGGTGGCTGAGCGCAAACAGCGTGGCTTGGCAGCACAGCACGGGGAGCATGCGCAGCACTCGCAGAGTTTGCGGAAGGTCGGCCCCGGCCCCGCAGACAGGTGCCCGGCCCGTGCTCGAGCGCCTTTTTTTTGATCTTTGGTGTCGCACTGCGTGGGCCTTTTTATAGCCTTTGGGGGAGCTTCTGAGAGCAGGGCACTGCATCGCTTCAGGGGGAAATGGGGGCACAGAGGCCACGCCGCCTGCCCGGCCGATCGACTCTGCCGATGTAAAAAGAGGATGTGGCCGATCAAAAGAAGGGCGGCTCCTTGTCAGGCGCCGAGCCTGCTGCAGCTGTCTGCCCAGAACGGCGAGGCCTGGGCAGCAGAACGGCTTCTGTTTTCTATGACTCCGACTAGCACTGAAGTCGTAGACCTCTCCGGCCCCGAAGTGGCAGGACCCGCCGAGGAATGAGGGCGACTGGAGCCAGGATCAGGTGCTGATGCTGTTCCGTCGGTCTGATGGGATTCTCCCTTGCCATCCCTTGTGCTCAAATTGAGTAGGGCATCGGTTGGTATCGGTTGAAAGCAGATGACGCAAACGTGCCCCTTTTGACACGACGTCCATTCTAATGCAAGAAGCACTTCAACATAGCATCCCGACGACGTAACGCTGGAAGTCTTCTTGTATGTGTTTGTACTTGTCGGATAACTTTACACGAATTGGTACAGTGAGCTACGGCGAAGTTGTATTGGCGCGTTCGTCTCTACATCAGGCTCGGCATCGGTGTTGTCGGCATTGGTGTTGTCGGTATTGGTGTTGCGGTAGTCTGGGTGCACGTTTCCTTCTTGTATGGAACCTTTTGCTCACCGGTACTGATGACCGCGCAGCGTTGTATCCAAGATCCGAGAACCATTGATGTATATTGATGTGGTGTTCGTCAAAGTTTGTGCATAGCCTGAAAAGACTGCAAAGACTGTGCATGTAGCATAGCTATACCGTCGAGATAAACTTGCCAACTTTGTGCCGGATCTGGTGGGTGGGTCGATGAGCAAGCTTCGGGCATGTGTAATGTTTGATCAGATGTCATCGATGGTGGGATGCCGGCAGTGAATTGCAGTATTAGTCATTCATTCGCCATAGATCACGTACAAGCCAGTGTTATTCTGCTGCTTTTCGAAGTTTTTCGAAATGTGCCGCCAGGATAAATCTAGCAGACGAGCTATTCAAGAGCCATGTCGTTGGGAGAAGGGTTTGCAGTGATTCTATGAAGTGGAACAGGTTTAAGTGTTTTTGGGTCCATGTCATGACGTCGTATCTGTGCCAAGCTCAGCGCACGCAACGACTCAGATCCTGCACCTGTGCAGGAGATCGAGCTGAACGCCAGATCGGGTCAAAACCCTACCAGCCTGATGCAACTTGCAGCCGCAAGCTCAAGATGCGTGTAATCCGAATGCTCTGTATCTCCATGCCATGCCATTCGAAGGCAACGGCCGCGGCAGAATCTCTAGTCGATGCCGTTGAGGCGACCGCGCGAAAGAGCCAAGACTGGAGCAGGTTGAGATTTGAGCAGACCGACCGCCCAATCAACCGCGTGCGCACACGGGGAATGTGTATGTGGCTTATCAGCGTAAGTCGGTATACGTGTCTTCCATCTTTCGTCCAATACGTTCCAGTACCTCAGACTGCCGTCGTCATCATTGGCGTTTTGACCAATGAGAAGACATGAAATGGTCGTCGGGGATTAGGGTACTGTCCCCGCAACTGTCGTCGAGCCAGACACTCGGAATGACTGATGCTGCCTTCGGCGAGTCTGTGTGTGTGTGCAACACATAAGGTGCAGGTATGGATAGGTGATCAGGCTCTCCCCCAGCATAATGTGGTCAACCCGCTGCCCATTTCCTTGTTCCAGCTTAGATTATATGCGACTGTAGCAAGCCAAGTTAACGATCACTCGAGCTTCAGCAAGTATGGAGTTTAAGGGATCGGAGCGAAGCAACTGCTCGGCTGCATGCCAAGTGTTGAAAGGACTGTTGTTCTTTCCTTTGTTCAGTAAAACTTGTCAATGCGGTAGAAGGACAGGTGTTCATGCCTTCCACAGCTTAGCATCTTTACCAGGAGCTGTGTTCATGTACAACTAGACACTGCATCCGAGCCTCAAAAGCCTTAGTTGAGGATGCACGCGTGACAGGTAGATAGCTGCAAGTGTACGCATGGTGCAGCAACGGTCGTTGCAAGTAAACCATCAACGGCAGGCGTTGATGCGCTTTCTGTGGAGTCTGACGACATTTCACCTAGTGTAGCTAATCCTTCTTCGAAGCCCTGCAGCTGTTGATTCTGAACATGGCAAGCTCCCATGCCGAAGCGAAGGTTAAGGTTTATCGCGGACCACACAAGCGCACGTTCTACTGTACTCTATGCCATCGGTAGAGTGTATGCCCAGGCGGTGGGAGGTTGTTGAAATTGGAAGCGGTCTCCGTCAAACAATTTGGCCCATACACGCCTCTAGCCGCATTTGAGATCTTCGTGGCAGTAGGCACAAGATCCGGCGCATTCACCGGCAAGCCTGCTGGAACAGGAGTTGCTCACACTTGATATTGTGACGACATTTACGTTTGAATTGACAACTGTGGCTGTTCTTGAGCTTGCTTGTAGGAGATGTCCAGTTTGGCCGATCTCTTCTGGAAGCCGCTGACAGGAGACGGTAGGGTCCATGTGTCACATCATACTTCATATGTGTCCTGCCGCCCCGAATTTGCCTCCTCTTAACAGACCTTTGCCAGGGGGCAAGCCAACCTTGCAAACCATCGTGACCTGGCAATAAGGGCATTCGCAGCAGATTGTGCACTCTAGTCTAGGCTCTGTCCAAGGTTGGAGTTGGCTTCACGAAGGATGATGTTGAGGCAGCGCGCATTGCAAAGCTCACCGACGGAATGATCTGTCCTGCAGGTATATTCTTATCAGGTCTGGAGGGTTTCTTCGGAGAGGGACGGGACTTCTTCAGTTGCGGGACACGCACCATGCGACAGTAGCATCATTCAGAAAGTAACAATATAGTTGAGAACATCAGAAAACATCAAAACATCCGGAAGCATCATAATAATTCCCACAACCTGGGGACAGAGCGCTCAGGTTGCCAGTATGGCCATGGGGTACTCAAGGCTCTTGTTGTCCATAGATGTTTTTCTTGTGCCAGCAAATGAGCAAAACTGGAGCCCAACACAACCAAGTCTGAACAGGACTATGGCCGCGAAAGTATCGTGAAGCATGTCCCTCTGAAAATCGTTTGCGACAAACAAAACCGGACAGTGGAAACGTATTCATGTTTTTGAATCTTTGGACATTTTTTTGAATCTTTGGACTTTATCATTGTTCTTCATGTTAATGTTCTTTTCTAAGTTTCCTCATTTTGCTGGTTTGTTCTTGCGTGGCCTGTGATTTTTCTTTTCAAACTGGGCCGAGGTATTGGATTGGAAGTGCTGCATCAGAGTTTGGGACATGGCGGGGAAAAGCGTGGGCAGATCCATTTGGTTTCCGGGGCCGGCGTTTCGTGCATGGGATCTTTCCTTGATCTGACCTCTAAATTAGCTTGCCTGGGGCACAGCTTCAGACTACACCAACGGTTTTAGACACAGGGGGGGTAGCCATGAACAGCAATAATTTCTTTTTCACTCGAAATCATTCTTCGTGAATTTAATGTTTTCTTTTTTTCCTCAAGCTCTCCATGGCACTTCAAGAGGCACTTTTCTGAAACGAACCCTCAAGATCTTGCTGAGTCAAATTGCACATGTGGGACAGCCAGCGTTAGTACATGCTCACACTTGCTCTGTGGCTGACAGGCCAGTGCAGCTGTGAATGGCGACGGACTGAAACCGAGCCACATCGAAGAGAAAGTACAGTAAGCCGCAGACGGCAGGAGTGCCCACAGTGGCACTTCATCGATCTCGCTTGGCGAACAAGAAATTGAAAATCTGTCCTCTTGCTGTCTGCATGTCTCTGCTTGATGCTGGTGTGTGTGTGTGTGTGGGCCGAGAGCTCCGCAGCATAGATCTGACGACCTGAGCGGATTGATTGATTCGTTTCTGCTGCAGGAGCACTTTGCATCAGTGATGTCCAACATAGACTTCTCTAAGAGCTTCACCGTGTCCATGGCAATTCACTGCAACGCAGTGGAAGCTGGGAGACAAGTTCCCGCTGACAAATTTCTGCAAATTGCGCCTCCTATACATTTCAAGATAACCGTCCGGCAATAAGCACATGCGCCGAGGGTCAAATCACTGCCACACAGCTTGCGCCAGGAGGCGCATAGAATTGGGTGCAAGGCCTGCTCAAGCTAGTTGAGCTGTCACGCTGCGCGCCGCTTTGGCAATCAGCCGCTGTCTTATTGTAATCAGTCGCAGCTATCTCGATTCATCGGCAAAGCTGAGAAAACAACAGCTGTTTCGCTCGGGAGGTTGATCGGCTGTTCCTTGTCGTGTGCTGTTCTTGGCACATCCTGACGGTTAAATTGCTGCGCCATCTCGAGCCGAAACATACGTGACAGACATAAGACTGAACTAGGCCATTGCTTTGCCCGATCGAATTTCAGTTTTTACACCGGTAGCCCGTCGCAGCATGGGCCGTTGAGCTGCGCTGTTGCTCAAGAGGCATTCGGTCCGCACAGCTTGCAATGAGTCTTCGACGACATCTTCGACCTGCTGCAAGGCAGACTTTAAGAGACGCCCCGTTTAGACACTTGCAAACTCAGACACGAAGTGGAAGGTGGATGAGGCCCTTTGCTTCGGCCGAAGATCACTGTTCGGCCGCCATCGCAGCAGTCGTGTGCAAACAAACCGCAGGTGGCCGGGACCACCCTGCTTCCATGCAGAGTCCTTACAATGAGATGCTACATTTGCGTTTCGGACAAGCAGGTGGCCGTCCGCGTTACCTCCTCATCAATCGCCAAGTCGATGATCCAGGCAAACTCTTGGCTGTGCGATCAGCTGCTTAAAGCGTTGGACTGATTTGGGCGATGCATGGTTGTCCGCCCAAAACATCCCCGACGTGGATGGTGTGATACCTTAGTGCCAGGACCTGCAATGCTGCGCCATCCATTTGGTCTGCCGTTGGTGAGGCATCGGATTCTTCCTTCAAAATCGTGCACCGCACAGACTCCCTCCTCCAGTACCTGATCAGTGATTCTGACCTCACCCTCCGCCTCGGAGGTTGAATCCAGGTGAGGCAGCAATTGCCACGCCCTTGTCCATTTGGGAGTCTGCTCCACACCGGAAAGAAAGCAGTAGTTGTTTGCAGAGACCACATGGCTGTGTGTTGACCTACCGGACCGAGTGCTGTTGCAGCGTCTTGTGAACGGCCGATGATCTTTGATTTTGGACACTTGCATTCTTAATCAAACGTTGTTTAGGTAGCTGCAGCCCGAGCCGTCGAAGAAGAATGTGGCCTGTCAGCCGCTTGCTCGAACTGGCAGCTCTCTGTCCCTTCTAAACCCCTCTTCCTTCTCATTTTCCCCGCCTTGTCTGATCTCGCTCCACTTCCCTCCCTTTTCCTAATCTTTCCCTTTTCCTAACTTTTTCGAAGTACTGCTTATACCTTCAAATCTCAATGACTCCACATCTCATGAAGCTGAGCCTATGGACGGACCATTATCATATCACCTCCCGCCCTACCTCCCTCCACCTACTACTAAAGCCGTTCTTGCTCTGTCCCTCTTTCTTGCTTCCGCTTCCAGTTCAAGTGATGATTATGTACACCGTCATGAATTGAGGCTCCGCGATGCACAAAATATGCATACATGAAGATATGCATGTTGAAAAAACATGTGCATCAGCCCGTGCGCAGTTACATACATACACATAGAACAAACCATGAATGGATAAATTGGTAAACATACAGGCAGCGATACGGCGATACAGAGTGAGAGAGACAGCGAGAGGGAGTGAGAGACGGACGGAGACAGCTCCGTCAAGAAATGAATAAACGGATGATGTGTGTGTCTCAAAGGGCTTGAACGGAACAGCGATTCGCTCGCAGGCCGAGTCCTTGCGCTGGCATCCGGTGCCTGGCAGAAGGCTCTGCTTCGACGGTGCGCCAACTGTTGCTTCGGTGAGGTGCCCATCACCGCGGCCACATCTCACCGACCGTCAGAGAAGTGCAGCTGCCTGCCTGCATCCCTGCCGCGGCCGGGGGCTGGGGTGGAGGTGGGGGGGGGGAAGTGAGGGTGGGCTGAAGCGGAAGCTGCGCCTGCACACTGTGCCATCCAAGGCTTTCTGATTGCATATTGCTTTGCATGGTACATTGCGACGGGCGAAGCTTGGTCTCATTCCTGGGGCTTCGTGTTGCCAAATTCGAAAGAGACTTGTAAAGTCACGAGCTCAGGAAGGACACTTTCCGAGCCCTTTCGAAGACAGCTTTAGGCGCGTCAGGGCGGCAGCGTGTGATTCCACGCCGCTCTTGTGGGCCGATTCAGGTGGTCGGCGGGTGAGGAACTGCGAGAAGTCGCACGGAAGAGAGCTCTCGGCCTGTCTTTCGCACGCGAGGTGCCGCGACCTTGCAAAGCCAGTGGGCAAAGTCCTTGCACATGTGGCCCTCCGGAGGTATTGGCGCCCCTGGAGCTCACCGAAGAACTCCTCCGCAAAGATGTGCTGCAGAGGCCCGTTCTTGGTCATTTTATGCAAGCGGCCAATAAGAATGCCAGTTGATGACACTGTTTAGGTCTCAGTCCAATTTCCTCGACAGGTCTCAGCCAGAGGAGTGGTGAGGGTGCATTGCTCAGTGTTCCCCTGCTACGTCGACGCTCCTCCGGTGGCCTGCGCCTTCTACGCGGATCTTGCTCGGTAAGCATGGGCGGAGCATGCCTCTGAACCTGTCGCACAAAACTTGATGTCGAAGGGCCTGCGCTGGAACCGGCGTGGAGCCGGCACGAGCTGATCGCACCTCACGGAAGTGCTGGCTACAGACACCGATCTTCTCACCCACGGCAAGCTAGAAGCATCAATGAGTGGTTCCAGGTTGGCTGCTTCAGCGCAAAGACATGCAAAAACCCTTGCGGTTGGATCATGCACTTCTTGCAAAAATGGTGCGAGAAGTCGGGGGTTTGAGTTCTACGGCATGTGTTCCAGTTCCGATTGTGTGTACTTCGGAAACTGAACATTGGCCTAGTTGGCATGCATTCATTGCTCACGTCCCGATGTGAATGGCTCCAGTTTCTATTCCACCGCAGACTTGTTGCAGAAAGTCGGTCAAGAGGCTTTCCAGGCAAGGTCAGGGATGGCGGGACCTTTCTGTAAGTTCAAATACAAGTTTCCATGATTTTCGATGTGCTTCGACAGCATCACAGATACAAGCTATGAGAACGAATGACGGGTCTGGGACAACCGTTCCATGGAGTCTGTGTAGAGCCCTTGATGCAGCCGCATGCTGCGCTGGAAATTGCCGTGAGCTTAATCTCTATGTGTTCCTTTCGAACTCCCGGCGACCCCTCCTCCTCCTGTTATTCCTCTCGTGCGAAGGTGGGGGAGACCAAGCACCTACTTCTCCTGCAGCCCTGCGAGTTGCCCAAGGACAGCTCGTGACTGAATCGATCTTTCTGCTCGACAGGCCAGCCCTTGCATTTCTCAGTGTTGGGCCGTGCAGGAGAGCTTTCCTACAAGTATTTGGTGCTTCGAACAGAGCTTCGCGCTGAAGCCTGGAGTCCTGGAGCTCGCAGAACTTTGTCCCAGAAGCGTGACATCCGGCTGGGCTTCGCACGGGAGGTCCTCCGCCCCTTCTTTTCCTTGGGCTCGGAGAGGCTGAGACTTTGCGAAGAGTCTTGGCTCGCGGCCACAACTCACGGAACGAGAGCTCCAGTCATGCTGTTACTGCTGCTACCCTTGTTGCTGTTTCCTGCTGACTCTCGTCGTCGTCGTCACAGCTTGTGGCCAGAGCTGTGGCACCGGACGACAACCGTTCCGTTCCGCATCTCTCTTCATCCTCCTCGTCACTCGGCTTCTGCTGACCTCGTGGACTGGTTGTTCGGACGCCGAACATGTTATTCCTTTTAGCGACAGTTTGGTGCATGTGCGGTCACCCGATTGGGCCATGCCACAGGTGCAGAGCCCGTTGATCCACGGGAGCCCGTGGAGACTTATAAGAGATTTGAAGGCCAGAGAACGGCAAGCCCGCACGAATGCCGAAGCTTCGTCATGTTGTGTTACGACGAAAAGCATCTGCTCAGGGGCTTCCAGGAAGCTCTGCAAAGCCAAGTCCGCAGGCCTGCAAACAACATGCAATCGCTTCCGGTCCTGCTCTCGGCACAGGTACCTTCGATCGAGGCCTCGATGCTTCTGCTGCGCCATGATGCCAGCTAAAGCGAACTGAGTTTTGGCTGTTTGGGTGTTCAAAACGGTTATCAAAAGTGACAGTCTTGCTACTTGCCACAACGGCTAGGGCTCTTCAATGGTGTGGTGAGAGAAGCAGAGAAGAGCTAGATGCCCGGTTCGGGCGCAACAAAGGTGGCTCACACTGTCGTAATTTTTGCCGAGGTCGGGATGCGGTGGTTTCCAGCTGGCGCAAGCTAGGCCGCGGGCGGAAGAGACAGGCTTTCGAGCCGGAGCCGGGCTCAGAGCACAGCCTGGACACACGGGGTGAAGTCACCTCCACCGATCCTTGCCCGAGGTTGCTGGAGCCAGCGGAGCGAGGTTCCGGCGCAATTTCCAGAGGCGGCTATTGGTCTCTCCGCCTCTGCTCCAGCTCTCGTGACCACAACAAATGCGAAGTTGAAACAGTGCAGGTGGCTTGAGGACCGTGGTCTCGAGCAGTCCCTGCAGACCTGGCGACGGCTTGCAGTGTACAGATGGCGGGGGCCGGAGACTGTGTGGGCCAGGCAGAGGAACAAGCAGTTGGATCCCCCGTCATCTGACGGGCGAGTCGCCCGGCGCTTCATGTACTTCGAGTACAAACCTCCTAGTTCGTCCAGACCTCAGAAGAGAAAGCTTGAAGCTAGCAGCTGCCGACTAGCGGTATCTGCACAGACGACGTTCTGGGATGCTGTAGAAACGCATCTGCCGCCGCAGCAATCAAACGTGGAGCTTCAAAATCTTGGAATCGCCCAGAGGCCTGAGAATGCCCAGCTGCATCCCGGCCCTGGATGGGAACGCAAGAAGCTTGGAATTCTTTCATGTTCTGGATAACTGCAACCACAAACGCCGCTGTTGCTGCCTCGGATGCCACTGCGATACTGTTAGAGGTGCATATCATGGGACTTGGTTCTATGGCCTGGCCAGCATCCTTCGTCACGGAGTGTTGCTGGAATCGAAGGACGCATCATGCAGACATGCGGGTGATTGCGGGTGCATACTTTACAGTTGCTTCTACATTGCATTTCAGGTTTTTCTAGCTTGCGAAATCCAGATGTGTCGGAGCTGATCCACACTCAGTCCGACTGACAAGGCCTAAGTAGACGGTATCGGCATCAGAGTAGTCGTCCAGGTCTGGATCAATGACTCTCCTTTCATTATTTGCCGCCTGCCAGTGGTCAGGACGAGGGCTTGGGGCACGAATTCTTCGTACCAGGCTGGATTTTGTTGCCGAGAGTGGGGGCATGGTGGCTTTTGCTTGCCAGGTGTCTATCTGACACCAAGCCTTGCCACGGCCAATTGGTACGCCAGACGCTTGGTTTGTTCGTGATTTGGCCCGGCAATGCCTGGCGCACGATCCCTTGTGCAGGTTCGGAAGTGTAGAGGGATGTAAGCTACTGAGTTGGTGTGGTTGGGCAGACAGGGTTTTTGCAAACAGCTTTGTTTGTGGAGTCCTGCAGCATGCTAGCGTGCAAGAGTGCAAGGATGTTGGTCGAGCTGGCGAAGCGAAGTACCGAACGAAAGAAAACATAAGCAAGTACATTAAAAAGAGGAGCGAACTTTAAACGGTGTGTCTATGTGTAAAGAAATAGGGCAGCTGGACTTCGACCGTCGACACTTTTTGCGAAACTTTCTGTTCGAGGCCAGACCTCAGACGGTCTTCGACGACGGGGCATTTCACCGAGTGATCTTGGAGGTACAGGGACCTCCTCTGCTTTTCCCAGCTAGAGACGAGTCTGTTATGAATTGCAGGTGATGTACGATCCCAGCAAGGTGAAGCACAAACGAGATCGAGGATGGGTCTGCTCCAGCTAGTCTCAAAGTCCGCAGCTGCCATGGTGAGGTGGAGGCCAAATTAGTCTACGCCTCGCGGGGGGGGGGTGGGGGCGGTGTCCAGAAGCAGCTTGAGAGGATTCCTGTTGCCATCTGTTGCCATCTGTTGCCATATGCCACTGAGTTGTCAGCAGCGACTCTGTTGCGATCGTCGGTATCATCCTCCAACCCAACTCGCCGCCCGAAAAAGGCGAGGCCGTCGACCCGTCATGGTCCGTCTTCGCCTTTAAGTCTTCCGCAATTCCAGGCGAAGAGCGCTTCGAAACTTGGCAAGACGACCTGGAAATTGTCCCACACAGCTTGGACCTCTGTTGCAGCAGCGATGGATGTCTGTGTGTGGCCAGATCTCGTGAGGCGGCTGGTGTTGCCAGCATGACCGGGAGCAAATTGCTCGCCGGCGCATGGTGTCACGCAGGTACAGCGCCGCGAGGCAAAACTCTGCGTTTGTCGCCGTGTGGGCCGTCCAAAAGCCATCCAAAAAGCAAGGAAAGTTCTTCCATGCACAGAGAAAGGGATCGTCACGAGCTGGCCTTGGCTTTCACGTAACATTGGCTCGAGCCGTAGCACGGGTGCAGGTAGGGAGAGACGAACTTCCTGCCAGAGCCATGGTCCAACCGGCGGAGATGCGTAGCGGCAGGCCCGAGCAACCAGAGCCGAGTGTAGATGGGGCACCTGTCTACACGCATAGCTTCTCAGCCTGCCACGGACGTCCTTCGCACCTCCGAGAGATCGAATTTACGAGGCTCTAGGAATCATCTGTCTTTCTCCAGCCGCACATCGCGCCATTTTCACAAGCTGTACACCTCCGGTGCCATCGCAGGTTACTGGAGCCTCCACGAGCTGGAGGGCCATGCTGCAGGGGAACACATCACCCGCGGCAGAGCCTTGACTTGCATGTCGATCTCGGACGGTCACAAACCTGTGCACAACCAAATGAGGGTTTTGAGTGCAGGATCTGGAGTTGGAGTTCGTATGTTGCGGGACCTTGATTTAGGCTCTCGCATTCAGCCCTCGTTAACACGCCGCGATTCAAGCAGCACAGCGATTCAAACAAAAAGCACGCGTGATTCAAGCGTGCACGAGTGTGCCCTGCAGAGGGTTTAGGGTTTTAAGGGTGCAGGGTTTTCACGATTCAAACTCGAGCTTTTTTGAGGGTTCAATGTTGTTTATCTCGTTGCCTACTTTTTCGAAGCATTTAAAGTTTAGGGTGTGGGGCTTTTCGGGTTCGGGATTTTCGGCTCGGGTTGAATCGCCAAAGGTTTTACGGCTCAGGGCGTTTAAGGTTGAGGTCTTGGTTCGGGTTTAGGGTTTAGGGTCCGTCAGTGTTCTTCGTTCGTGTCCTTGATCCCAGCTTCCGGCTTTAAGGGTTCGGGCTTTTAGGGTTTAGGTCTTTTGAAAGAATGTTTTTTTTAGGGCTGAGGTGTTTTGATGGATTTTTTCATGATTTTTTGACGGCGTTTCTCAGTGTGCGAATCGGTTCTTCTAGTGCTATGCCTTCGGGATGAGGGAGCGCGCAAAGCTGGGCGTGCCAGGACAGCTGCTCATGAGAGTCATGTGTCTGCATTGAGGGTTTGTGATTAGTATCTTGGGAACGTCAAGACTCCTGCTGAATTGGAAGTCTCAAGCGATTGTTGTGCTGAGTATTCGGCAGGTTTGCTTCGAATATAAGCTGTCTGAGCCACTCGCAGGCCCTGGACGCTCCACAGCCAGTGGCAGCGGGTTTCAGGATACTTTCTCTGCGTATATAGAAAAATTCTACTGCCTCACCAGCAAGGGAACGGAGCCGGGTGCTTCGGCTGGTAGGGTTGGGATGCATCAGCCCGCCCTTTCACGTGAAGGTCTTGCACCCGTTCTTTCGCTGTGCAAACTGGGCTCAGCAGCTACGGGAAGGGATCCAGAAGCTACAAACGTATTTGGCATCATGGCGTTACTGTGATTTGTAGCCACAAGCAAAGGTTGAGTGTCTGGTCAATTTTTTGTAGCTCGGAGGTAGGTCGCTGTGATGGCAACTGCAAGGCCCAAGCTGGGCGACATGTACGTGCCGTTTGTCATTCTTTGCTGCATTTTCGTGCGCTTGCCAGCGACGCTATATCACGCTCGCTGCTTCGAGGCCTCAGAGGCCGTCGTCGACCAAGAGGCGAGCTCTCCACATGATTGAAGAACTGCCACCGAAAAACATGCCACAAGAAGGACTTTTGGTGGTTCTGTCAGTGTGAATCTTGTGTCTCATGCACTGGCGCTCTACATCTCACCGGCGTTCGAAACTTGTCTGCGCAGTTTCAGAAAGTTTCGCAGCAGACTGCACGCTAGTGTAGAAGGGCAGCTGCAGCAGGCGAGAGAAGCTTGAGAAGATGTACTGCCGGGAGGCCGAAAAGGCCCTGACAAGTGATGCGTACGATGCCTGTCATTGTGTTTGCAGTGCCCACTGCCGCATCGCGCAGGCTTTGCTGATTACCAAGTACAAGGAGAAGCTCCCGGGACTGCAAAGGAAACCCAAAAGGCAAAGGCAGTGTCCGCCAACTTGCCTTTGCCTCAGGTTCCTGGGCCCTCAGAGTCTGCAGGCCGTCTGAGACCCAGCGCCGACAGGCCGGGCGCAGGCCCGGCCTGGGCCCGGCCTCAAGGCTCTTGGAAGATGAAGATATTCATATAAATTGATGAACTTTTCCTGAAGAAATCCTTCTGAGGAGGCGCCGAACGGCGATGTCCTTTCCGTTACAGAGGAGCCGCATGGGGAGTCCCGCTAGAAAGCTATGAACTTGTGACGCGTTGTGGGTGGGGGATTCGGGTTGACATGGCGGATATCTGAAAGAGGCCAATGTGGCACAGATGGACATGGACCATGAGTGCGGCCCCAAGCATCGACGGCAAGCTTGCTGCTTGCTCTCGGAACAACGACTGTCAGAGCAGCAAGAAGACCGCCAACAACCGAGGCACAGACATGCTTAGACGTGGACTGAATGCCAAGGGCGGTCCCAGCTGTGGAGGAGGATGCCATGTCGTCCTACAGTGTCTCTGCGTGACCTGCCGCAAAGCAGAAGGTAAATTTACAAGTGTCTGTCAGCGCAATGGTCACCACGAGAGTCATGCCTTGTTCAGGTACACAACAGGCAGCGTCCCGCTTGACAAACGACCTGCAGGACTGAAAACGGTCATGCGCGTGAAGTGCACATCCTCGACATTTTGAAGTTCCACTCTGCAACCTTCCTGCTCTGACATGCTAGGAGCCGGCGCAGCGCCTCTGTCTGCTTGCTGCTAAGCCTTGAACCCTCGATAGGAAGAGGTGTCGTGACCAGATCCATTCGTGGCTCAGGCAAGGGCAGCAACCCCGCAAAAGCCTCCTCTCACAGGCGCTCAACAATCAGCTCGTTTACTTCAACAGTGACAGTTTGCTGCTTCGGTCGTGGTAAGCATCTTGACGACACCGACACGATCAGCTCCGGTTGCGGTCCACAGCCGTGCATTGGACTTGGCTTCGTCTACGGGTTCCCGCATCGCAGGATCCGGTGCGCTGACGGCACGATTGCCAAGCAATCCTGTTAGAAGCAGAGGTTTGGAGCTTGGCTACGTGTCACGACCTGGCATGCAAGGTGCATACATCCTCTCTCTCTCTATATATATACACATACATATACATATATAGACATCAGCGGCCACTGCCTTTCTCTCTGCTGTGCAGATGCCAGCGACAAGCCGTCTTCAGTGCTGGGCGATGCAGTGGTGACCTCAGCGCAGCGTGTTTGAGATCAATGCGAAATATCCAGCACGCATGGCAAAGAGTCCAAGAGCCTTAGATTCGCCGGGCCAAGTCTGCGAAGTCAAGGGGTTGGTGTCGAAACAGGCGACATGACTTCGTCCGGCTTGAGTCACTTTGTGATCTCGTCTCTCTCCGCATGTGCTGGCAAGCATGGAGCAGGGCATCTCCAACTTCGCGTGAAAGCTTTTGCTCGTCACACGCGTGATGTCACTCAGGAAGTGACGTGTGATGCATGCTGGAATTTGGCCTTGTCGCTGTGAAATGATGCTGCTGAGTTGGGGCAGAATTTTTCCAGATTCACCATTGAACCCTGCCCCGACCGCCAACTTGCTGATTGCTGCACGAGTCTGTGTGAGCAGCATGAGGCCTACTTGTCGGCCCCTGTTGCCCCTCCGGCGCTGGCGAGTATCGGGGAGCAACACGAAGGTTGGACTCGGTTTTGCTAGAACACGAGATAGTTCTGTGCTGCGCATTCCGGACGATCTTTCTGCAGAAGCCGTCGCTGCAGCTCCGTGTGGCACTGAGCGGTGTCAGAGGTCTCGGGGGCAGAGCGGAGCACGGCAGTCTTGGCAACTAAGTCACTACTGAACGCATGAGAGGAGCAGATGTCGTGAAATCAAATTGTTCACTAAAGTATCTAAAGTCTGTGACTGCTGAGGCCTGGACAAGACGGCTTGGAGTGGCCGCGGCCTTTGAGAGCAACATCCCATTCTAATCTGCAGCTCTGCCGACTGATTCAGCTAGCCATCGAAGAAAGGTCTAAGCGTAAGCCAGAATTTAAGCTTTTGCAAACGGCGAGAGGTCTGTGTTGGACAGACTGGCCGCCGAGTTGCACAAACAGGAGAGCGGTCTGTCGACTCGACACAGCTTGCCGTGTCGGCAAATGCCACAGGACAATCAACGGGCCAGACAAAGAGAGCTCGAGTTTGGACCTCATGGCGAAATGATGCGAAATGCGCATCTGCATTTGCAGCTTTGAAGTTTGGCTGAATGTTTTCGCGAGGTTGAAACAAAAGCTTCGGCATGACCTTGACAGACAGATGGCTGATGAAAAGCTGAAGCAGGCCTCCGCGTCCAAAGCATTGATAGTTGTTCCTATTGAGTATTGAACTTCTACACAAGCAGCCATAGCCTCTCCACAGCATTCTACAACGAATCAGGCTAAAACACCAGTTGCAGCAGTGACAAGCTTGCAGCTGGACGGAGGTAGGCCCTGGTTAGCCGGGTCGAGGGTTCGTGGCAATGCGAGGCCACACGGCCCCTAAATGCATGAGTCCCCAGCCGCACAAGGTGGTGATGGGCGCAATCGAGCGTGTGCCTTCATGCATGAAGACTTGCCTTTGTTAACTTGTGAGTTTGCTGTCGGCATTCGCAGCCTTTCAGTTCGCCTCAGCGTGGTATCGAAGTGCATTGCCCTAAAGTTGAGGCTTGCAAATTCTTGCGAAAGCAGGGGTGAGCCAAACTGGTCGCTGACTTTCCGTGGCTTGAGAACTTCGTTGGTCAAGTGACCCGCAGCCTGGGTCTTCTGTGTCGTGACGTATGCTTCCGAAAAAGGATACCAAGAGGTTCCTTTCTATGCCACCAGTGTCGGCCCACCGCTTCATTGATGGCGCATGTTTGACTCTGCATACGTGGCCTTTCGCGAAGCGCAGATTGCGTGACACGAACTGGATCAATGAATCCATTTCCAGCGGTGATCTCCCAACGCTAGGCTTGGAACGCAGAACCTAAGATGCTCAGCCTGCGCTCAGTCTGAACATGCGTGCCATCTTGCAGCCAGTCCTAGCAGGAGCGTGCCAAAGCTGAAGAGCAGCGCTATCTTCAAATTCAGGACTGCGGGGGGGACAACTCGCGACATCTATGCGACAAGTGTCCCGAAACTGAGCAAGTGCAAGAGGAAGAGCACTCCAAGATTCGGAGCCGCGGCTGCAACTTTTGTTTCGCAGACTTTCTCGGGTCTTCAGCGACCATGGTGCATCTCAGAGCATGCGCAAGAAATCCCTCGGGCTGCCAAGGGCGATGGAGCTGGAGGCTCGAGCTTCAGCCCGACTCCGCAAGGCGCGGCACATGCGGAGTCGGTCAGGGCCAACGACACGAGTTTGTAGCCGCGCTGGATTCTCGCACATCTTCGCACTCGCACCTGTCCGATCTTGAACGCATCTCGATGCCTGCGACGCAGCCTGCAAGCCAGTTTGCTTGGCTTTGCTGCGCAGATAGAAGCGACGCAGAAAGACAGGGATGGCCAGCTTGCCTTGATAAGATCCCAAAGAGACGAGGACTGTCGCTTTTGCAGGCTGCAAAAGTCAGACTGGATCCACCAACCTAGATTCCTAGATACAGTGTTTGGAGCTGTTGTAGAACCCTCATTGTGCTTGCTCGGAAGGAAAAGCAACGCCAGCAAGCAGAAAGGCAAGAGCTCCTGGACAGTTTGCGTGCGGTGCTTACACAGTTGTGCAGCCAGACAGTCAACTGCTCTAACTGGACAGGGTTTGCTACCCGTTGACCGCGAACTGCATACGCCATGCATGCATCATACGTTCCCCCTTTTGCTGAAGCTGAGACCGTGACATGCAGCGGGATCGGCAAGACGCTGAGGACTCGAGAATGGTAAAAGATTAGGAAAATGAGTAGTGACTCAGAGGTGCCTCGCTGTGCATTGCGGCAGCACAGTTGCGACCCGTTTGTATCAGGACCGCCTTAAAGCTCGCCGGGATCAAGTCCACAAGGCAAGTAATTATCATATTTGGCATCCTGGTTGTGTCTACGCCTGTGCGCTACGTATGCTTCGACAGGACTTTGCGGAGACCGCGGAAGCATCAAAGGTGCGTAAGGCATGATAGTTGCTGTTCCACAGTCGGAATTCGCGCTGAAATCCACTGAAACCATCTGAAAGCCGCAACAGGCAAAGTCCGACGAACTGGCCCTCCACGAGCAACAGCAGGTCGAGGTGCCATCGCGCCGTCGCTCGAGTCTGTATCAGCAGGAGGAACCCAGAAAACTCAGAGCAGTAACGCAAAAGCAGAAGCTTTTGTTTGTCTCGTTGGTGTGGTACAGCGGTCTTACGAGCAACATTTGCGAGATACAACAGCAAGTTCTGCTCCGCTCCCAGTTGTTCGGGTGTCGAGACATCCAGGCCTACGAAAAGCTGCGAGCTCATCGGGAGGAGAAGCGCCGAGAAGCAGCAGAGAAGGACACACGGGCGTTAAAGCTCGGATAGCCAATCTTTGCACATAACAAATCTAAGCTTGCCGGCGTGATCAGCCTGTGCAGGAAGCAGCGCAGAGAAAGGAGATCGAGAAAAACGCGGGTCTTCGAGCTGCTCGTATGCAACTCTAGATTCTGGAAGCACTGCTATGGAGTGCACTGTGCTGTACCACTGTACTCGGTACTCGACATTGCACCGCGAGGCTATGGCCATGCAGAAAATGGCTGACGATACGGAGCTCAAAGCAGCGGCAGAGCGGGCAGCAAAGGAAAGACACTTGGCTTTGGGACTACATCGCAATCTGTCAATCGCAATTTTTGTTGCGAGGAGCTTGCAGCCGAGAGACAGGAACAGGCCCGGAGTTCTGACACCCGGAGCTGTTTCCCCGAGAGTTCCGTCAGGCCACCCGTAAAAGGCTGGAAGACATGAAGAATCAGACGCAGGCAATGGACACAGCAGATAATGGATGCTCTTGAGGTCATTGTACTTTGTTAATTGCAAAGGGAGATCAGCGCAAAGTTCGCAACATTTTGCCGCCAATGGCAGGAGTACTTGCTGCAGCAGATGAAGGCAGATTGCAAGCCCTCGGCTGCATGTTTCAGGCTGTAGAGGGGTGATATCCTGCCACAGCAGGAGAAACAGCTCAAGAAAGCAACAGAGGCAGAGAAAGCGAGGCAACCGCAAGGGAACTTGCAGCCGTGCATGTCATGTCTTTTGCAAAGACCTGCAAAGTGATATGCGATGGCGCCACATGCCCCGTTACATGGCCTGTGGCTCAGGCAGCTCGCTTCTGCACAGGCAGCTGAGGCAAAACAACTCGAGGCAGCTTCCTGCATTGCAGGTTCTATGTCATGTTGTGCTGCGTTCCACATGTGAGATACAGCGAGCTTTTTGTGGGTTCCAAAGCCGAAGGTGTTTTTCGACTCAGTGATGTTGTTGTCAAGCAGAAGTCGGCAAGAATCAAGTCGCTGTGCTGTGCACGTGCAACAGGCCCAGGAACAAGAACGAATGGCCCGCAAAAAGTGTTGCCGACCTGTTGAGGGTAGTCTTTGCAGCAGTAAGGCACTGAATCCGGCTGCCAGATTGAGTGCCAGGAAGATGATCCACGATCATCGCAAAGACCTTGAACGGCAGATTGCTGCACATGCCTCAGACATTGGCCCACAGCCACAGCAATGTCCAAGCCTAGAGTACCTGCTTCTCACTGCTGAGGCTAGAGCACGCCACGTGCCGCAGGTTGGAGTTTCTTAGTGCCTCCGCTCCTGCAGAATCACAGCCAGCCACAGAACTTGTGGCTTTGCTGCAACAGTCAAAGCGCAGGAGACCATGAGTGACTGTGAGCTGCGGCTCAACAAGCAGCTGCTGGAAAAGGCTCGCGGCGATGCGTTCGAGCCGACACTGTTTTATGTAATCCAAGCTGCAGAAAGCCCAGGTCACGTTGGTCGCGGCCTTGGTGTACTTGTTGTGCTCATAGCCTTTGCCATGGCTGAAAACTTAAGCACAGCTGGCGGGGTTGAGATTTTAATCTCTACCTTTCGAGTTCTTGCCTGCAGTGTCAGTTGTCTGGGAATGTTTGAGACTGTGCTTTCGGACCGATTAATTTTCTGATCTCTTGCTGCCCTTGTCGGCACTGTTGCTCTTCGCGTCTCGGAGGCGCCTCATGTTCACAGCGCATCGAGAGTCGTATGTCCGAGTCCCCTGCACAATCACGAATGCACTGCCTGCGTGCAATGCGGAAGCATGCTGAAGAGGTGGCATGTGAACATGCTTGTATGGTTTTGAGCTATGGGGGCAGTCGGAATATGTGTGGCTGTGCAAGCCGACAACCCAAGGATCCGCATGCAGGGTCACTACAGTCATAGAGATGTGCGCGCCCACGCGTCTTTACTGCTACTGCCACGCCCTGCAGTGATGAAAGTAGAGAAGCCGCTGCTATAATATACGTTCGAGTGATTCAGAAATTGTCCTTGGAGCTTTGTGGAGCTAGTCGTGGACGTTTGAAGAGCAAACACATGACGACGAGACTTTTGAGCAATTCCGTTGCCGAATCCTGCAAAGGCAGGCCCTCGCTTCAGCCGTGAGGTGCTACTTGTGGCAGACTCCCTGCATTGGATGCTAGCAGCTAGGGTGCTCCACTAATCCGCGGCTGGAGTGCGCTCAGCTTCGCGCAAGATGCCTCGCCTTGCCCATGCTGAGACAGCCACCTCACTTCTTCAGATGCGGGTGGCGGTTGGCCCTCGGCTGTCCAGAAGGGCCTAATTGTCGACGGAAAGCGAATGGCGTAAAATTGACATCGACGTGGCTGCGTTGCTCGTCTTGGAAGTGCCCGTCACACGCCCAGCACCTTCAACCATACTGAGCAGTCGGCATGCAGTAAAAATGCACATGGGCCTGAGCAACACAATGCTGCATGCGGACGGAGCCACCTACACTACCAATAAAGCGTCTCATAGCCGCTAGGGAAAGGTGTATAAAGGTGCCACGCTTGGAAGCTTTGGTAATGCTTCTGCCCGCTTGTCAAACGTTACTGCCCGTTCCGACATGTGTATGTCCTCTGTCCAAGTGAAGCATGGCGATTCTACTTCATAGACTGCTGACAATGGTGAATGGTCTCCTTCATCGCGTGCCGTCTACGTGGTCGCATTTACGGTGCCAAGCTTGATCTTCACGTTGCGAGGCCTTAACGGACATCTCCAGCACAGCCAAGACGTGTTGAATGTTCGCTGCAGTCGCCAAAGTTCAGCACCAGCGACTCTTTTCAACACTCGTGTCCTCAAAGTCGGGACCCGTCTCGGAAGACATAGACCCTCGGGCTATATGTAGAATAAAGCCACTTCAAAGCATTTCGTATCGGATAGCTCGGACATATTGCCAGAGCGAAAGTGCATGACAGCCCCATGTTTCACAGGCAGCAGTCAGACAAGAACAGTTTGACTGCTTCCGAGTTCAAGCATGCAGCACTTCTGAAATGCAGGAGGTGCCCGCAGCTTGATAGTTGATGGTCGTAAAAGCCGCCCCGCTTCTCAGTCCGCTATATCAGGCAACAAGTCGGTCGATTGAAGAAGATTCGCGCAAGTCTCCGCCGATTCAGCGGCTCATCCTCGTGCTGAATGGAGTGAGCAGAGGATCCTAGCCACTGTCCTGATACCGAAATGCGGGGCCCTCGAAGGTGCCTGGCGCTTTTTGATTCCTTCGCTTGTTGTTAGCTGAGGTATAGATGCATACGTTCTGTCGCCCTTGCTGCGTGGCCTTGCCGTGGTTGTCATTCGAGCATCCTTTGAGCTAGCAACTTCTGTTATTGATGCATTGTTTCAGGACTTTCCCGGTGACCCTTGCCGTATTACGAAGACAGAGGTCCAGCCAGTCGGCATGGGTCTCTGTGGTTTATGCTGTCTTCTTGCAAAGTCGGGTTCCGCAGCTTTGCTCCGAAACATTCTCAGACTCCGGCAGCAGTCGATAGCGCTGGCTGGTGCCCAAGAACATCTGACGTTTTGGGTCCAGGGCCAGCTTTGCCCGTGGTGTTACTGTATGAAACAAGCTCATACTGGATGTGTTATGCCCAGATTTGCTCCAAACCAATGCAGCAGCGACAAAAGCTGGCAGGACTCTCAGGTCTCTGTGGCACCCTCTCTGATGTTCACATGGCTTTGGTTTCCCCTAGATCAAAGAGGATAGCTGTCTCGTGTTGTGGTTCCAAGGCGTCGAAACCTTGGGCCCGGCTGTGTGCCGACCTATGTCTGTCAGTGTCCGTAAGTCGTCTGTGTGCGTCAGGGACCAGGCAGTGAGCAGTATGTTCAGCAATGGCTTTCATCGATAAGGTCGTCTCGCTTTTTCGGTGCCATGAACCTCGGAGAATCCACTTCCGATGAGGCCGGTGCTGACTTTCTGACAGATTGTTGCCAGCATCAAGCAGCGATTCGAGTTGGGGTTTCAGGCTTTCTACCATACCGTTCCCGGAGATGACCTCGGCCTCGTAGGTTATACCGAAACAGGTTCTGGTGTGGAGCTCGGCGAAGTAGAATGCTGACTGGCAAGCAGTGTGCTACGAAGTTTAGTCGATTTGCAAGTGGCCTGTGTGCGACATCCAAGCTTCGGCGCAGTCGCAAGTCTTTGCGGAGACGCCATCAGCAGGCGATCGGGCCATGCCTGTGGAGTGATGGGTTGTAAGGGCCAGGCCTTGGACAGTGGGCGCGGTTAACCATAAATCATAGAATTTGGTTTCATCAGGCTGCTTGACAGTACGATTCTGTGCAGACCAGCCGACTGGCATGTAGCAACTTTGACTTTTGTGCAAGGCTCCAAAGAAGTCTGGCAGACCTTTTGGCCAGGATCAGCAAGCGTGCCCAGCACTCGAAACTAATTGAAGGCTTACCATGGGCCTACAACATGACTTTCGTCGCGCATCGAGCACGAGGCCAACAAACCGAATTGGGCCGAAGCCGCGCTGGGCGTACTCGAACACCGAGCAGCTGCCTCAAGCTCGGGGCGCACAGTACGGGAGTGTCGCCACTGTTTGACAGTGACAGGTTCATGCAGCCTTATACGACAAGTGGCTTCAAGCTCAGCCTCGGAGTCCTTCAAAGCAGGTGAAAAAGTCGAGCGTGAGGTGATGGTGTTCCGCGGCAGGGGCTGAAGGCCTGAAGTGCAGTGCTCGCGACACTGGTAGCTCAGGCGTGCGACCACGCTACTACGAGAGCACACATGGCTCACCATGCGCGATGTACGCGATACCGCGCCCCAAGAGCATTTCCCGGCTGCTGCTTGCGATGCTCGAGACATGGGTTGCATACTAGTACAGGCTGCGAGATGCTCTAAGCCACTGTGCAACAGATTTACTAGAGGGTTGTTCGAAAGGTCCGTGTCAACGGTTTATACAAACGGCCACGTGACAGGGGAGTCCGCGAACGATCCGCTAAAGCAGGTGCGAAAGGAAAACAGTTTTGCGCGAAAGTTGTAGTAACACATCACAGCATACTGCAGGATTCGATTATGTCCTGCCTTAGCATCCTCAATCGACTGAGCCTCAAACAAGCACGAGCCCTTAGTCCAAGCCTCTTTCTTGAACCGAGTGAGCCCTAAAGCCTGTCGCTTTTTTAGCTGTTTTAAGGCCCCAGTCCTTACAGATTTGAACTCCGGGCATGTGGTCGTACCTTCTGCATGGCGAGCATCTAACTTGAACGCGTCCTCAGTACTTGAGTTGACTCGTTCAAGTCAAAGGCTCGCTGTCCAGAAGGTACACAGGCCTAGAGTTCATATCTGTAAAGCTGTCGGAAGCTCATTGCAGTAAAGGGGACCTGCGGAGCGTGAGGGGTTGCCGTCGTAGTGAGTGGCCATAGTACATAATTTTTAGCTCAGGATTTGTTTTTTTTGCAGTGATTTGCGCGAAAGCTTCAACTGTGTCTTGAAGGCAGTAGGCCGCTACAGTTTCTCGCAACAGCATTGCATGAGCTCTGTCAGAAGGAGTTCGGGCTTGAAGACAGAAATACAGAAGCTCGTGAGGCGCCATAGTCCGAAAGCAGGTTTAGCATAGATGCAGGAGGCTGCTCGTAGAGACCATGGCGATGGATATAATGGCTTGTTTTCACACCTTGTTGGTGAGTTGGTGCAGGGCACTCTTGCTGTACTGTATGTGTGTGTATATATATATATATTTATATAGATGGATAGATAGATAGATAGATAGATAGTACTGAGTCTGAGGTACCGTGCCGAAAAGCGGCATGCTCTGAACCGCCAGGCGAAGCGCTTCTTCGTTGCGTCCGCAAGAAATGTATGTATGCCTGTATATATATATATATGCATACACACATATTTGTGTGTACATATGGCCGTAGTGTAAGCTCCGCGACAGCTCCGCTAAAGTAGCCGCGAAAGGAAAACACTTTCACGCGAAGGTTCTCACATCTGGCCGTTCCCGGATAATTGTTATTTTGAACACTGACTGACGCAGGCTGCCAGATGGTTCGACAACTCTGTTCTACAGTACAACGGCGCATTGCCTGCATTCTCCATGTGTGTTCAGAACCTGCTCGTGGCTGCTGGGTACACAACCGCGCAGATCCGTCGCCCCCAGGTATGGGCCAGCCGCAGCTGCCCTGACCCCAAACAAGAACTTTGTTGCTGCCCTCGCTTCGTGTGGCTTCCACTCAGGCCTCCATTCGGGGTCGGGGCCCGGTTAGTTGAGTCCTCGGCCGCCTCCACGTCTTGGGCTACTTGGCATTGCAAGTGTGCTCCCTGAGCTGGCTTGCCACATGAGATGCTCAATGTGCACCGTCAGGTACAGCGGGCCGTGAATACCAGCCTCCTGTGCAAAGAGGCTCTTCCGATTCCGAAGCCTTTTCCTCAACAGTGTGCAGCATTAGGCCGACAGCCGTGTCTGGCCAGGCTGGCTGCACAGCAACTTCGAAGCTGCAGGTTTTCGATCCACAGCAGGAAGAAGCCCAACTTTGCAGGCCTGCCGCTAGCTTCTGACACAGCCAGCTACTCCACAGCACAAGAACCGCAGCCGCACCGTCGGTTGAGAGTATAGTTGAGCGGCAGTTGCGAGTCTCCTGTCTCAAGCACGAAAATGGGTGGGATTGTCGATGTAGTTTGAGTTCCGTCCACTTCCAAACGTGTCGCAAAGAATCGCCATCGACTACGCTGTTCAAGGATGAACTTAGACTTGACTTTCCGTTGAAAGCAGATGCCCCTGGAAGCACCAAAGTTCATCGGCCAGGCTCACGATTGAAGTGCATCCCACTGACTACGACAACCTGTGGAGCAAGGACGCAGTGCGAGATGAGAGTTGCTGTTCGGAATGTTCTGAGATCTAGACAGATCGTTTGCAAAAGGCTGAGTGCCGGCAGAGTAGCTTCATGAGGCTGCGGAAACTCCCGGTTTTAGCGCACTTGGAACCATTCAACAGGAGGCCTCAGCTGCCTGCAGAATGCAACCCCGCACTCGCCACGTTTGATTGATTTTGATTGCAAGCAGCAGGAAGACGAGAACCTGCCCTATCTCCGTCCAACCATCCGACCGTTGCAATCATATTGCAGTCACCACATAATCCGTCACGTTGTACAGGGCTTCATCCTGCTAGAAAGGTATGTTTGGTTCTGGACAGATGCAGGAATTCGTGCGCATCTGGAAGATTAACGAGCATTTGGCAGAGACCTGAGATGGCAGAGTCGCATCGCATAGTGCTCATCTCTTTATGCCCACAGGCCACCGCCAGGTGTGATCCACATGCGCTGGGCTGCAACGCCGCAACCTTTTTGAGAAAAGTGGAGATCGGAAAAGCCTCCACGCCTCGGCATGCCCCGGCCCCGGCCCCAGCCTCATCGAGGCATCGGCCTGGCGGCCCTTGGTGCCGTGCTTGCAGGATTTGAATGCCGGGAGCTCGGCGAACTCAGAGGCCTTGCCTTCTCCTGCACGTCTTACATTGAGGTCGACCACCTACTGGCTGAAACCGGCTCACTTCTCATCGAAGGATCCATCAACAAGTGTCTCAGCAGAAACTTCATGGCTCTCCCACGTCAATGCGAAAGCATGCAGACTTACCAACATTCTGAGTGCTTGTTCTCGGCATTCATCTATCAGGATGGTGGATGAGCGCTTTGGCTAAAATGCGTGATGTGCGGCAGGCAATTGCGCTATCAGATGTGGAATGTTGACCATTTGGCGAGGTGCCCCTACCATGGCTATCTCTTGAACGGCATGGCTGTTGTCACTTGCATGGCGACCAGCTTATCATACCCCAAGCTTCCCTCAAATAGAGGGTGTCTTGCGTGAGGGTTGCTTGTAGCGGAACGTCGAAAGCGAACCTGTCTACCTGTGCCCTAGTGGGACTATGCACAGCTCGTCGGCCTCACTGGTCAAGGCCCGCAAGAAAGTGGCCGAGAAAGCCCTGGCTGCACCCCATGTCGCGTGGCCTGAAGGAAACCTAGGCCTAGGCGGTTGCATGCAGTTGCAGTAGCATGGGAATTTGTGCCGTGGTGGTGGTAGAGGACAGTTCCCGCCCCTAGACTCTTGGACGGTTTGACACTCCAAGGCTGCCTTTGGTGGAGCTCCCAGCGATGCGCGCCTCACAGCCAGGGATCTGTCAGATGGGGAGTTGAAGCGTTCCTTGGTTTCGGCGGGCGGTGCAGGGGCTCTTCAGGCAGCCGGTCTCAGCGGTGTAGGCCAGGACGCCGGTCTCAACGGTGTACGCTTCGCACACTTGGACGGCACCGCTGCCGACGACGCAAATGGTTTACTGGGTGCTGCCGGGGGTGCAGCTGTACTGGGCAGTGACGGCGCCGGCAATGGAAGCAGTGGAACTGGATCGCTTTCTGATGAGTCACGAGCACTACTCGGCGACAGGGCTGCAGAACTGGACGATGGGGCCCTGGCTGCTGCCGGTTTGTGACTCGGCTAATATTGGCGCGTTCCCTCAATTGAATCAACGCCTTTTACCTTCTACTCGCACTCTCATGTCAAAGCCAAGTGACAGGAATGCCACAGAGATCGCAGAGCTGCGCGCCAAAATGAAAGCAAATTTCCTGGCAGATGCGTCGCGGCCTCTTGCACAAAGACACATTTGGCTTCAAGTCTAGCACTGCAAAAATTACAGGCTGGCGCCAGGAGCTGTCCTTTCCAACACCACCAGCATGCAGTGCTGTGCAGCTGACACGTTTTAGTTTATCGTCTACCTGGCATGAACCTGGTCAGTTTGAATGTCGTTTCCCTTCCACGTTTTTTTTGGACATAGCCTTGGAACTTGCGTTGATGTATAGCAGGCGAGCCAGGATGCCTCTCAGCCGCGCTTGGTGCATGTTCACGCATTTGCCACCCTGCATCCTGCTGAACCCATTCAGGTGCTGTGATGTCTGAGATCCATGTAGACCCGATCTTCCTGAGAGCTGGTGCGCTGCAATCTGAGAGCCATCCAGTTCTCATAAGTCCGCATCTTCTGGGCTTGCAGGCCACTAGGGAGATCTGAGTCCAAGGACCTGCCTCATGAATTTCACGGTGGTCGGGAACTCGACCGTTCACGAGAATCGGGCGCAATGACAAGATGACGTCCGCACACTTCAGAGTCGGAGATCCGAGAGCATGTTTCGCATCACTGGCATGCTGAGGGTCAAAACTCAAGATGTTCCCGGGCACCTCAATAGGCCGCTTTGATTGCGTAAAAGCCGACTCAGAACATCGAAGAAGTCATGACGGCCAACCAGCGCACAGCTTTTTGGAGTACGACGAAGTCACAAGCTGAAAGAACAAGTATATGAGGGTGGCCACCGGTCCTCATATCCTAGCTTACCATATCGAATTTCGTTGGCCAATTTCCAAAATCAAACCTGTGGGACTCCTGCTGCTTGAGTGATGGCACAAGCGGTCTTAACTCTGCTCCCTTAGAAGTTCGGGCTGCAGCCGCACATAACATACAAAGACGTGCACACCGACTCAGGACCAAAAACTCTTCCGCTATCCGACGTTCTGCCCTGAGGTGCAGACTGACTTTGACGAAGCTGTTGGCAACGACGTTGAACGGATCGAGTGCCTCGCTATCCGAAGTTGTTGAATGTATACGATCAACAATTCTTCTGGCCCAGCGTGTGGTACACGTTTCTTTCTCGGTGCCTGCCTGCATACTTTAACGTGCCACACCCAAGGTTTATCCATGTTGAGGGCCTGGGCAACATCAGCGAGGGCGTCAAGCCCGGAAGGCCAGGCACAGAGTGCTTTTGAGCCTGACCGCTGTCGAGTAGTCACTGTCTGCTGTCTCTGGAAGAGCTGGACCTGTGGCGAAGAGCGCAATCTCGTCGTTTGAAGCCAGGAACCCCTGCACGGAGGAGCATCGGGCTTAGCTGGCTCCGCAGCAGAACTCGAAGGGAGGAATTCAGAGCTGTGATGACTTGTTACGGCGGATGTGAAGGTGTCCCCCTAAGAGATCTGGGTCTGGAATCCTTGAAAGCAATCTGCGTAGCTTGTATGGGCTCTGACGGCTGCTCAAGGAACTGCAATGAAAAAACTGCTGCCCTTGTTTTTTGGAGCTTCCTGTGTCACTCCGGTCACGGCTTTGTCGCAGGATCCATCAGGCCCGAAACCGAACTTTGTAGAGTCTCTAGCCGGACGATCGTAAGAAGGCCTCGCATGGCCCATCATGGCCCATTCGGAGATGGTTTCTGTGTACTGACGCCTCCGTGTCTGCATGACCTGGGTGAGTCTGTAGATGTCAGTAGCTTACTTGCACACGTGTCGAAGGGCAGCTCTCTGCCCAGGTACAGCACGGGGAAAACCGTACCCATGGAAGACCGAGCACGAGCCTCAGCAGAAAGGGGTGGTGACTCACAGCATTACGAGGAGTTGGAAGTGGCTATTGCGTCATGTGAAGATATGGTCGTAGCTTTGGCCAAGAATCCACCGACAAGGACGTACTGAGGAGTCCTGTGGTTCGACAGGGAGAACAGGTAGAGTATTATGTGCGCTGTGAAGGTTGTGCACCGTGAACATACGCGAACCCAGGGGGGTGGCGGACCGGGCCAATGGGACACAGTCGATACTTTACTTTCCCTGATCCGAACTGCGCTCCAGTGGTGGCTGCAGCGTGTCACGATGAGTATCATTTGCAGACAAAGGTGTTCACTGTCATCCGGAACCGAAATGTCACAGCAGCAATAATGGCTCCGCCCGTCGGTGCCCCAGTTCGGTCCAGCTTCCACGGCTTTGTGCGGAACTGCAGAAGTCACCGTGGCAATCGAGAAGCTGCTGTTGAAATTCTCATGCGGCACAGCTGAGATGGGGATGCTGGTTGTCGGCAGCAAGATCTCGCCACAGGCGCCAGCATTCTTTGCCAGGCTGTCACCCTGTTCATGAGAGTCCTACTTGTAGAGTGTTCGACGTTTGAAGCTTCAGGCTCAAAGTTATTGGAGTTGTGCGAAATGTGGATGTATCTTGTGGCCAGTAAAACACGATGCCTTTGCGCTTGTGAAATTGTACAATCAAGTTTCGGCAGCATCCAGCTGGCACTTCCGAACTTCGTGCTCAAAGCTGTCATCTGCTTCCTCGGCAGGTCGACGACTGTTCCGCCAACGGTGTTTTATTTGACAGCCAAGTCACACTCTCATGCAAGCTGCCAGAGAAAAGCCCAAAGCTCAGCACGCTCATCACATGTGGAGTCTGTCGAGCTTTGGACTCGTGTGTTGCTCATGCAGAGCTGCTGTGTTTTCACTACTGAGGCTGAGCTCAGAGGCCACAGCACATGCCGCTGAAGCGATACCACAAGGTCTCCCTTGCTGAGCAGGGCGAAGGACGCGGAGCACCGGCACGCCTGTGCTTGTTGTGACATGCCGTTGCAAGCAAAACTGGTCGCGCATGCTGGCAGCGATGTGGTGAATCGTGGACGAAAGTCACCGCATGTCCTCAAAGCAGCGTTACATGTCTGCTTCCGTCCGGGTAAGCGCATGGGCGGATTCTGCTGACATGATGCATCGGCTCAATGTCACAGAGGTGCACACTGACTGCATTTGGAAACACTCTCTGCTTACTCAGCATGGCATCATCGCAGCCATCTCTAATTTCACATGGCATGCGCCATGCACCAGCCCCTCAACAGTCAAAAAATGAAGAGATACGCCGCGTTGTTATGTAAAATCCCGACCTTCTGTCGTCAGTTCTTGAACATTCATTTTCATTCATGCTGATTCCGAGCTGGGGGCCTGCCCATTCATGGTGGAGGCCTTTGAAGATGCTGACGAGGAGGCCGCTTGAAGCCGCTTGAAGCAAAGCCTGCTCGGCATGGCTGCGGCATGGCTGCGTCGCGGTGGCCAGGCATCAAGTCTCGTCGAAGCTTGTGACCAAGAGGCTGTGCGTTCGCTTGCTTGGGAGTTATGGTCCAGTGTTGTAGGGTTTCCGGCCGCCGGTGGAGCGTTCCGTTCGCATTTCGATTGTACATGTCGTTGCATGAAGCGGCAGCGGAAGTGTCCTGACGATGCACCAGGCATGCTATCTGATCTTTGTGCGACACGCCACGAAACTCGAACGGTGCTCAGGAGGAAGAGGAGAAACCTTTTGAGAAGACCAGCAGTCAGGGTCTCAGATGCTGTCTTGAAAGTGCAAGTGGTCCATAGCGCTGGCTTGACGCTGCGCCGTTGAATCAGTTGCAGGTGACTGCCAGCCATTGGTGCAGAGATGGCGTCAGGGGCTTGCATGGTGGGTAGTAGAAACGAGCTCGTTCCGGCCATCGCGTGGAGGCCTCCGCTTGTTCGAGCAGGTGGAGCGGCGAGATAGCCAACTGCAGGCTTGTGCAGACCTTGATGCGTGTGTGGCTCCGAAAGTATCACCTTCAGCCAGCCTTCAGCCGAAGCAAACTTTCCTGGAAGGGCTTGCAAGCGTTGTACGAGCAGTACAGCGAATGCCGGCGCAGCCTTCAGGCACTGCGTTGTTTTGAGTAATTGGCCCACTTGCTTAGACTGTAGAAGTAGTCTCACAGGAAATACACAGACATGACCCTGAGGCTGCCACTGAAAAGCTTTGCACACTTATGGGTAGTTGTCTAAATAGGGTCCTTTTCAGGGTCCTTTCTATAAGGGTGCCGCACTAAATTGGGGACCCAAAAAGGGACCCTAATTGAGAGAACTACCCTTATGGATGAACATACACAGGACCATGGAAAAAACACAGGTGGCAAGAGGAGAGGAAGATTGATTTCAGGTCACTGTAGGCGTAGGCAGAAGGATGCAGAAGGGAGCTGCTAGGATCATTCTATCTGTGAGCAGTTGCTTCGGCAGCAGTGGGTCGGCTTGTGCTTTTGGCATCCGATCCCAGCTCTCTGTATGACGTATTGACTCATCGACAACAGCGCAGCCGCTCGAAACTAAGAGCCTTGATATTTCAGTTCCACAGTCTCTGTCTCAAGGCGGCCGATGCCAACAAGCGTTGGAGCCCAAGCAGAGCAAGCTTCTAGCCGCTGTTGGCCATGCTGGGGCTATCAGCTGCATGTTGTACCCTCGTCGTCGAGCAGAACATTTGGGATTGAGACAATGTCAGATTTGTGAGAGCCCCAGGTGTGCCCGGAACTGGCTACTTAGTTCCCAAGGCAACGGACCTCGAAGAACTTTGCACGTCTGTCATTGCCTTGCATTGGATCAATACCCGCGTCAAGGACGTAGCCGAGGCCAAGGAGACTTCCCTGCTTGTGTTGGTCGCAAGGTCCTTCATTTCTGGAAGTCGCAAGCTACATGTCAACAGCTCTGTGCACCGGCTGCTCGATGTTCATGAATGTGCGCCGGCATTCCCGCCGTACATGTCTTGTCTTTTCCTCCTCCAGGAGCTGCACAATGCAGCCGAGAAGCTGCTGCGGCACAAGGCGCTGTCTGCAGGAATTAAATATTGCAGTACAAGAATTGCCTGCATGCCCCAGCTACTCGAGTTCATTATTCAATCACGCGGGTAGCATCTCAACTCAGAGCGGAAGTATCTTGTCAACTTTTTGGCTAATGTCGAACGTTGGACCCCAAAACTTGAAAGCAACGGCATCTGTTCAAGCCGGCTGCGCGAGGCTGAACTTCAGGGATCCGGAAGGTTTCCAGCCCAGGGTTCGGGCCAAAGGCCCCGGGGTTGAAAAAATGAGGGAGGCCCAACTTCCTCGAACCTTCAAAGAGACTTCCCATCCGTTGTGCTTTGTAGGTTTCGTTCTTGCATTCCATGTCACCAAGTTAACGTGAAGTGGGTTCAAGCCGAGATGGTGCTGTCCACTGAGACCGGGGTGTGCCGAGGGTTGCAGGGAGACATCGGTGAGCAGCTGACTCCTGTGGCGAATCAACAGATTCGCAACGCAACCGGAGGTGAAAGGAACCTCGGGCTCATTTTCTTAACAATACACAATATTATTCCAGATGTCGAGACAAACAATCGCAGCAACCATGCGGCAAGAACTTGAAATCAAAGTAGCTGCCAAGCATGACGTAAGCACAAAAAATCTTGAACACACCGCCAGATCTCGAATCAAACTTGTGACATGTCTTCATGAAGCTCAAAAATTGGAGCGGGAATGCCGCCCCGTCCGCTTTGGCTGCTTTCTAACCGGAGGTTTAAACTGGGCTGGAGCTGGGTTGAGACCGCTTTTCGCTTGAATTACCCGAATTCAGTCATACTTCCACAGGTTAAGCCGAGAGAATACAGGCAACCCTTCAAAACCCTGTAGCATGATCTCATGATACATGAGTCAAGAGCTGCTCGCAGAAACGCTCATAAATGTTAAAACTCGGGTGAGCTTCCACCGGTAGCTTCTGCATGTCTGCTCATGCAAGCTGACGGTTACAGTGGTGGCATAGAGCCAACGGTTTGCAGAGCACAAGTTGTATCGACGCCACAGTGCTGCAGGAATCTCAGATCCAAGAGCTGCAGAGGCGGGGGTGTTTCTGCTGTAGCGGGTTCATCCTGATCTTGCGATTCGGATTGCAATAGGGCACATGCTCAGGCACAACAAGGAGCTGCTGGATGAGCTTCAGCGAAAGGAGTCTGCTTCTCAGCCCTCTGGCCCCCTCGCGCTTGTAAAGGCTTCCAGGCTGCGGTGCTGAGTCCCCGTCGGAGGCTGGCCCACACTCACACCTGCAGAGAGGCTACACGGCTGTCCCAGGAGAATGAGACCCTGGCACGTTTGCCGCGGTCTGGCTTTGTGAAAGGCTCCTCAATCACTGAACGCACGAGCGACGTGGTTGGCGCAATATTAGGCCTAGGCTCGAACCTATGAAAGCAAGGGAGGCAGATGGGGAACAAGCCAGGCCAAGGCCCAAGCAAGCGTGCTCAGTATCACCAGGCCACCTGTTCGAGCCAACCGCGTTAGTGGGCAGACACCGGCGTTAACATGTGGTTACTTTGGACTTGCTCGTGCCACAGGCTCTCAACGTGGTAGAAATTCATAAAAGGGACAAGCTGCATGCTCTTCTGACTCGCACCTTCCGAAGACAGACATGTTGTCCATTTCGTTGTTCCTGAACCTGCTGTGCTTGCTACCTCATGGGGATCCGCTTTTGCGGACACCCGGCCACGCGTCCTCAGCCACTTCCTTTCCCGTGACTTAGCTTAGTTGGATCAGGTCGGTGGAGGCCTGATCCCTCCGCAATGTTGAAACCCAGAAACAGCACAGATGTTAGGCTTTGCGCCAATACGCGAGGACGGTTCACGCTTTCGCTCTCGCTCGCTCTCTCTCTCTCTCTCTGTCCCTCTCTCTCTCTCGCTCTCATTCTCTCACTCTTTCTCTTTCTCCCCTCTCTCTCACTCTTTCTGTTTTTTTTTTCTCTCTCTCTCTCTCTCTCTCTCTCGCTCGCTCTCTCTCGCGCACACACACACACACATGCACGTGCAAATTCAATGGGTGTACTCGCACGCATGCGCATTCTTATCCGGTCTCCCCTCTTTAGCCTTGTCTTCAATGTGTCCCCATATTCGCTTCTCTATAGCTTCTGGTCGCGTGCTATCAGTTTGCCGCGTCAATGCGCAGGCGCCGCTAGAGCTGGAACGAAGAACACTACTTGTTGGAATTTGTTGTGCTGTCTTCTGGCCAACAGCGGCCGTCCACAGGACTCCCCAGGAAGTCCCAGCAAGCTTGTTACGGCAGGGGCACTTGAAAGCCACGCTCGGGCGGCTAGTTGCGCAGCTTCTGCCTCAGACTAGCTTACAACTGCAGCGCAGGCATTGGCAAGCACCATGCAATGCCCGCCGGCATTCGACCGAGGCAAAAGCGGGAGCTACAAGGAGAGCTGCAGGAAAAGGAGCGGAGAGCCCAGAGCAACTGTGTAAACGATGAGAGTGTGTGCAGGATGTGCTTGCCTTTTCTGCATATCGTGCCAGGTTAGCCCACCTGGAGACCTGTCGCGAAGCGACAAGGCTAGCTCAGGAAAATGTCACGCCGGCCTGTGCTGCTTTCTTTGGCCTCTTTAGCCATGGCCTTTCTTTTGGGTTCTGCAGAAGAGCAGTGCTGCGCCAGGGGCACTTGAAGAGTGAGCTGAGCCGTCTGCAACAGAGGTCTGGTGCTTCGTGCATCTTTGTGCATGCCTGCATCCGCCCTATGCCGAAGCCACACACCATAAAGCTGTCGGACGAGGTTGCGCCAACAGACGGACATTGAGGGTTCCTCGGAGGCGGGGCGAATCCGTTAGCAGGCATAGGTTTTTTCTCGTCAAAAGAGTTCCCTCTGTTCACGGTCACATACGGTCACCAATTTCAAAATACAGTGAGGCTCTTGCTTGTCACAATGCCAGTCGATCTGGCGAGGCCCAGAGCAACGGAGATGCTGGCAAAGGCGACGGCTGCTGTCCCAGCTGGCAATGAGCAGTCGTACATGGCAGGGTGGCAGATGACGACACTGGGTGTGTATGGTTCAAGCACATCAGAGTGCAGATTAGGTTGCTTCCTTTACTCCTATTGCGCAAGGAGCCATGCCATAGATGCCAAACGAAGCCACTACATGTAGCACATTCACAACTTCGTGGATTTGTTTGGTATTGATGGCTAGTCATATTTAATGTACGGACTTGGAGTTGCCTCAACATAGCCTCAGAGCATGCAATCTCCAGCACACGTGAGGCACTTTGCTGTTCGGGCTCAGGGCTCCCAGCAGACGAAGCTTAGACCTTTGCAATACTGCTTGCTAGGCCAGCAGCCATAAGGCAGAATCGTCTTGATCTCACTGCGACACCCATGGCTTCGGGGTTGAACGCCCTTCAACGGCATGTCCAAACTTGAGGAGGACGCAGCGCGCCCTGTCCAGGTCGAGGTTGAAGTCATCAGGTCATCAAAGCTTACCTGCATCTGCAGGACGTGTCCCGGTTGCAGGCTTTGGCCGCCAAACTGGCCCAATGGCTACTGGCAGAGGAGGTGACATTTTTCGCCCGATGCAGCAGTAAACCGTGATTCTGCCTCGTACCATCTCACTCACTCGTTCTTGACATCCTGCGAGGGGTTTGGACGCAGTTTGGACGACTTCTTCCGTGCTCACAGCCAGTATTTCGATGATTACCAGGCCAGGCAGACCTCCGTCAGCACGGCTGCCGAGTTTCGCAGGCCACCTGTAGCTAGTGCTGACTTCAGGAGGAGCATGCTCTCCACTACACGACCTTGCACAAGGACCGTCCCTTGAAAGAAACCTCGACGCTTCCATACAGAACGCTGCATGAAGCACAGCCAGGAGTTCAGCGCAAAACTGGAGGCGGAGGTTGAGGGCTGGCTGGCCGAAGAAGGGCTGACCACTGATGACCTGGCCGTGATCCTCCAGGCTGCCAAGGACATCCCAGCATCTTCTGTCCTTGCTTAAATTCTTTCACTGCCTGGTTGCTGCCACCATTTTCACCCTTGGATCCCTCGGTGCAACGGAGGAGAGCGTGGCTAGCGAGGAGACCCTTGATGACTTTCAAGTTTTGTGTTGTCATCTGGCCTTCTTTCATCCATGCGCAGTGGCAAGGACCCTGCCGCATGTGTGGAGACGTGTGTCAGTTCAGGACCCCAAGGAGGGCATCGACTTAGTGGAAATGTGCCTTGTCTCCAACATCTACGATCAGCTCCAGCTCCACCGCTTAGCTTCGGCCAGCGCTCCTAAGGATGCTGGAGGCCGTCGACTACCAGAAGTGGCTTGGCTGCTCAATGTTTCCCGGTGCGGGTGCACTTCTTGGTGACGAGGTGGATTGGCTCCATCTTTGCCATCAAGAGGCGCATCCGCGAGCGACGCAAAGTCCGTGCTCGCAAGGTTCCCGAGCTTGGTAACTCCAGGTCTTACTTCATACTTCCCTGATTACCCATCTTGTTGAAATTGCTTTCAGCTACGTTTGGATCTGGCTTTGGAGCATGGCGGACATGAAGATTTCAGCTTTCAGATTGTTAATTTGTGCCGTTTCTGAGCCGTTGCCGAGCTAGGCAGTGCTCTTCCTTGAATCGCTTGTTGCTATTCTCCAAGAACATGCTACATTTCCAGTGTCGGCTCGTTGCGAGAGATGCTGATGACTAAGATTGGGCGACTTGTTATCGAGGCTCCTCCACCGCCTCCGCCGCCCAGCGAATCCAAAGTTGTCGCAGAAGCCTCAGCACATCTCAGCATGTCTACGGCTCGGAGTCCGTCACCAAGCGCAGCAGTTTTCTCCTGCAGAGATGTGGGGCTTAGCAAAGCGACGAGCTATGGGCTGGCTTTGGGGAACCAAGGATGTGGTGGTGCCGGAGGCTGATAAAACCACGAGCTGCTTATCTTGCGTACTGAATCATGAATCCTTTTGTTCGGTGGAGGGCATACAGCCTGGAGAATCCCTGCACATCTCTGTGGACGGTACCCTCCTCAGGAAGGCCAGGCAAGCTGTGGCTTCCAGTCCCTCTCGGCCATTTTGGATCAGGTGTGGGCTACGACGTGGTCGTTCCGGAGAGCTTTGAACCTGGAATGACCTTTCAGGCAAGCTTAAGCCAAGGCTAGCCGAAGAACCGAAGACGGAGACCGAGCCATGACTTCTCCCTGGAGTGACGCGGCCTACATGTCTGAGCATCGACGAGCACAAGCTCCCACTGGACCTGTGTTCGCGGCATCACAAAATCAAGCCCGATTCATCTTCGCAAATCAGCAGAAGTTGTCTTTGGAATGTTTTGCCGGCAAAACACTGCGGCAGTACATAGCAAGAGATGTGAGCTGTGTCCGCAGATTCGTTGACGGTGATTTGTGAGACTTGTCACTGCAGGTCAGAGCACCTCAGGGCCAAGTCCAAGGACGCTATTGCAAAAAGGGTTCATCAACACACAGTTGTTCAATTCAGCAGCGGAACCGACGTGCAACGGAGCTTCGGAAGTGCGGTTGCATCTGGACTTGTGTGCACGTTCATGTGCTTGTGCTTGCGACCAGATGTTGCAGGATTGGATGACATAAAGCAATGCGGGAGGCGGAAGATGCGCGATTGTTGATTGCAGCCCGTGTAAGCCCGGCAGTAAAAGGCAGCACGGTTTGATTGAGCCTCAGTCTCCATGCTGTCAATCACACCATTCGCAGGTCAGTTGGATGGTGACTGCCTTGCCAATTCCTGCGGTGTCTAGCAGACGCCAATGTACATAGTCCATGCCCAGGAGTCAGGCATTGAAGGTGAGATCCAGAGGCAAAGCCTCGCCACGGCAAGAAGTCGACTTCCCCAACATGACCAAAATTGACGGCGTCCTCCCCAATTCTTCAGTTTCCCAAATATGACTGCATCCCGTCTTCAACGTGAAGCCCCGAAGCCTGTGCCTTCTCAAGAAATGTGCAGCAAGCAACTGTTTCAGCAACTGCTATTCTGCTATTCCAGACCTTGAGAAACCCGAAGCGTTGGCTCATCCTGGAGAAAGCTGCAGAAGTCATCCCGAACCATCCTGAAATGCCGGTGCCGCGACAGTATGGCCAGTATGGCAGTTCAAAGATGTTGTGGCCGCAGCCGCTGGGCACATACGGTTTCCGCATAAGCCGAGTTTGGCACATGACTTCGAGGACCTTTGAGCCTTGCATCGACGGCCTCATGGACCATGACAGTCCCTGTAAACGCAGAAGACGGTACTACAGTTACTACAGCAAGTGGGGTCCTTCCTTAGAACTCGCAATGGCGAGTAAGGCTCCAGAGCTGGTTTTGCCCTCAAGCCTCAGAGTCTACTCGTTCATTTTTTTCAGCCACAGTCTCCTCAGGTCCGCTGCCCCAAGTGCAATGTGGCAGGCAGCAAGGAGAGCAGACAAGCTGCCCTCCACACAATGTAGCCTGCTAGCTTCTGCGGAAGGAGAGGATGGCTGCAGAGGGAAATCACCACAAGAGGTCTTGTGCCTTGGCTTTGGCTTAGGGGCGGCTCTTCGATGCCTCGCATTGAGCTCTGGACCCTTTGTTTAGTTGAGTGTCCAGGCCCGCTGTTCCGACCCTACGTGTGCCGGCCACAGAGTTCGACCGAGAGTTGTCCTTCAGTCGCTGCTCGTGTCCTTTACGGCTCAGGCTCGTGAACTGCAAACTCTGCGGGGTGGCTGGAGGGCCTGCGTGGATAATGACAAGCGGTAGACACCATGCTTGGAGCTGTCCACGGTATTCCTACAGCGACGTCTCTTCGCTGCATTTCAGGCATCCGGGGTCCTCTGAGTGACACTGAGCATCCAGCTTGCAGGAGTAGGAGTGCAGAGCTTGCTCTCAACTACCCGTACTGCCCGCAAGTCACTGCAAGCCTGTAGGCTTTGCCAGCACATGAATGGAGACAATCGGGGATTAACCACCCTCCAAAGTGCAACACCCTATTCTTCCCTCGAAAAGGCTGGAAACAGCATTAGCGTTCGATTGATCCGTGGCATCCGACTGCGGCTGCTACTCCTCCGGTAAAGACGAGGACAACAGCGATGATGATGATGATGGTGATGATGATGGTGATGATGATGATGATGATGATGATGCCGATGATGCTGATGGCAGTGGTGATGGTTCATCTGATACATCTGCAGCGGCTAACTTTCTGAAAGCGGCATACCATCCACGAAACCATTGTCAGAAAACACGTCACGGTTACAATCTCAGAACCCAGACGGATACAAATATGTATACGATATCAAAGCCACGCAGTACAGCACAACAGACTGCGACGACAAGGCCGGAGAGTGCAAGTTCTGCGGCTTTGTGGGAGAGGTGTCCCTCGTTACCTCCAAGGGACCACATCATGCGCGACTCTGCCAGAGGCCGGATGCATCACATGATTTGCGGTTCAACTGAGTTTCAACTTCCTATTGCGTTCCGTCAACGCATTCGATTTGATGCCGTTGCCTCTTTGCTTGAGTGCTTCTTGGGGGTTGTTGGGCCATGGGAGTGTCCCCGCAAGGTTCAGCCCAGCTGCAGCCGATTCGCCCAAGGTGGTAGCTCCTTGCCTTGCCGTCAGCTCCGACTCCTCTTGAACCCCCGTTTCGGAGGGCACGGTAGCCAAGAAAATTCAGCTTGTGTTCGCGCCATACACCAGACATCCCAAGGTGTGCAAGTACTGTGGATTGCGGGGTTCTCCGTCGATGGTCACTGGAATCGGCCTCTTGATCGCAAGCAGAATCCCAGCTGCTGGAACGCAGGGCCTCTGCTGCTTGTGGCTGTGTTCCCCAGCCGAGGTGAGCAGCACTTGACGGGGTGCCCTCGAAGCACAGCTAAGCGAGCAGAAAGTATCAGCAAGCCGAAAGAAAACGAAGGCCGGCCTGGTGAAGATCGCGCAACTGTGTGATGTCACCTGTGACGACTTCCGACGACGCAGGCACTTTGTCGAGCTGGTTTGCCTGTTTGGACACTTGGTTGATCTTCGCAAGCACCGCTTACGTAGAACAGCAGTAGAAGCTTAGACGCATCCTCTAAGCCGCAGAAGGAGTGTTTCAGTGAATCTGCTGCGTGATAGGACTGATAAGAGCGAGTTCATGCGCTGTTAGGCGAGGATTAGTGTTTCTTCTTGCAGTTGACGATATGCTGTCCTGAGATGCTCGTGTTTTGCTGAGGCTTGCTGCAATGTGGAGCCTTCAGCCGGCCATGTGCTCAGACAGGAAGCAGCAGCAAGTTTCGCTTGCTTTGATCGCCATATTCAAGAGTCGTAGTCTTGCCCAGCGAAGGAACTGCATGCGGAAAGAGTAGAACCAGCCCGTTCAAGCCACGCATTCATGTTCACAAATCAAGCAGACGCACGGTCGGCTGCAACGAGTCTACGCAGATAGCCTGCACGGTCTGCACTCGCGAAATTAAAGAAACGCAGACTTCGTGCTGTGTTCATCAAGTATCACATTTCTCGAGTCTTTTCGCTTGCTTCCGACATTGGGGTGTGAATGCTGCTTCTTCAGATAACAGTGTAACTCTGCCATCTTGGCTTCTTCCTTCTCGAGACTACTGTGCTGACATCTGTGCGCTGGCCTTCTCAGGAGGCCTGCACGATGAAATCGTCGTCAAGCACAACGGGCCCGACGACATCAAGAAAGTGCTGGGCACAGTTGAGAAACAGCAGGACAGTTTGCCGCGCAAGGAGTGTGACACGTTGTGTTTCGGTGCACAGCGCTATGAAAGCTTGCCCATCTTGGCGGTCGGAGCTCCCGCTGTTTAGGACATCGCTGCGACCCAAGCAGAGTCATCGTTTTCTGAGGCCAATGACATCGGCGAGGCAGACACAAATGTGGAAGAGATCCCTGAGGAGGCAAGACGAATTTATACTTGCTGAGGGCTTGCTCACAATGCTCACAAGTGTTACGTCACCAGGCGTCTGCCACCATGAAATGTTTGTGCCACTTGGGTCCTGGGAAAGGAGAATTTTGCGCTCTCCCGACTTCTTTCACCCGCAGCCATGTCTGCTGCTATTCTCCGGCGACGTCGGGCAGCCCTTGCGACTGCCGACAGCATCCGAGGGGTGGAGCACTACCGTGAGTTGGAAAGGATTTCTGATATCGCTGTTGCCCTTGCCAGTTTGGCGCTACGTGCAGGCACATGACGAGCAATGAGTCAGTGAGTTTTTGGCAGGGTTCAACAAGCTGGAGGTGAGTGACGTCCTGCTCCAGGATAAGCTTGCAGAGATGGATCGGGCGATCTTGACGGGCCAACGAGCCGGGCACGATTGAGGAGTTGTCCCCAAGAGACTCGGCATCCTCGCCCCGAGGCGACTTTGTCCTTTCTCAGAGCATGACCGAGCGCAAGCCCCAATCCGAAGCAGAGCCTGTGTTGCCCAAGCTTTCCTGGAATTCCACCGAAGCACAGCAGCAATGGCCCGCCAGTTCGCCAAGCACCCTCTTCGCAGCATGAAGTCAAAAGTCGAGTTCCTCGACGCAGGCTGCAGTTGAAGGCTTGCGTCGCAACTATGCTCCTCTGCCAGTCTGGGTGCAAGCAAGCAAGCCTCCCTATGTGCACCCGAGTCAGCGATGCAGCGGCTCTGATGCTGCGGGGCCTATGTGATTGTCGAATCTCGACAACCAGCAAAATCGAATGCCTTTTGGCTCCACTACCAGGTCCCGGAGACGATGCCCCAAGAGGCGGATCGCTGCCTTGGAAAGGCTCGACATGTCCTGACGCGCAAGGCCCTGTTTTCCCCAAGCACTTTACTGTTCTGGAGTTCACTGAAGTTCTCTCCTTCCTTCCTTTCTGGCGCTTAGTGGGGTGGGCTGTCCGTTTTGGCCGGCTCGGCGGGGCTGCTTCCTAGTGATCCCCAGTGGCTCCTGATGCTGGGTTGGATAGGCTGTCCGCATTGGCCGGCTAATCCTGGGTTGGATGGGCCGTGCACGTGGGCGGGCTCGTCGCTTTGGCTGCTTCCCAGTGCTGGGTTGGATGGCCTGTCCACTTGTTGCTAGTCCTGGGTTGGACGGGCTGTCCGCGTTGGCCGGTTCGGTTGGGCTGCTTCCTACTGTAGTGCTGGGTTGGGCTTGCAAAGTCACAATAGCGGCTTGCACTTGGCAGCTTCACGTGTAAGGAGGACAGATTCTGCAGCTTCTGATGTAGAATGCTCTCTACCCGTACCACCCGTACCCAATGAACCCCAAGGATGTGCCCGGTGCCTGGCTTTCGTTACAGCTGCATTTTTGCCGGACGGCACAGATTTTTGTTTAACCACTCCCGGGATTCCAGGCTCGCCTGCACAGTGGCCCAGGCAGTAGAAAGATTTTGAAAGACGGAGCCCAGGTGGATGGAAAGCAGAACGTTTCGGTCTGCTGTTTTTTGCAGTTGGTTGTCGTTTCGATGTCGATATGTGACCACTCACGATTTACTACCCTGTTCCGAAAATCAAGTTTCTGACAAAGGCAACTGGCAGCACCGAAAGACTCCGAATGGAAGACTTGCCACACCGACGGTTGTAGCATGCAGCTTGCATTTGTGCCGCGTTGATGCCAGGCGCCTTTGGACATGGAGCACACGGAGCCGGAGCCGACCGTTTGATCTCGGCCCAGGCTCCATATGTTGTTGATTTCGCCACACGACAGTTGCACCAGACAGACGCCATTCAGCTCTTCGGCCACAGCATGCTGTCTTCTACCTCACAGCATTGCCTGACATTGCCCTGCTTCTTTGCTACAGTGTTGCAGGCTGTCATTTGGCTATGAGCTTCGGCGACAAAGCGCAGATCCCTCAAAGAGGGATCCGCGGCTTCAGCCACGTTGACAGACTCAGTGCAGCTCTGTTGATGAAGTTCCGTAGTGCGGTGCAGTGGCATGTTTGTTGCAATGGATTTTGTGTTTGTTGTTCCAGTTTCGAGACGTTATGACGGTGACCACTCACTCACTTCCGAGAAGACAAACTGCAAATCACCTTTTTCTTTCCACAAGCCAATAGCGACAGCTCGCAAGGCGTCGCATGAGCCCTGACCGGCCCGGCAGCACGCTGAAATTGAAGCCCTGGATGCATAACAGCACCTGAGGTTTGTAATTCATCAGCTGTGGGTTGACGGCAGCGCAGGTTGCCATCACCGGCCATAGGAGTCTCGCCAAAGCAAAACCGGTTCTGCAATCGTCATGCATTGCTTGACTCGCCCTGCCAGGGCCAGCTCTTCCGGGGAATGTTGCTGCTCCCATGTGCTCTGGGCCAGTGACGTGTAAACTTATTCTGGAAGGGGGAAGCGGCTGGCTATCCCGAGGTCAGCTAGAAGAGAGGCTTGTCCAAGATACCCCTGCGACGTTGGATCAAGGTCAGGCTTCAGTGTCGTTCTTAGGACTATTTGCAGCAACATGTTCCATCTGAGTGCCAGCGAAGTTCGGAAAGTGTCGCTTCGACCTGCTTGTGCTTTGCAGCTCGGGGGTTCCGATTCGAAAGCCTGCCATGGTGCTGCCTCCAAGTCCAAAGAGACGCCTGCGTGGCAAGGCCGGCGTCCATACTCCTGAAGCAGTAAGCAGTAAAACCTCAGAGCTCAAGCCACAACTTGAGCAACCATTCAGTATGCCTCATGAGGCAGCTTGTCTACTAGTCCTTATTTCTCCTTGAGTTCTAGAGCCGATGTCGGTCCCTGGTAATTTCAAGTCCCATGGGCTCCTGTGAGGTTTCCCCCAGCGCCATCAATGTCTTCACAAAGGAGAAGCGTCAGCTCACTCTAAAGCACGATCCCCAGAAAGCCAATCACGAAACTAGCTCTTCAGGAGCTTGCTGGAGGTGCGATAAATCAGAAAGAAGCTAGCTGAGAAGACATGCTAGGGCCAGGGCCCATAAATCGGAAAAGCTAAAAGGCATGCAGCGGCGCGGGGCGGGGGGGGGGGCAACCGCTTTGCGCCCTGCACTGAGCGCGTGGAGGCCGTGGTAGCAAACCTCCGTAGAGCATCTCCGTGTGCTTCTGTTATGACGGCTTGGTTCTGTTAACGCTGTATACCAGTCAAACAAGTAAATGTGCAAAATAAGTGTACAGTACAGTGACAGTGCACAAAGAAGTGTGAAACAAGTGTAAACAAAAATGTAAAACACTGTAGAATAAGTGTACAAGTAGATGGCACGATTGTAAAATTGGCATAAATTAACAAAGTGTACAGTGTAAGTGAATGTGTAACATAAAGTGTACAAGAAGAAAATCATGCTACACTGCACTTGCAATCATACCTTATGACATGGGCTAAAGAGCTGCTGCAGTGCCCGGCATGTATGTGTGTTTCGCATCTGCGCGCAGCAGTTATGATGTTACACGAGTACAGGACGACGCAGCGGTCCAGTTGATTCCTAGTTACCATGGATTCAGCGTCGAGACGGGTTGTTGGGCGCACACCCCGGATAGAGTGAGAGTAAGAGAGAGGCCTCGAGAATGCACCACGTGCTTGGACGCAACGTCCCAAGGTTACTCTTTCCTTACACTTGTTTTTAATTGCTTGTCCGAAATAGCTGCGACGGGGACAGAACACATTTATTTACATTTGTTTCTCTCTTTTTTTACACTTCTCTCACACTTTTCACCCAGTCCAGAGGCCCGCGGGCATAGTTGTTTAACACTCTTTTTTTGGCATGTTTTGCACTACCAAGGAAAACATTAGGAAAACATTATTTCCCGGAATTTCCAGGTGTGCCTGGGAAGAGTAAAAAGTGCAAAAACGTTGCAAATGTGTAAAATAGTGTAATTCCGGCCTGTCCAGGACGGAGTCAAGCCCAATACATGTGCGGTAGGCCCGGTAGGCGAAGGCTCTTTCATTACCATGCAGCGTACATACACCTTGCACGACGTCCTAAAATCCGCTATCTACCGCCACCGCCATAGTCTAGCTTCCCAGAATATTATGGTGTAGGCTTTATTTACACTTCCTCTACATTTTATTTACACCCTCAACCCCTTCCATCTGCACTTTATGTACACTTTATTTACACTCTAATCACACTTTCCAGCCGAGGCTCCGGTACACTTTATTTACTCTTGATTTGCAAATACATGATTTGTAGGATTCCCAGCCTTAGGAGAACAGCGGACTTCTTGATGCTACTGCTGCTCCAAGTTGTGGTGTGCACGAAAAATTCAGAGCCGCACGGACCGCAGCCCTTCAGCCCTAGTCCCACTGGCTTTCGTGGCCCTCTCTGAAGTGAACTCTGCATCCCGGGCTGTAGCTTGCGACGGTTTCGGCTTTCAACACGCAAATCAAAAGACAAGACAGAGCTGACCGGTTGTCTCATTTCCAAGGCATGCGCAGAGACTGCTTCCCAACCTGTGCGCCTGGGGGTTTGCCGACCTGCAGGGGATCCTGACAGTTGTTGAAGCGAGTTGTAGTCATGACACCCGGTTCAGCCTCGGCAGCATTTTTCGTGCGGTGACACGATTGTTTGAGCCGTTGGCGCGGTGGCAGGTATGCCTACACAAAAGGGGCTCACTTCGAGGCTGAGGCCGACTGGAAGCAGTGGGTCAGGCTTCAGAATGATGCTGTGAGAAGTGGGGTGGCTGAGGCCTGGCTTCGGTGGCTGCGGGGCTTTCGCCCGGGCCTCCAGCTACCCTCAGCCAGAATCTCAGACACAGCACCTTCGACATTGCTGCCGAGCATTCTGTGCCGGAATGAGGTCCAGGAAGCATCAGAGCTGCTGATGAAATTGTCTCAGAGCAGAAGGCAGTGAGACTTCTGAGCCAAATAGAACGGATGTGACAATGACGCGGAGAGATGCGTGAGATGCTGCACCCTCGGCCAGGGTGGACAGCAAACTACTGCCGGCACCTGCTGCTTGGAAGCCCCAGGGGGTGCGATTTATGGACGAGCAGGCAGGATGGCCCGCAGCTTCGTTAGGCTGTCAGGCTATGGCCACTCGTAACAGTCGTAACAGCTTTCAGCTTGGTTTCTCGATAGTGCAAAGCTTTCAGGAGACAGGAACGCTTGAAAGTGCTTGGGCTGCCTGGGTGTTCTCAAGTGCTTGTTTGCGAGGGGGATGCTCGCGTCCAAAACCTCCATGGCTTCGAGGAGCAGAGCGGGTCAGGGCCTGGTCCAAGCGGAGTCTGAAAGAAGCAAGAAGTAGCGTAACTAGCGTATGAGGCATGAATGCAAAAATCTTGCAGGAAGCATGTGCGGTACCGTGCAATCTCAGCCCGTCTGAAAGCTGATTTGGCCAAGGCTCTTGACATGGCATGAGCCCAGAGCTCAGTGCAATGTATGTGGCGTTTGCCGTCCATGTCGGAAGTGCAGGTATGGCGGCCTCTTCCGCCTGAGGAGACATCCTTCCGAAAGGCTGCCTTTTGCAGTCGTTGTTTAAGCTCTGAGCTCAGCTTGGACAGGGGCATCTACGCTGTGGAGCGATCTGCTGCGCTGCAGAGAGCGAGGGCGATGGTATCAAGGAGGCGGCGCAATGTTCCTGCTGACTCGGAGGTCTCGCAGGTATTTGCCGGTTGAGTGTGTAAATGTGGACAGGACAGTTGGATTACAGGCCGGCAAAAAGTCCGCCTTCAAATCCAGCATCGTGATTGACACGTTGCCTCCAAGTTCTCAGCTCGGAGTTCTGCCCTTGACGCTAGCAGGGCGCAGGTACTGGAGGTTGTGAGGTTTAGAGATTTGAGCGCAAGGTCCTTTTCGCACATTTAGCAGCAACCTGCGCTTCATCGCCAATCCACATATCAACGGATTCAATACCCATATCCGAGTCCGGTAATCTCAACGTCCTAAATCCAATGGTGTTGCGCCTGCAAAGCGTGCATCGATCTAGTTCCGGTCCCACGGAATCTGCATGCCTAGCATCACGGCTGAGGCTTGAACACTGCTCCTGCCAAGCCGGCCAGGGAGGTTTGAGAAGCCCCCTCACAAGAAAACTCAGACCCTGGGGGTGCGTGGAGCGTTCCTGCGGAGTTCTAAAGTACGGTTTCGCACAGGCAGAGTTTGTAATTATGGTACGGCAAAGGCCGCGAGGCCTCCATCAACTATCGAATTTTGTAGCAGTCGTCGTTCCTGGTCCTCGCCGTCGTAACTGCGAAAAACGCGGCAGCGGCACGACGTGTTTGCTTCACAATTTTGCGGGGTGACAGAGCAAGACTGATTCTCAAAGAGCTTCGTCTCCAGCTCGCCGATGTCCCAGTCCTAGTCCCTCTTATCTCAAAGTCTCCGATTCCGGGAGTCCTGGCTCTGGACCTGCACCCAAGGCGGCCCGGTCATGGAGCCGCAGTGGTCTTTCATCTACTTGCACTCCTTCAGCCAGAAAGGTGCCCCCGCTAATTTGCAGGGAATCATACTGAAATGATCTCGGTGTGTGCAAGGCAGTTAGGATCAGTTAGGTCTTAGCCTTTGCGAACTGTGAAAATGCATTCTCCGAGAGCCTGTGCTTGCGAAATGGCCAGCGGACTTGGCCAATTTAGGGTGCTCGACTCGTACCGGTAGCTTCTGTAGCATGACTTTGACAAGCTCGAAGTCAGTGAAGTCCGTTGCTCAGGTACAGACTACCTGGATTTTCCACACTATTTCAACGTCAGAGCCCCAGCAGTACCGTTTTGCATGTATGTGTGCTGCAGCAGCTATTGTCCTCGCAGGGTCGATCTCAGGTTTGCGGGGCGAACGTTCGGGTGGTTGTACCCACTGCGCCGCTTTTAGAACAGCAGTGCTTCAAGGAGAATGCACAGCGTGCCTGCAATTCACAATGAATTGTGTCTGTACTTTGAGGGTACTATCGTTCACTTCATATTTAGAACCCCCCCCCCTCCCGTCGGGATGCCGGGCCCCCAGGCTCCCCCTTCCGGTTAATAGGCGGATGTTGTGGCCGGCTGGCTCAGACCCGGTGCTATGGTCTGAGTGTCGAACAGTTTCTACACCACCTCCGTGGTCTTTTGTATCCACCTTGCCGCCTCGGATTTTGCAAATCGGGGGGTCTAATTAATTTCCCCGACTTGTGCAATGATCGGGGGAAGACTCTAAATATGAGGTCAAGATTACGTTGCATGTCACGTAAATGCTTGAGTATGCTGCAGGTGTAAAGATGGTGGCTTTTGTGGTGACTCATCCTTGTAGGACTGGTACGTTTGGCGCGGAGAGCGTCTGCAATGGAGACATCCTCAGCTACAGAGCAGAGGAATGTGGCATGGACAAGGTGTGCTGCAGGAGAGGTGCTTGTCTTGACTCTGTCATGCCATGCAGTGACCTGAATCGACGCGTGCAGAAGCTAAGGCGCCGCATCAAATTCAACGCCTGGTTCGATTACCTGACCGACAAGGCCGAGCTTCGCACTGGATCTGCAGTGATTCCTGTGCGTAGAACTTCACTGAGCTTCCCACAGAAGCCTTGCGAGGTCTTCACAAAAATCCTTTGGTGGCGGTTGATCCTGTTATTTGAAGCACTCGCGTGCGCATGATTAGGCTTAGCGCGACATGTGAGCCATAAAGCCCAATCATCATGAATCCGGCTTGCTCCAGCCTTTTCTCTTGGCTCTACTCTACGCCTTTACTCAACAGCGTTCAAGTTTGAGTTTGCTGCTTGGCTGCAGCCTGCTAGGACCGGATGTCATGATGCCTCCAGAAAGGATCAGAGAGCTATGCAATACATGTAAAACCATGTAGACTCACCATCCTATCGAGGACTGTCATGGCGAAGGCACTGACTTTCGCGTTGTCTGTGACAGCCGCTGACTTGCAGTTACAGCTCTCAGCTCTCGCATGCAATCGTTGGTGTGTGACATCGGAGTGCCAGACCTTGAAGCAGCATGCATTCTTCACATGCGCGGCAAAAGGCAATTTCCTTGGCTATGTCGACGGACATGGCAGACATGGATAATGCCTTGGCTGCCGATGGGGAGTGTGCTGCGGGCCAGGCGGATAGTAGAAGCCGTCGCCGAACATGCACTGTGCCAGTAGCTCCCTGCCTCAGAAGCCTTTTGGCAGGAATGCGCCCTGAACGCTTTGCAGCAGAAGGCAGTAGTTGCCCAACTGCAGGCAGAGGCCAGTGGGCCCCATCATTATGACATCATTGGGGCTGTGATCTCTGCAGTGCGCTGTCTGGAGATTAGCTTTGGGAATGCAGTCTCCCGTCTGAGAGAAAGCCCGTCCAGCAAAAAGAGCCTGTGGGGCTCATCGGCTCATCACAGGACTCCGTCGAGAAGTTCGCTTCCGCTTTGGAAGAAGGCGAAGAGGAATTGGCAGAGGCTGCAAGCTGAAAGAATGAAACTCAAGAGATGATTAGTCATGAGCGCCCTGGCGTTTCTCTGAGTGTCTAAAGTGAGGGAGAAAGAGATCCATCCTGTTGAAGAGCCAGTCAGACTATGCCAGACTGTGATGGTTGAGGCTGAAGCGCAGAGCAAGGTTGGACACACGGCTTCGGAGGCTGCAGCTCCGCTACAGTATGCTGGTAAGTTGATTCGTCCGTAGACTTGGCAAGAATCTCTAATCATATCGTGGTCACCAGACCGATCTTGCAAACACCGGCAGAGCAAGAAGTGATGCGCGCAAGCATCAGCACCGAGTAAAACATGTTCAAGTGACATGTTAGCAATCTGACAGCAAAGGAGAAATGGGGCCCATCGCCGCCTCCACCGGCCGCCTTCAACCCTTACTGGGGGAACCCCTACGGGCAAATGAGCCTTGCCAAGAACATTATGTGTACCGATTCCGGGGCGCGCTTCCTCTGAGGCTGGAAGGCATCCGGAATTAAAAGAGCATCGTGCCCAGGCATCCCGGGTTCAACCCATACGGCGGCAGCCCATATGGTGGCAACCCTTATTCAGTGCCAGGCCTAGGCGCTGGAAGGGTTCCAGAAGGGGGAATTCACAGGATTGGGACACTTGTCAATAGCATGGCAGCCATGACGCAGGGGCTGACACTGTCGAAGATTTTTGTCGTTGCCTGATTGAACAACAGGGTGTAGCATGTCGTAGACTACATCATCAGACTTCTGAATGCCATTGGTGAGGCGTTGGAGGCTGCCTGACCAAGATCCAGGAGTGGAGTTGTGTTTGCTGCTTCAAACGACAGCATGCAATTGGTGTGGACCACCACGCTTCATGGAGCCATCCCTGGCCCAGCAATAGACTTCACCTCAGCCGAGCATCGCAAGCCATCAAGCTCTGTGTTGAAGCAGCTCGTGCTTGCATCCCTCTTTTCAGTCCAGCTTCAGTGAACCTGTGCCACTAGTCAATCGCATGAACCAACAGGGCTCTTCTTGCATGGTCTTCAGCTGCGCCAAGTCACGCGGGCCAACAACGTGCAACCTCGAGGAGAATTCCTTTGCAGTGCTGCATTGCGGTCTCATGCTTCCGCGGAAACTTGTGCATGTGCATCCCCATCAGCATCAGGACTACTACTGCTACTGCCAGCCTGGAAGCTTGGCTGGTTTAAACTTGTCTTAAGCATGGCAGTCGGCAGCATCAGATGATTTCGATGGTTCTACATAGTGTTCTACATGGCTGGCAGATTTTAATTTGTGGGTTCGAAACCCAAGCAAACATCGAGGACTTAAGATTTGCTGCACCCAAAAACTCTCCATGCAACGGTCAGAAACAGGCTTCTGCTCCGATGGCAAGGGTTGCGTGCCGCAGACGCACATGTACCGCTGAGCCACAAGGTTGCAAGTCGGAGCTTGTAGCAGGGAGACGAGAAAGACATTATTATGAGCTGAAGAGCAAGATCAGAAAGTGCCATTCAAGCAAGGCTCCTTGGGCCGTTGCCGTTCGCGTCAGCATGGCTGGGCTGCAGACTTCTGGACTCGCCCATGCCGAAGAATTCCTTGCGGAGATTTTCGCTTCAGAACGCCGACCTCAGCCAAGAGAGCTGGGAGTAGATCTCGCGGGAAAAATCAAGAATCTGCAACGAGGGGAGGCTGCCAAGAGCTCGAAGAACCACTCTTCCAGTGTAGACCGCACGGGCTTCTGGTATAAGCCGGCTGAGTCGTGCCGTGCACAGGCATCATGGCAATGCCCCCAAGGAGTGCAGGTACCCCTAATCGCACAGAGGAGTCGGCTGTGATGGAACAAGCGTCTGCGGGCCTTTCACCGCCAACATAGTTAAACGAGGACGCATAGAGATCTGCAACTCACCGACGAAGTAAGCTGAAGGAAGTCGCAACTCCTAGTCGCTAGGTGCATCTAGACGAGCCCGCAAAGCCTCAGATGCTTTAGGAATTAACTCCTGGAAGGCCAAGCTGCAAGTTTGGTCAACGTTTGTGCACCCAATGCAACTCATGTTGTCTTTGAGTAGAATTTTCTGGCCTACTCTACCCACGAGCTCCTGCTGAACTTCATTGAATCGTCGACTTCCCAAGATTCCCGCAAACAAGCTGTATCGCCTAAAGCTATAGGTCAGGGCCAGCGCACAGACACGAAACAGAGAACGCAACAAAGTCAGCAACGGTGCCGTCGCACAACGGGCTGTCGCAGGGCGGAGTTGCCGAGAATGAGATTTGCACCAAGAGCCCGATGCTCAGTCAAGCCCTTCAGCATCCCTTGATCGCCGTTATTGAACTTCTGTGGAACTGGAGGTCTGCTTGCTGTCCGCGAGAGACTGCATGGACTCCTGAGACAAGAGGCACCCATGAGCCCGCGCAAGCGCTGTCTCATCCAGACATCTCTGGGACTGGGACTTCTCATAGTTTGAAATGCATCTTCAGGTGCAGCGTGTGGGCGACCCACGCCGCGTGATCGTTGGTGGAGCCTCACAAGGATGCTGCGCCGCCCGCACGCAGTTGATGAATTTCGCTCCCAAAACAGCCACAGAGAGAGAGAGAGAGTTCCCCCTCTGCCCCTAACCCTGCTGAAAGAAAAGAGACCCCCTCGCAAAGCAAAGCATAACTCCAAGGCAGCGCTCGATGCGGCCTTGACTTTCGAGCAGGATTCGCTTGAGTTCTTCTGTTTTTCACCTCGGCATGCCTGATCTCAGTGTACGACATGAATGGATGTACTTCAACCTCTGCACCATGTGCATGTCATGTGTTTGTGATGCAGGTAAACTAGGTAACCACATGATAAAAGGCATGTGAATACACGTCCATCCACACCTGTACAATTACAACCCCATCTTCACGCATGACACAACCACCTACAGTGCGCATGTGTGTTCATGTATTCTTGTGTCATGCAACCATGTGCACCTGCACAAGCGTACATACAAAGATGAAAACATGAATGCATGCCTGCATGGACGCATACACGCACACACACACATGCGTACGTACATACATACATACATACATACTAACGTTCTTACATACATACGCATGGATACATACACGCATACATACATACATGCAATTGAAACATACATATGCACACAAACATACACATGCACACCTGCACACACACATAATATAGATGTATACATATACATAACATACATATACACATACATATACACATACATGCACACACACACAGAGACATACACACACACATATACCATACATACATACATACATACATACATACATACATACACACGTACACACGTACACACGTACACACATACCTACATGCATGCAAACATGCATAGAGACATAGAGATATAAAGACATACATACATACTTACAGACGGACAGTTTTTTGGACATACACGTCTGAAAGCGCGGGAGGACCAGATGATAAGACAAATGAGGTGTGATAGTCATGTCGGCAACTGATACGTAAATAGATGAATGCGGTTTTTGGTTGACTGCAAGTTTTGGGCTCCAGCAGTTGTCCTTCGTCATCCCGATTGCTCCCGCAAGGTCCTTAGGCGGAATCAACGCTTTGGACAACCAGGGAGCTTGTAAAGTGGTGTCGGATGAGAGAAGTTTCGACTCCTTAGGTGCATGCACTACCAATGGCAACTGGCTCCGCAGATGGCAAACAAAACTCTGCTGAAGCAGGGTGGCCCAAGGTAAAGTGGGGAAGCTGCTCGAATCACAAGCAAGATTGGCGAGCTGCCCAGCACAAGCAGAAGCCAAAGGCAGACAGTTGGAATGGAGACTTGACAGCATGAAGTGAAGCGGTCAAGCGGCTTTCTGGGGTTGTGTGGGTGTAGCTTAGCTCACTTGGGATGCAGGCCGATGTTCACGATTTTATAATGCAAGCCTAGGCCATCATGCATGGCAAGCGTCCGTTGAATTCGATACGTGCCGTCCTCAGCTTGTGAAGCCGCGGCCAAAACACTGGGAGTCTCAAGACTTGCGGCCGACAGGTGGTCCAAAGGCGGTGGCACCAAGAGTTGGTCGAAGACTCCGAACACCCCCACGCAGCTTCCTGAAGCCGCCGACAGCGTGGAGCAAGGACTTCTCATTTCCGCAGTGCAGGCTGATCGAGAGTTGTGATAGGGTAACAAAGACAAGTCTGGGAAGCTAGACCAATGCCAAGCTGATCAGCTTGTCATCACCACCTCACATGGCCCTGCAGTGTCGCCAAGTGACCTCCAAGCAAAATTGAAGGGTACTCTGCACAGGCACTCTACCGTGAAGAGCTTCTGCCACAGGATGTGGCGTCCTTCATATCTGCTTCGAAGTTAGAGAGTAGAACCTCATGCGCATAGCTTTGTACAGCATGAGGTCTTGCTGCAATGGTGGCTGCGCCGATCCCAGCAATACAGAGTCGGGAGGGCTGACAAGATCGACTACTTCCCAGGCACACCACTGACGGAGCTCTGGCAAGCTTGGAGGATTCCTGCAGTGCCCATGAACGAATCATCCCTGAGCTGTCACCGGAGGAGATCCAGACAGCTGCCTTGGCGGCACGGGGCCACTTGCAGGTCGGGCCGGCGTTTCCCCGCGAAGGAGAGCATTTCTGGAGCCTTTTGGTTGCTTGGAGGTCCAGCGCTCAACGACTGGAAGGATTCATGGAAGTCTGAAGGCTGAGCAGCGTGTGCGGATATTCTTGACACGGTCCTGGCAGGAAGGGCTTTTCGGTCCGGCTGAAGAATCCGCCGGAGTGGTTCCATGAATTCCCCGAGGACTTGAGTGACAAGGCCCCGAAGAGTTCAGGTGTGGTTCCTGCAGACAATACTAGAATTCATTCCTATGCTCTTGAGATTCCACTGGATGCGTTCGATGAAGCTGCGCAAATGGCGTCAGAGCCTAATGCATGGATGAGCATCAAGTAATGGCGGGTCTGCGATGTCTGCGAGCAAAGCCGGAGTTCAGGTGTGAAGGTGGCTGGCCACAGGAGGGCGAGACAGCTCACGAGCGCATCAGACTGGCCGTCTTTGCCTCAGCAGCTTCCCTTGGCAGATTCATCAGATTCCCTTGCCTTGATTTGACTGTGACGACTCTCGCTTCCAAGGCATGGCTGGTGCGAAATGCCCGCAAGAGCTCTCTTCGACAGCTCAGTTTGGGCCGTGCCATGGCGCTGGTGAACCTTCTGCTTAGCAGTCAGAGCCCCAGACTACAGACCATCACAGAGCCTTCCAAACCAAACTGGAGACCTGCCGTTCGTGACCTCAAGGCCACAGTGTCCTTGGAAAGCGTCAAGGTCGCTTGGTTCCCTACCACATGTCGGAGGCCGGTTGCAGACCGTTCGAGCAACATTGCAAACTGGGCCGAAGAGCAGGACTTTGAGAAGCAGGAAAATTCCAGATGCAATCTGCCAACGAGTCTTCGTGAGGGTGAAGTGGCTTGTCCAAACAGCTCAACTCCTGCATCTGTACTTTGCAGCTCGCGACTGCGCATCCATCCGAGGTTTGTTTTCGATTGTGGGAGGATCTCATCTCGCATTTGTGGGTGCTTTTGGCTGAGAATGGTGGGGAGATGATGCCGGGAGCACAGCACGGTCTAAACGGCATGCGATTGGTGTCCGTGTCCACTGTCAGCACATCCAGATTTCAGATTGCGAGGTCAGCTCGTCTGAAGGTGGAGATGCGATCTCGCTTTCAGCGTGAGCTAAGCGAAACCGCACTTGGTCACGTCAGTTCTCGCCTCGATGCCGGCATTTGCTGATTTTATCCAAGCGATACCCGTCTGTCTTTCCTCGCTGACCTTAGGTCTTGGATGTTTGCTGGATGATGAGCGCTTGGCCGAGCACTTCAGAGTGACCAAGCGACCCCCAGCAGCCAGATGCTTACGTGTTGTCTGTACATACTCGAAAACCAAGAGTGTGTCCGAAGAGCAAGGCAGACGTGATTTGTCTCCGCTCAACGTCTCGGCCGCAGGCCGCTGCAATGTTTTCAGCTTGCCGCATGTCAAGCGCAACCAAAGCAGCGTAGCAGTGATGTGAATTCGTCCAGCTGTCTTTGCGCAGTTCGACTTCAAAGAGCCCGTCGATGCTGAGAATGCACGTGCTGAACTTGGAGCCACGACCGGAAACCCGTCAGGGTCATTCCCAGAAATGTCCACTGTGTGCAAGAGGTCGCAACCTATTGGCAATCCTTCGAAACACTGAAGACAGGCGCGGGCATGTAACCCACTGCGCATCATGCTGTGACGGCCTAGCTTGGCTGCAGAGCATGAGGTACAGCACATGCTCCCGCCAGACTAAAGTTGTTCCCGAAGTGATTAGCGATATGAGCGACGTACGGTTGATGATATGAATCCTGCATTACCCGTACTTAGTAAAATCCACAGTTCCCATAAGTTCAGGGTCCTTGATGTAATGCAGGGTTGATATCATGAACAGTAGTTCGAGGACACCAGACGACAAAGTCGCCGTGGACCGGTCGCAAAGTTGGGAGCAGGACCTTGGGTGGTGCACTTAGGCTTTCAAAGGCCCCGGTAGCAGCTTCGAGCACAGGATGGGCTGCTGCTTTCCAGTATGTCTCCTTGGAGCATCGTGAGTTGGGAAGCCCAGTGCCATGATTTTTGGGTAATTTTTCGGCGTTCGGGATATCAGCCCACAGCAATACCTCGCACGCACGTCTATCTGGTCCCAAGTCTGGGCACCATGTCACCATGTCCAGGTAGCACCTTCCTCGACGGACGGCACAAGGACCAGACACAGACCGTGTCCTGTGATCTGCTCCTGGAACCGGCTCCGTGTCACAGCACCTACCGTTCTCCCGCATTTTCTGTAGATGTCTGCACACGAAATTGTCGGGGCGCCAGCCTGGCACGACTGCATTGCACATACGAGGAGATGCCCAGCTGGTCTTCTCCAGAGATTGCCACAGTGTCGCATAGACCCCAGATGAGACCATGCCGCTGCAGCACGTGTATGCTGCAGCTGTGAAGCGCATCAGAAGGCGAATGGAGCAGCCCATGTACACCGAAGAGGAGGTCCCGCCAGAGACACGTTTTGCATCTGCTCGGAACAGCCAATAGTGGAATAGCCCTGCAATTTGCAAAGCCTGCTTCAAGGTTGTACATGTATGAACTTCTGGTCTCGCTTTTGCGATGGCAGGTTTGAGAGAGAATGCAACGGCCTTGCTGTCTCGTGAATCACAGGAATGCGGAATGCAGACGGAATGCAGACAGATTGAGTTTTCATGTCTTTGCATTGCACGTACCGGGTCGGTGCAATGACCACAATGTACTCTCATCTACCTGACAGAGGCCGTTCTGTTCTTGTAATGCAGCTCTATTTCTGATTCCTTGGTCGTCGACTCGATGTGTCTTAAGATTTCTGCTGGCCCACAATCTTGGTGAAGCCAGTGAGCAGACGGAATCGAAGTTCCAGACTCCTCATTTTTCAAGTTCAGTGTAGCGAGACGGGAGTGGCGGTCGACTGCAACAGGTTCACAAGTTTACTACATAAGGTATCAGACGATCTTGTCTTCTCATCTGCTGATGAATAAGATTGGGCATTGGACATGTGGTCGCACCATCACCGTACACTGTAGAACGGAGAAGAGCAAAGGCATCACGCTTGAGGTGTGGCCACTCGGCAAGCGGATAGACAGCAGAAACAAGTTGCGACTTGAGTCTCTGTGTCTGATGGTAAGCCCGCCGTGATCAATTGAAGCACACCTTCATGCGCAGCTTCTGCATACGGCCCACAAGAAGTGCACGTATTCAGGGAACGAGAACACATGCCAAGCGGTACCCAACGAGTATGTGCAACAGATGAAGCCACAGCAGCACCACCAGCATCAAGGGATCTTGATCTACCACTCAAGAAATGCCTGGACCATGGCTTCGAACATAGATAGCGACGCCATGCACCTTGCAATGGAATGCGGGCGGTGATGAGCCGCCATGAAAAGCAAGGGCTTGGATTGGTCCGTGGGGACGGCCTTCTTGCTGGCAGATGACTCTCATGAGCTGACGCGAAGATCCTTCCCTGCATTGTTTTTCGTAAACGGGCATTTGTAATCATTGCGTTTTTCCGGCGACGGTCGCGGCTTGGGCCCACCAGGCGTCAGAGTTGCCGGCACCGATGTTGCTTACCAGAGGCTTGAAGTTGACCAGGACGGCTGGGGGCTGGGGGTGAGTAACTTGATGCAAAAGTTCACAGGTGCTTACCAAAAGGGCGTTTGTACAAGCCAGCAGCACAGAAGTTGGGCAGCAGAGCACTCTTAGTCTTATTTTGTCTGTTCTGGCTGATCGCATATCAATCTTGAAGGAGGGCGTCTGCCGGAACAAACTCGAGCGGACAGATTCTGCGGATGAAGGATCGCTGCGTTGCCTCTGCACAGTTTAAAGTTTAAAGCCTGTTTAAAGCTTTCAGAGCGGAGAATGGAATGACTTGCAAATTTATGCACCCCGCGAGGAGGCAGAGCAGTGTGCGATTCCGTTTGGGGCTGTTTTGAAGCATCATGGAAGGCACAATGCCATGGTCATCGTTTGAAGTCGCGTGGTCCGGGAAAGCAGCGGCCAAGCTTAGCCCATGTTGAGGCTGTGCTCACGGCATTGGTTGCACTGGCGGCTGCCATTGGTATGCAGACGATTCTTCCTTCGGTCCACGTGTCACGGTGCGTGCAGTGAAACATGCACGTAGTGCGGCAAGTCCTATAGATGCGGCGAGGTAAGGTTAGTGTGAAGTAACCCCGTGTCCTCCAGGTACCTTGTCATGGAGACGACGGTGGTGGATTATCCGGCTGCCTTCGAAGTTAAATCGGAGTACCGGCCAGAATGCGACACCAGGCGAGTGCAAACGGCATCGGTAAACCGCAAACCAACTGACTTAGGAAACAAGATTGGGAAAACACAGGTGCAGAATTCGGAACGCAGGCAACAACTCTATTCTGGGTTTGTTCTGGGAGGGTTCAAGGTTTGCAGGCTGGGTTAGTTGCTCTTAGGCCCTGCCCTTGCCTGATTGACGGCTTAGTGGCCGCTGGGCCCTCCCCCATCCTGTCGTTGGGTCTAGGGTGTTGGATTCCAGCTCCGCTTTTGAGGCTCGGGTTTTGCTGCTGGCCCCGTCCTGTTGTTGGGGCTTGCCGCTCCCCGCTGCAAAAACGGATTGGGGATGTGTGTTTCTCCAATATGCAGTTGGGGTTTGGGGTTTGCTTGCCTTCGTATTTCATCGACAGGCCGTTGTAGCTAGGAGGCGGCCTCAGTTCCAGCAAATTCTAAGCCCACCAAGTTCTGTCCTCCGCTCGAGGTTTTGCAGCTCACACGTTACGGCCTGATCGGGGAGCTCATTCAAGATTTGTCGGATATTAAAATCCCAAGTCTTAACATATTTTTCTCCAGCAATCTATTGCAGCGGCAGCCTCGTATTTTTGCGACATGTAAGCAATCTCGCTCCCTCCTTTGCTAGCTGATCTTCAAGGACCTTCCAAATTCTTGGGTCGTGAGAGGTCTTCATCATTCCAGATCGGGAATCGTGACTTCCTGGAGAAGTTGCAGGTGCCATCAATTCCATTCGATGCTGGAACTCAAGAGTTTGCTGCCTGTGGACTGCAGGACTTTAGTTTCGTGTTTTTCTCCATGGCGAGCATCGCATCCAAGCTGCATTGAGCCACAAGCAAGGCCAAGGTGTTGCAACGCCAATGCTTCAGGTCAATATGCTTACTGAAGTTATTAAAACGGCCTCCGCTGTGCTGATGCCACCTGTGAAGCCTATACCAGGCTGGCATGCAGATCGCACAAAGCAGCACTCATTCTCAGAATTGGCCCTGCAGATGTGGATCAGTTTGTTCCGGACACCAGTCAACCGGGCAATGTGGCTCTCCGACGATGTCCCGCAAATCGCTTTGTGACGACGCTTGATGCAATGATTATAAAGTTACTTCTGTCCTAATGCATCAACCAGGACATGCAACACCCAGAATTGAAAAGCTTGGGATGCAGGCAGTGACTCCATGTCTGCCAGATTCAGGTTGGGAAGCTTGGTCCCATCTCCACAGTATCTCTGGCGCTCCGGGCCCGATGCAATGGAGTTCACGCAAGCAGCACAGTGTCTCGATGTGCAAAATGTAGCATCTCTCTTTGACTTGATCTGCGGCTTCCCTGGCCCTAGCCTGCAGTCTCGCCCGTACGCAGCCACTGTCACCCTGAAATGAAAATCTGTCTGCTGCAAGTGCTTAAACATTTTTGGTCTAAATGTTAGTCTTATGCTGCATGGTGCACAAACCTGTGCCGCGAGGGAACTGATCGCCTTCGTGCAGGGCGGCCTGCTGGAGGGTCAACGATCGGAAGGGCGCGCAGCCAAGAGGGTTTCAGGGTCCCTCAAGTGACGTGGGTCGATGCAGTACACGCAGAGTCACTCACTCATCGGATGAAGGTCGGAATTTTCTCCTGCCGATTCTGTCAATGTTCTTATGGAGGCACGGCAGATGCGGGACTGAATTAGATCTGCCATGCAAGGATGGCCTGCATCGTGCAGACTTATCGGACAGCCTTTGTGGCTTCGTTTTCTTGTTGAGGCTCCTCACAGTATCAAGCTCGGCGGCATGACCGCTTTTTTCCCATGGTCTATGCAAACTGCATGCCGCAGCCTTGAACGACCGTGACGACACCCAGCGATTACAGTAGAGTTGTTAAATGAGCAATCCTTCGACAGGTAAATACATACCTCAGGTTACCTCTTCCCCATTCAGCTCATCAGCTTGTTATATGTGACTCGCATGCACCAGCTGTCGCCGGATTTCTTACACACAACTCCATTGCCTGTGCCATAAGGACTTGATTGCAGACTCCTTGCTCCGGAACCCTGACTACCTCCTTATTGTCACAGAGACTTGCCTTGGGTTTGGTTCCTACTGCGAGCACAGGTGGAGACGTTCCTGAGTGGTGCAAAGTACCCTTGTGGGGTGACATGCGATTCGGTTTCATGGCCTCAGGACACGGACAAATGGTGGGCCAGGGCCGCAGCGTCTGGAACTAGAGACGGGGGGCTGGGCACCGGGAGTTGAATGCATGCTCAACATGAGGTTTGGTTTCAGCTTTCTTTTCGTCACGAGATGCTTTTGCCAATGCTATTGCAGGCCGGAGTTCACTCGTCGGAAGCTGTCCAGAGGGGTAGACTGGTCCATGGTGCGACAGGTGCTTCGCATTCACATCAGCGTAGACAACCTACGTGCCTTCTTTCGGGGGATGCAAGGAGCCTCTGCAGGCAACCACGGCCTTGGGATTTTATCAGCTCTTGTGGAAAGGGTAGACTCGCAACACACAGTGCTAGTTTGCTGCCTGTGTCACATAGCACTACGTAAATGGATCGAAATGATATCTGACAGGCAGAATCATCTTGCCTGGGACTGAGCTGATCCAACAACGGAGGAAGATCGCAACAGCTGCTGTTTTTCTTTGTTTGTGGTGATCCTCGTTCGGTCGTTCCCTTGAGTTTCATTCGGCATGGTGAATCCGAGGTCCGTTGCATGCTGCGTTGCTGGGACAGCAGTTGTCATGACCGCAGCGACCAGTGACGTTGGGCATTCTTTGTTCTGCTCGGCATCTTGTCATAGCCTGACCCCGGTGCATGCCTATCGAAGGTGGCGTTGCTGCCAAAGCTGTTGATATTCCTGCCAGCATTATTGGTCACCTTCCTGATAGGGCTTCCTCCTACGTGGCTTGGCCTGTGTGGGTGCAGAGTTCGGGTGCGACGTCCTCTGCGTATCCGCATCTTGCAGCCACACGTATCAAAAATCACCAATCGACGAGGTGGGCAGCATGCATGCTGCTCGAGCGCACAACTGGCCGGTCATACTGGCACGAAAAGGCAGGCAAACGCTCTGGAGCGGGGCCAGAGTGCGCACACCAGCCACGTCCCGCTTTCTGCGAGGAGGGCCCCCACGTTGGTGTGCTGTACTGCTTTGTTCTGCCAGCGGCTGCTTTGGTGTGGCTTGACAGCATAGCTTAAAGAAACTGTTTCGAGTGTCTCGGCAGCCGAACTTGCAAGGTGGCGATTGGATGCATCTCTCGTGCCTTATATCTGCAGCCAAGGAACAGGATATTCTATCAGTTTTCGGCAGGGCGCGAGGCTCAGCTTGTCGGAAGATGCCTTTCTGTAGCGAAGGCAAGCGCCTTGAACTGTCGTTCAGCTCGGATGAGTTTAAATCTGGTGCTGCTTTGCTGGTTGTGCACACACAAACTCCCGAATCTTGTGCTGGGGCCAGTACATCTAGCAGGGGATGCTCGGGGTCAAACTGTGATTCATCGTTTTTTCTGGTCGATGGTCCGGCTTTATTTTGCTGCTAAGGTTGGGGTTACCAGCCACGCAACCACAGTTTGCGCAATAGCTACTCTGTTCACAGATGCAAAAGTTAATCGACCACAGCAACTGACATTTAGCCTTTGCGGGCAAGCACTGAGGACCTACCTATGCACTCACAGTCGAGCCAGCTTGGTTCCGCTCCAGCAGGGGCATCTCACAATGGATGCACCACTTCTTTGCTTCGTGATCTCGATGTTTTTCTGCAGCCTTGCTGTGTTGGTCCCGGTCTCGGTTGGCGAAGCATCGTGCAACGTCACAGCGACATCATTCCATGATTTTCATTTTCTTCTTGATCCAGGTTCCTCTTCGCTTTCTTCTTGCTTTCTTCCCCGAGACGTGCGGCAGGTGCGCTAGTCTTGGCTGGGGTTGTATTCCGTTGCGAAGTCAGCATCTGCAGTGCGTGCTGCTTCCGCACCGCCTTTGCTCCCTGACACAGGGGTGTGTTTGCCTTCCTGAGCCCTGCTGGATTCTACATTCGCTGGCTGGAAAACCCACTCTACGACACCAGAAGCCTGCGGCTGGATCGGGAAGGTTACGAGGACTTGGAGAGCGAGGGCCACGAGAGACAGTTTGGGATAGTTTGCAACCTGTCAGACGACAAGACTGGAAAGGAGCACCGAAGGCATTTCTTCAAGGAGGGTACCAAGGACGGGTGCAGGCTTGTTCTTTTCCTTCCGCGCCAAACTGGGGATGCTACTCATCTCCGGATGCCATGGGCAGGTATTGCGAACACCTGATAAAGGGCGAGACGCAGGTTGAGCTCCCGCAAACTCCAGCACAGGCGATGCCTTTCCTTGCTTCGGTCGGCTGTGGTGGGACGTTTCGGGAAATGGGCGAAGAGTTGCATTGGTTCTGGCCAGCGAAAGGCTTTCATGTACGACGGCCTGCAGCAGTGTTGGGAGCTGCCATGCTTGCACGAGTCTTACAACGGCCTGCATCCAATTCCGAGCGGCATGGCGCATGAGGCAACAGCCCGTCACAACGATGTCACAGACTCTGCAAGCGATGGCTTAGGCTCCACTATCTGTTCAGTGCACAGCGTGGAGCTGTGAGCGCTATGGAGCTGCTCGGGGTCATAGAGACTCTGAGGCATGGACCCGCCACTGTGTTGGATCGTTTCGGCATATTCTGGGGGTCAGGGGTGTTCCTGGGCATAGAGCTGTTGCGAAAACAAGGTGCCGAGATTGTGTGGGATCGCAGGTCGCGGCAGTCATCTGTTCGACGGCTTCGGTCCAAGCTGGACTTGGCATACGACTTTGCGGTTGGCCTCCAACAGGCACGTACTGTTCCATGGTGCACCTGCTGTGTGTGGAAAGTCTCAACACCCATGAGCGTCGCGAGGCGGAGCAGCATCGCAGGCGGGGCACAAAGTTCGACGCGATGGTGTGGGAATTGCCGTGAAACAGGGCGTTTTTAAGAGTCTCAGCACCCACAGCCAATGAGGCTCCAAGGGGACATTATATGCCTGGGGGTCTCGTAGGGTTGAGGATTGGCTCCAGGTCGTACCTGGAAGCAGAAGAGCACATCAGAGTGATTGATGGCGAGTTTGGTCCCAGCACCAAGAAGGCCTGGTTCTGCCGAGCTTGTAAGTTGATGTAAATTGTAGTTGAAATACAAGGCACTTTCCGCTGAAATCTTGCCATACAAGAAGATGGTCCGGAGATCTGTGATTCCATCTTGCTGGCAGGCTTTGGTGGAATTCCTCATGCAGCAGGGAGAACTGAGTCGCAGCTTCAGTACGCCGAACCACAAGGCTACCTGGGGCCAGGTGGCCTGGCAGCCAAGTTACAGATTCTGTACATTTGCTGTGCTCTGGTGTGCCGACTTACATCTCGCAGGATGCATGCAAAGCGCTGCAGAGCTATTTGAAGCGGAAGCTGAGCTGCAACACTTCAGCTTAGTTCGAAAGATTTGATATCTTTTCAAAAAAGTCTTGTCATCAAAACATGTGCACGAGTGTAGCAAAAACTGGCAAGGTTCGGGGAGGTTCCAGGGACAGAGCTAGCTCGAGAAATTCCTGGGTTAACCTGCCGACCTCTGACTTAACCGCCTGGACTTTCACCGGCGGGGGGCATATGTGGCTGAGGATCGGATTCTACACAGGCAGGGCAGAACATGGCAGAAAGGAATACACGAAGCTAGAGAACAGATGCCGTGGGCAGAGATGCGGTGCAGGTCCGCTCAATGGTCAGCTCGACGATGTGTGGACAGTCCGTGCATTGAGATCTTGGCTTCTGGACCTGGGCTTCATCTACAAAAGATGGCTTGTGGACAGGGATGGTGAACTGGGCAGGCCTTGCCGTTTCTATTCTGAGCTAGCCTTGCACAGAAAATCGCTTTGAACTCAAGCCCCGGAAGCTGAAGGTGGACGACAATAGCCTTGCAAAGATTCCTGATTTCCACACACGAGCGCGCTCATGGCAACAGGCCGTTCGTAGTCTTCTCCCTTCACGACTGCCCACTGAAGCTTGCGGATGTAAGCCAGCGTTGCAGGTACCTCGCTGTCAACGGTCAGTGGACGGTGGACTTTGTCTTTGCCTTTCAGGCATGGCGACGCTAAAGTTACTAAACATGTGCACCGAGTCTTCAGTGACAAAGATGGTCTTGCTCAGGATTTTTTGGCTCGGAGCGGTGCCCCTCTCCAGTGATTTCCTGCGGCCAGCGCCGGTGCAGTCGGGTGCTTCCATGAATCGCAAGGTACTGCAAGCCCTCGAACAGGGACCTGGCGACTTGCAAACACCAAAGCCGTCCAGGAATTCTTGATCAGGTGCGTGCAAGCACCAGGAGGAAGCTGTAGTTGCAGTTTCTGTTGGTCAAGGCGTGGCTACTTGGCCGGGCAGAAACAGCCCACTGACGACACAGATGAGATCTTTGATGAGCAGGCCAGGCACTGCAGATTAAGAGGATGTGTAGATGCCAGCTCGCTCGGTCCTGCTCGCCTCAAGGTGTGTCGTGCGCTGCAATGTTGGCTCCGTGATCAAGGCTTTCCATGTGGCCTCAACGGAGAGAACGTGCCGACCTTGTTCTTTAGCTTTCGTGTGCGCGTGCCGCACCTGCGCGGCCGCTTCCACTCCCGCAATTCGGTGTGAAACGTTGAGGCGGACGGTGTCGATGGGAAGTTCGACACCGGAACCAAGCTGGCATTGCAGCTGTTTCTCAAGTCAGATCGAGCCATGCTCGTTCACAAGGACGGACGTCTCTCCCCAGTTTGTTGCTGGGTCACCATTCGGGACTTGGCTCTGACTTACAACCTCTGGGACATGAAATCATCGCGGCGTGTGCTTTGTCATCCCCAGCCAGTACTACTCTACTGCCACCACCGCCACCACCACTACCACTACGACGACGGCTACTAGCACCACTACCACTACTACCAGTAACAACAGTACTGTACACCACTGCCCACAGGAGCATTGCGGCCACCGTGCAGAGCCCAAAGACACCGAAGCAACTCCAGACGACCTGCGAAGACCTCCAACTTACAGCCAAAGCGTCGAAAGCAAACCCACTGGGAAAGCAACGAAACAAACCCCACACCCTGAAGCTTTAAGTCCGAAATCCCAAACCGTAAGGAGCTTAAAGGCTTAAACAACCCTTAAGCCCTAGCCCTCAAGAGCCGCAAGCAGCAAGCCTCCGAAGCTTCAACACCAAAATCCCAAACCTTATCCTAAATCCTCAAAGCCTGCCATGAAGCCAAAACCCCATACCCGAAGCAGCCTCAAGCGGTACGGTGTGAACAACCTAAACGCCCTCAAGCCCTGAAGCAAAAGCAACTCAATCCCTACACCCAAAACTCAAAAGCCCGAAGAACCCCAAACCCTAAGCCCCCAACAAAACAAGAAATAAAAAGAGCCCAGAAAGCTGAGCAACACCAAACCCTTAACCGTAAAGAGCCCGTGCCTTGACCGACCCCCCACCCGATAGGGAATGCCAACTACAAACTTTAAATCTTGAACCAGGGTGGCCCCACACCTATTGAAAGCCCAAACCCTAAACCCAATCCCCAAACAATCCCGGATTTGGGGTTGGGTATCGGTATTGGGAGTAATCAGGCATAGTGCTTCCGGTTTACGATTGTTTACGGTTTACGGCCTTGGATTGCTTAGGGTTTGATCTGTGTTGGAAGTTGGGTTGTCGGTTTGCGGTTGTTTAGAGTTTAAGGCGGGTTCGTGAGGGCTACGGTTTAGGGCCTTTCATTGCTCAGGGTTTGTGGTTTGTCTTTTTTCTCTGAATTCGGCCGGGTGGGTGGAACGGCGGGGGGTTGGTCAGGGTTGGCTGTGTGTTTTGGGTTTAGGGTTTTGGGGCTGCGTTGGGTTGAAGTTGTTTTGCTTTAGCCAGGAGCCCCTAGCGTGCCCCTCTTTGGGGGGTGAACTACAATTTCGAAGCCTTGTATGCTGCTGGTGGGTTCGTGTGAAGCCTCAAGCCTGGCAGTCTCCGACCTCCATCAACTCTGGAGCTTGAAGGCTTGAAGCCTTGAAAATTTCGGGGGGACTGGTGAGGGTGGGTGGGGCGCCTGGTTGCGGGGGTCGGTCTGGAGTGATCAACTTTGCCCCGCCCTTTGCTGGTTTAAGGTTGTTGAGGGTTTAGGGATTGTGGTTGTTAGCTCACAGGCTGGGTTTGGGGGATTGCTCAGAGTGCGTGGGTTGTACATTCGGCGTTTTGGCTTCTCAGGCATTGGCTGATGTAGGTTTGAGGGTGGAACGCCCTGGACCCCATATTAACAGCATCTTCGCATGTTTTATAGCGAAAATCACTTTGATTGAGGGCTTGGGTTGTTTTGAGGTTCAGGGTTTGGGTTGGGCCGGGCTTGTATTCTTTGCAGTTTACAGTTTCGGGTTGTGGAGGGTTTGGGGTCTCTTCGCTTGCAGGCGTTGAACGTTTCAGGGTTTAAGCAGCTGCAAAGCCGTACACCCCAAGCAAGACCGAATCCCTAAGCAACCCGAAACCGTGAGTCCCAAAGAACCCTTTTGGCTAGTCAGGGTCGCCACAATATGTCAACTCCTACCGAGCTTGATTGAAGGGTGAAAGCTGCTCAAGAAGAAACCCCGGATCCACACCAACCCACAACGCTAGACTCGCTGGACCCAGTAAGCCCGAATCCACTCGCTTCTTCCACACTATGTAGTATTCCGACTGAGGAGATAAACAGAATTGTCGTTAATTTAAAACTGCTGCTCAACTGATCACCTTCGTGCAAGTTGCGCAAGTCTAACCACGCAGGACCTCATCACCAACGGTAAATGGAGGGCCGAGACAATCCGCAGGTTGCAGGAGATGCAGTAGTATGCAACCGTGCAATGTTCACTACCTTACAAGTCATGTCAGTTGTGTCTGGAGCGGCAGGACTTCCTGTCCGAAGACAACTCCAATCTGGAGGTGAACGGTCTTTGGGACCTCGCTTCCGGGCAGGCCTTGCAAGCCTTCCTCAAGAGCCAGGCCGATTTGTGGATTCAGTTTGCCAGAACGGCGTTCTTCATTTCTTGAGTCAGGGACGATATGTCAGCTTCGTGGATGGTGACTTCGGCGGCGTGTCCGTGCAGTCACTACAGGACTTGCGCACCCTGCTGTGGTCACATCGAGAAATTGCACTCGACCACTGTGCGGTGCAAGATCCCATTTTTTGCCAGGCCTGGCTACGAGATGAGGCTGGGCTTCTGTCGCATGCTAATTACAATGCACCTGCGATGCTCCTTTTCATGCTGAGCTGCGTGGCACTTTGCTTTTGGTGCTTGATACAGTTGCAAGCCTTAGCATTAACTCACGAGACCCTGTCAGGGGTTCAGCTGTGGCAATGATGGTCCTCGGTGCGATGGAGTGTCAGGAAACTGGACGAAGGAGAGATTTCATCCCAAGCTTAGATTGGCTTGGATTCCATTCGAAACTTCCAATGGTGGATTCCTGCCAGAGCTGAGCTGCAGGACACAACAGCAGCTTTGCAGAGATTCTTGAACTCCAGGACTGACGGCCACGGTTTTGAAGTGAAGCCAAGCCATCTTTCTCGAATGTCTTGAATGTCAACAGCTGTGGTGCTTTGAGAAGCCTGGATTCAATCCAATCGTGCTCAGTGCTCGACACGCGCTGGTGCAGGAAAGCATCGGCTGGCGTGGATGCCCCTGCCCTCTGGTCCGACGAGTATGCGGACCTCAAAGCCACAGCCCTGACGTGCAAACAGGTGCACGCAAAGAAACGAACATGTCGTGCTGTTAGGCCTCATGCTGGGCCATGGCGCTGTTCGGCGGTGCTGAGAACTACATGGAACAGGACCTGGAGACATGCGACAAAGCGTTTGCATGATTGGTTTGATTGGTGCTTGTCTTAGCGGCTAGCCATAGCTAGCCGAAGCCTTCAAGCATTGCCCTGCTTGGCTGTAGCCAACTTTCCGGTTTAGTCGCATCTCTCGCAAAGCTGCGACAGCTTCGACTTGAAAGCAGGGGTGCCGGTGAATGGTGAGAGGCACCTCATGACATCGACAAGGACGTGGAACATATTGCTTCACAGTATCATACGAACACAGCCGTCATCGAGAAGGGCATGAGGAACGGAGGAAGACCTCACAGGCAGCAACCTGGGCACAACGAAAACCCAAACAGTAGGGCCCGACGGAGTAATCGCTAACTATTTTGGATCTATTGCTTGATGATGGGGGCACCTGCACTGTGTCTGAACCTGGCAGTTTCTGTGCCATGTAGTGTTTATCCGTGATTGAGGACGCTCTGGAATTGCTGCCGCCGGCCGATGTAGAGAAAGGCCGCAAAGCTGCGGAGGCGACAACAAAACGACAAAAATCCCGAAATCCTTGAATTTTGGTGAACATCGTCGACTGTCAGGCACGACAGCTCTTGCGGGACTCCGGCCTGGCTGTCCCATTTGGCGAGTGGTCAGCGTCCAAGACAGCTCGTGGGAATGGGGCGCGGATCGTCGAGGGGCGACCCCCTATCTCGCTGCCTTTTATTGCGCGAGAAGGTGGGGTGCTGCCCAGCTGTTGTCCAACTTGGGCAGCGGGACTTGGCTTGATGCTGCTGGCAGCGAAGCCGCAGTCGCCGCTGTGTGCCTTGTCGAAAAACATCCGAAAACAGAAGGAAAGGGTGCATGCTCCTCCTGGTCAGCCTCGTGAGGATAGCTTTGCAGAGCCTTGAGGGTGCTGATGAGGTGGGGCTTGAGCTTTGTCCTTCAAAGGCAGAGATAGAAGCTTTCTTGCAAGGCGCCAGAGGGAGTCTTCGAAATGGGCATCGCTTCGCTGCTGAGCCAAGAGCTCGGACACAAGTCTTCCCTGACCTGAACACAAACAGCCGCGAGGCTTTCGAAGCGTACAGAACGCCGCATCAGCTTGGGGTCTAAGTGGTCAAGGTCTTCGGTCTTCGTCAGTCCAGCGAAACCACAGTTCGACAACACTCTCGCTTTTCTGGATATTGAACTTGTGGAAAAGTTCGCAGCGCAAAACAGACAAGCAATGTGGATCGTGTTTGCATAATCCAAGCCGATGGATCTCTGAGGCCATCTGCGCGTCGGTTCCATGCAGGCAGTGGAGGCGCACTCAGAAACCGACAGTAGATGGCGAGAGTTCCTGCAACTTTTAGAGCTGTCTGTCGCCTGTCATGGCCGGTAGCTAAAGGTTTTAACTTATCGGCAAGCGAAGGCATCCTGCGCAGCGCTGGGTAGACTGGCCGACATGCACCTCTTGCAAGTCGAGGCTGGTTCCGTCGGCCGAGCATGCTACATCGACGGATGGAATGCAGGAATCACCGAACAGGTCCATGACTCCGCGAGGAAGATTCTGGCGTTGCGCTTGCGAGCAAATTCAGCAATTCACTCTGTCAGAGCCTTTGTGGTTGATGCCAAGCGGCAACGCAACTGTCAACACCAGAGAATGTCGCGAGGCAGTTGCAAGAGGTCTTACCTCTATGAAGAGCCTGGTCTCGCAGCTTTGGCCAGTGCTGAGGCACTTCTGGCTCATCTTGCTGTGGCAGAATTCTTGGAACGCCGATCCGTGTTCTGCAGCATCAGAATCGCCAGAGCCAGGGAGCGTCTCTCCTGCAGCTCCGATGGCCTCGATGTCAAAATAGCCGCAGAGGCCACAGAGAATGAGAAGGGGGGATGGAAGGATGAGCGCACGACGGGCAGGCTCTGGCGTCCCTCGACTTCGAGAAACTCCTCCCCGAGCACGTTCTGAGTTCCTGTGCCGACATCCTCGGGCCCAGACTGCACGAGGAGGAGCCACACAGAGAGCCAGAGAGTTTCCGGGGCTTTTGACAGGGTTCGAAAGCGCAGGACATCGCTCAGGAGCTATAATGTAGTTTACTGAAGCGTTATCACAAGTCCATTGAGTTGCACCATGTACTGCAGCACTGCCCCTACAGGATTGGCTGATGCGCGTGGGTGCCTGTCATGGCCTGGCTGTCTTTGGTAGACAGGCACGGCAAGGTCACGAAAGAGAACCCAGGGCATGTGGGTGAGTCCCAGCCAGGCGTCTGGACCCTACCTCGATCCCATCCTTCAGCTTGTGGACGATGAAGAGGACTGATGTGCTACAATACACGGCAGGTCCACAATTGCGGAGCGAGAGAGTTTGGCCCAACATTGAGGGCCCAGTGGTAGGAGCTGCAGCCTATGCCGTGAGCCAGCTCATGGACGGCAGAAATGGGCGCTTGTCTCGAACTCAGAGGTTAGTGCAGACCGCTGTAGTCAAGGTCTGAAATGTGCAATTGGGCAATTGGGTTTGTGCTTTACAGGCTTGCATCACGCCACGATTGCGCAGTACACAGCATCGTCAAGAAGCGATTGCAAAAGGAGGTTAAAAGGATCGTTTCAAATTGCTCGAGGATTCGGCATCTTTCGGGATTGGACATCGATCGAAGAGCTCCGTAGGGGTCGGCCCAGCAAGCAGGGCAGCTTGAAAAGCATTGATGGTGAGCTCGTCTTTCCTAAACCTCGCGCAGAGTCGGCTGGGCAGCGGGAAGCAGCCTAAACAGAGATCCATCAACGGTTTCTGAGCGGTGACTTAATGAGAGCAAAATTCTCAAAGTCCGATTTCGAAGTTCAGCCAAAGATCTCCAACGGTGAAGCAGCCAAGACCTCTGCTGCTTGGTTTGATATCTTGTAACAAGCAAGAAATCATCGGATCCGAACAACTACTTTCCAAATTTCTTCACAGAGTACGGCGTGTGAGCTGCTCGTTTCTCTTCAGAAGCAACGACTTTTTGACGTAAGTGCACAGACCAGCCGTTGGAATTGATTGTTTGGATGTAGCAAGGTCGCAGTCAGATCTGTGTGTTAGGTAATTAGCTTTCGATTGGAAAACGTTTTTAACAGCATCCATTTGGACAGCCTTCTTGATGCACAGTTTCTGGCTTTTGGTCGGCAAATGAGTTTCATCGTGTGGCGCCATCGCAGGTTGACTGTTGAAGATGGGCTTCATTTCCGGTTTAACAGCTCGGAATCTGGCATTCAACAAGGATGCACTTTGAGCCTGCAGGGTTACTACAATCGTGATGACTTGACCGCTTGGCCGATGTTGTCCATGCCGGCGATACATCATGATGCATCCGATCATCATTTGCAGCAATAGCTCCCTACAGTGTTAAGGACAAGGACAGCATACCAGTTCTTTGAGAGCCACCGTGAACTAGCCAGACTTGCTCAGAATTCTCACGTGTGGCATCAGACGGTCTTCCGGCGCCTGCCTGTCCACACGCCACCCCTCGTGTGACTGACTGACTTGCGGACTGACTGATCTTGCAGTACATCGCACGAGTGTTCGATATTTGTATCTAGGAGTGTCGGTCAAGCACGACGCAACTGCCTGACGCAGATGCTGACAGACCGAAAGTCTCTGGTACTTGTAGCGATTCGTTCCGGACCGGATTGAGGGCTTGCCGGTCGAAGAATCCAACCGAGAAACACAGCATCCCAGAGCTGCCAAGGGTGTGATGGTTTGTGTCATGTTGCATTGTTCGGGTTGGAACTGCGAGCCAAGGCTCGGCGTGGTGAGGAGGCTGGTCCTTGCATGTGCCATTCCTGCCGATAAAAGAGATAGTTCTCAATGCGTACAGTCGTAATTATGCGCATTTGCTTCTTCGTTGGGTTGCTGAGCCTGGGTAAAGTCGCAACCAAGCAGAAGATCTGAACTCGTGACATTGCCAGTTGGTAATTATTAGTGTGGGTCGATTTCAGCATGCTTGATGTGTGCTGGATGCCTTGCCGAACCTGTTTGTGTTTCCGACGCACGACGGAGAAGTCATTCACGAACATAAGAGGCAAGCCATGCATGCTGCATAACCATTCGCAGGCAGGGTGAATGCAATAGTTGGGTTGGCTACAATAACTTGGGAGGGGGGCATCTGGTGAATACTGCTTCTGCAGCCGCAGCCTTGATGCGGAGCTTAATGTTGAAGAGAATGTTAAAGCCCTCCTACTGGTACCTCATTGATCAAGCTCCCCAACTCAAGCACCCTCCCCTCCACAAGCAATCGTAATCAAAGTGACCCTTTGCGGGATGCGCCCGCAGACTGTTGCAATTCAAGCTAGGCCTCCTGCGATGCAGAAATGCCAGTTCCGCGGAGGCTCCAAGCGCGCCTACCCGATGCGGAGAGCGACTCCTGGGTAAGGGCAGGTGCCTGTCAGGCGAGAACTGTGAGTCAGAGTGGGGGTAGGGCAAGCGAGAGAAAGTGAGAAAAGAGACAAGCTCCTGCTCAAGCCCGAAGAAAATCAATTCTGAAGAGATGGATTGAGGGCAACAAAATGCCCGCAGGGAGACAGTCCTGGCTTCATGTCTCAAGCCCTCACTTGAGCGAACGACTGTGCAACGACAGTTGGGAGTGAAAGCCATTCTCCGATTGCACCATGCTTCAGCCAAACGAATAGAACAGGAGAGACACAGATCGAGCATGGTTTCTGACGACCGGGCATGTGCTGCCCACGGAATGGAAACTTATGTTGATCCCACTGGCCCATTCTCGACGAAAGAAAGGATGCAGACGAAGAGAAGGGCTTGACTTCAGAGTTAAGGCTTCCGAGGTTGACTATTGATAAATGCTGCTGTAAATTCAACTGGTCCTTGCCCGACATGTGTTGTTTGCCAGGGTCTTGGCCTGCTCAGCGTTGTTGATGCTGACACCATTTCCGTCATCGCCCCGGCTTGGACCAGCAGGTAACAGGTTCCCTGCAGTATCCTGAGCTTGGTGCATTTGCATCCTTGGCATGTCGCACGCACAAGCACTTATCAGCGATGTCGGTTTTTACGTTGAGGAAACTTGCAAAAGAGGATGCGACCAGCCTGTATCGAATCTCACACTTTATGCCGTCGATTCGAAGCGAGCCGCATGCAACCCTTTGCAACCCAAATCAAGTGCAGCAGCCAGGGTAATCCTGGCTCACAAGCGGTACCAGCACCCCAGACACATGTTGAGGAGTACAGAAAGCTGAGGCGGGGCCCCGTCTCTCCATTCTCCCCATCAACTCGATCCCGAGTGAGCGTAGAGCTGCATGGGGACATGGCATGAGGTGTTGTCTTCACACTTGACGGACACGGAAGTCATCGTCGTTGAGGCAGCAGCCGAGGCACGCGGTCAGATAAAGTACATGAGCGTCTTGACTTAGGCGCAGGGTGAGCACAGGGTGACAGGGCATGCTCCATGCCTCGAATTACTTGAGTGCGCTCGTGCACACTGTCTTCCACCCTGCTTGATTCCTGCATTTAGTAGACCTTCTCGTCAGCAGAAGGAGACGCCAGACCTCTCGGACGCCCGGGTAGAGTTCATGGAAAGAGTCTGGTGCTGACGACACATACTATGTCCAGGCATTATGCAATCTGCAGATGATGAATGCCATAGACCTGAAGGCCAGGGTGGGTGCTTGGGCTTTTTGTCGGTGTCACTGTTGCAAGGCTCCATCTGGAACAGAGTCCTGCATCTGCACTGTTTAGAAATACAGTCGGCTTGTGGGCGGCGCGTGCATCCGCCCGTTTTGGCATGACCCGCGATGAACATGCCAAGTCAAAAAGCTCGGATGTAAGTGGACTTCAGTTCTACAGCTGAGACGGCGCTTGGCCATGCCAGGTGGTGGAAGATCAAGCCAGAGAGACCAGCAAGCGGTTGTACCATGCAGACTGGCTCACCAGGCTGCCAGAGTGAGCTAGATTCAGCTCTGCCAGAAATGTGTAGTCCAACGTGCGGCATTTTACCGGAAAGATAATTGTTGCGGGGGTGGTAGTTGGATTAGCCTGCTAAAGGCAGGAGTAGATCTTATGGTGGTGCGAGGCCTGAGACTATGTAGCCCAGCTAGACTTGCATTCCTGCAGGTGGGCGGCCTGCATTTGCTTGGGTGCACTGGGTGCTGCAGCGCACCCTTACCTCCAGGAGGGCGGAGTCAAGCAAATTAATTTTCCGGCTTGTATCGGCTTGTCCACCGTAGATGCCAGGAATTGAAAGAGCGAGTTAATGACGAAGACGAGAACAGGGTTGTTCACGACGCCGCCAAGATGAGCCTCGCAAGGCCTGCACCGACAGTAAGATAGTCAAGTGACGTTCTTGTTTGTGTCTGCAACAATTGAATCCGAGGCTGCAAGCTTTGCAGCGCAGCGAGCGCAGCCTTGACAGGGTTCAGCTGGCGCTTTCCGGGGATGGGTCGGTCAAGCACGGGTAGCCACAAGGGTGGTGCTGCTCCAGTGAAAAGCTGTATCTAATATCATTTTAGAGGTCAAAGTTTGCCTCCCGCAAGCTCGTGACACCTCGAGACAAGAGTTAGAGATGCGGTGTCCCGAGCATGCAAGATCATCGACATGATGTGCATGCCTCCCACCTAGCCCTTCTTTCAAAGGCTGTCGTCATCTTTGGCTGCTCAGCACAATGCTCTGCAGCATAGCATGATTGCGATGATTACGTGAACTCTCACTCCCTTGTTCCATCGTCAATGCGATGGGTCGCTCGGGCTATTGTGGGCAGCACGTAAGCATGAGCGCGCAAAATGTGCCTTGCTTCCATCGGGCTTATCGCCCGGTTTACATGTAGGCACAGGCAACTGGCTGGCATGCTTTCTCTCCACTTCGACTGTTCACTTCATTTCTGTATTCATCTGTTGCACCCGTTCTGCAGGAGCTGGGAGGGGTCATCGGCTTGGTGGGCTGCATCCCTATGGCTGTGCACAGGATCCTAGACGAAGGGCATGACATGCATGGCTTTGTGGCGCTGAGGACATCTTCTCAGCTCGACCCCGCTGGACCAAAAGAAGCGCAACATGCCCTTGCACCTCTTCCATGAGGCCGAAATCTCTGGAAGATCGTGGACCCGCGTCTGTTTGAATTCATTCGACTGTGGAGACTGCGAGGAGGCAGACAAGGAGATGAGATGGAAGTGGGCCCGAGTCTCAGAAGTCAGGATCAGAGCACAAAGCCGATGCCGGCGATGCGTGTGCTTTTGCCAGTGTTCATCAAAGAATCCGTGCGCGTTGCTAGAGGAAGCGTTAAGCAGGTGAAATCTTCTGTGCAGCGCCTCATTGATGCCGGCTTCAACGTCAGAGACTCGCAAGACCTTCTGCAATCGTTCTCCTAATTCTGGGCCACTTGCTTCATCAAGGTGTCCTCAAAGCGGGAACGTGATCCTGCAGGGTGTGGCCATTGGATTCAGGCCTGCCGAGCTTTTCGCTTCCTCAACCCACAAGTCGCGCGATTTAGTTGCCATGCTGCCCGAACTGGAAAGGGACGGTATTGGCGCTCGCAAAAAGTATTTTCCGAACACCAAGTCTGCCATCAATACTACAGACATAGGATCCTGCAGACTTCCAGCCTGTCAGGAGATTGAAGGCACGTGGATCAGAAGCGCTATGAGGTCACGGCGCAAGAGAGCACACTGGCATCTCAGTGAGTAGCGCTTAGCTATGTGGCCATCCTGAACTCTGTTGCAGGCACATCATCTTAAGCGAGGCGCCCTAGCAGGAAGAGCTGGTCGACAGAGCAATTGTGCTCGGAGCTCAGAGAGCAAGAGCCTGTGATTTCGAGCGAAGCAAACTTCAAGAGCAGACAAGGAATCCAGCCGCTCTGAGCTGCAGACACTTTGCATTGAAGGCCAAGGGGATCGGCCTCTAGCTTCCAGCTACTCGAAGCAATGGGAAGAGCAGCTACTTTCGCCTCGGACATGGTTTGGGTGTCTTCGAATTCTTCCGGTACACTGCGATTGTGTACAGTTTATTGGTTCTCGCAGCAAGTTCATTTGCTCGCATCGGACACTACGTGCTGCAGTAGTCGAATCTCTACCAGACCTGGAATGGCGAAGAAGCCTTCGGAAGTCTTATTGAGAGATCTCAATGTTTCCGTCATCCCAAAATCAGAAATCATGTACTTGAACTGGACAATAAATAAACCTTTTCTTTTATAATAACAGAAAATCCGATATATATAAGATAATTGAGCATGAATTCAGGATTTTTAGTAAATTAGTTCTATGATTATTTTTAATTATATATTTGGTTTACCCGGACTCTTGAGACAATATATGAATACTTTTTGAGACGTTCGTTATATGTTGAAATTAATTATGAGAATCTCTCTTCTATTTTATTTTGATTTTTGAATTGAATCATAAGAAACAGCTAAATAAGATTAAAATGAAAATTATATTATATATATTTATTTAGTTGAAATATAAATATGATAATATTTATTTTTTTGAAAAAATACGATCGGAATATTCTCTAAAAAATTTAATTATTATTCTCGTCGAAGGTTGTATATAGAATAGTAAATAAATATATTTCTTTTATATTCTATATCTGTAAATTTTGTTCATTAAATGTATATTTTATTTTTTAAAAATTGATTTATTTCATAAGTTCTCTTAAATTTTATTCGCGCAATTTATTTATCTGAATATTTATTTATCGATTTTATTTATTTTGTTTGTATTTGAATATATATTTTTATTTTATTTATTTTTCTATATATTTCTTTATTTTTTCTTTATCTATTTGATAATTTGTCTTTTTAAAAAAAGATTTTAAAAATTTATAGGTTTGTGTATTTTTTTAATATTTTTAATTATCTATATGAATTAATTAAAAAGCAATTTTAATGAAGAATATGTGAGAAGCGATATTATCTATGGCCGGAATATCGTTGCCTTTTTATTGAATCAATATAATAATAGATATCTCGGTAGATAGCCAAACCGCCTGTAATTCTAACCCGACTAAACCCAAGTCACCTTACAAACCCGATCCGTAATATGGAAAGATCAAATAAATAATCGGAGGAAATTGTGCAAATTACTGGCAATATTCTGAGATAAAGAGCGTTCGCTTGTGAGTTGATTTTGTAAGGGTTCGTCTTCCAAAGATTGGAAATTAATGTGGTCTGCGCTCATTATGACGGTCAGTCGTTATAATCCCGATTTCATTAAAGTCTATATCATCCCATCATATCCATGTAATAAAGGCGTTAATTAAATTTGTCAAGATGCTTTTTTGTAGCTTATATCGATATCTAAAAGGCTCAGATCCAGAATCTTATAAAAAATGAAAAGCGATATAATAAATTAATAAAAAAAAATATATATAATTCAATATAGAATAGAATGAATTTTTTTTATCTATATATAAATTATAAAAATATTAATATAATCTATTCTAATAATAATAAAATAATATATAATATAGAATGTAATGAAATATATATATATATATAAATTCAATAATAATATAATATAAAAATAGAATATTATTAAAATTTCTATAATATACTTAATATAGTTTACAAATAATTCGTATAATTTTGTCTATAATATAAAAGTTCATCAAAGAATTCTACGAATCTTAATAAATTTAATTTATCAAATCTTACTTTAAATTTAATTTATAAAATAAATAACGATCTTAGAGAAAAAAATTAATAAATTAAAGAAAACAAATAAACCTTATCTTTATTATAATGTTACTATTCTATATATCATTCTATCTATATCATTCTATCTATTTTATTATAATATCTTTTTCTTCATCGAAGAATTTTTCAATTCCTAAATTTCGTAATATTCTCATCGAATCATCTCTCGCCTCTATTCTCAATTTAATTTTCATATCAATTTCCAATTCGCTTCAGAATCTCTTTTTCTCGAAAAATCATTATTCTTATTCCATATTCTATTCGATTCCTCCCCCACCCCCCACAACACCCCTCATTTACCCATCCCCACCACCCGCATAACCTTCCGACAATCGAGAACCACGATCATCCCACTCTCCATCCATATACCCCCTCGCCCACAATTCCGCACTCCCCAGTCCCTAATTCCTCCCATCCCGTTCTCCTCTCACACCCCCACCCACCCCTCGACGACCTACACCCCCTCGCGCGCAATTCCGCACTCTCCATTCCCTCATTGCCCCCACCCCGCTCCCCTCGCACCCTCTCCTCGCCATTCCAAGACGCTCTCGCCCACAATTCCACACTCCCCACTCCCTCATTCCTCCCATCACACTCCCCTCCCACCCTCTCCACCACGACGAATCCCCACACTCTACACACCCACCCACGCCCACCCACCCGATTTCGCCCGCCACTCCACCACACTACTCGCCCTCACCTACCACACCACGAGATTCCCCACTCCGACACTCCGTCAACCCCCCCTCGCCCACTCCGCGACACTCTCCACGACACATAGTGCCCTCGCCCGCAACTTGCGTTTCCACCTTTCGGCTCGTAGATACGATGTCCAGTTGGTCCTAAATTTCGACTTGACAAGCTATGAGCCAAGGCATGTTCGATTGGTGCGGGGCATCGTCCAGGTATTCCCAAAAGTTCCAGGGAATTTCGAGTCCGAGGATTCCCCAAAATCCAGGAATAGTCGACAAAAAACCTCCAACATTCCGGAAATGTCCGAGAATCCCTTGTGGAGTCTTCACGAAAGACCAAAAGGCCCGGAGAACGAGAGAGGCCATCCGAAGAGCTTGCCACACATCCAAAACGCACTGTAACACGCATGCAATTATAGAAATATATGTTCGAAGTCTCCGCAGTCTTTACATTTCCCTGGATAACAATTTCCAAGACTTTCGAGAAACCCCATGAGCCAGACCCATAGTTCGGACAATCATGGAAATT